TTTATACCTTGACTCTGGCAGGTCACGAATTGGCGTGAGGTCAAGGGGGCGGAGACCCCAGAAGCTCAGGGGTTTTAAGCATTGAATTACCGTCAGATGAGCATCCAGTTGCCCGCCTTAGGGCCCTAGGTGAAATCCAGGGTGCAGAGCCCCCTAAAGCTCAGGGTTTTTATGCATTTATTCACGGTCAGATGAGCAAATTTTGACACCTCATTATTTTGTGAGAAAGGCAGGTTACTATTTTTTCTTTCTTTCTTTAGGAATTTGCCATTTTCCAACAAACGCATAAAAAAGGGATAATTTACTTAAAATTGAGGAAAAATTTCGGAAAATTATGTCACTTCAGCAACATTTGTAAATCGCCGGTATCGAATTAGAAATAAACCACGTTTGAATTATATTTTGGGGGCGTCTGTCGCCCCCAAGCCCTCTACCCCATCTGTACGCCAGTGCCCCCCCCCGATCTACACCTTGTTGGCGGGAAAAATCGCAACTGATCCCCCTACCTTTCTTTTCTCTCTTTTTACCCCTTCCTTCTCTCTGTTTTAAGTTTGATGGAGGGGGGGGGGCGTCCCCCTCCGATCCACACGTTTTTGGCGAGATTAATCACAACTGTTCCTTCTTTTCTTTTATTCTTCCTTGTTTTTGTTACCTTTTAGCTCTCCTCTTTCCCTTTCCCTCCCCCCCCCCCCTTTTGGCGGTTTTTTTGCCTTTTTTCATTCCCGTTCCTTCCTTTTTTCTCTCTTTTTTTTGTCGGTGGTGGGGGGGGGGGGGGGTAAGTAGCAGCTGGCAAGGCCCTTTCGGTCCCCCCCCCCCCTCCCCCCGATCTCCTTCTTTTTCCCCTTTTTTTCTTCCTCTTCTTTCTTTCCCTCCTCTCCTCTTTCCCTTTCCCTCCTCTCTCTCTCTCTCTCTCTCTCTCTCTCTCTCTTTTTTGCGGGTGGCAGGGCCCGCTAGGCCCCCCTGGATCCGCGCCTGTGCCTATATATGGGTCGACGTCAAAATTTGAACTCGGCAGGTTCACTTCTCCATAACTTGTCCAGACCATTTTCAAAATTGTAGACCCTGGACGTATAAATAGCCTTCGTTTCCCCTTTTCAAAGAATACTTCCACCTTTGTATTATGGAGTGCACTGAATGTCCATGAATGAATAATGTACTCCTTTACGGGCAGGGGCGTCGCCAAAGGGGGGTGTGGGGGGGTGCGACACCCCCACCTGTCAGGATTTTGTCGGTAAAATTGCGCTGCCGTCGGTAAAAAAGAGAAAAGGGGGAGGGGAAAAAAGAGAGGGAAAGGGAAAGAAAGGAAAAAAGAAAAGGAAAAGAAAAGAAAGAAAGGAAAAGAAAGGAAAGAAAGGAAAAGAAAGGAAAGAAAAGAGAAGAAAGAGAGAGAGAAAAAAAAAGAGGGAGGAGAGGAAAGAAAGGAAAAGAAAGAAAAGAAAGAAAAGGAAAAAAAAAGAAGAAAAAAGAGTAAAACGGAAACAAAAGAAACGAGGGATGAAAGAGAGGATGCAACGCCAAAGGTTCCGCGCTTCGCGCGGAAGGGGAAAACTTAATTTAAACGAATCGAGAACGGTACAACGAATCGTCTTCTTTCTCTAATAATTTAAGGAAACGTCAAAGCTTCCGGGCTTCGCGCGAGAGGGGGGAACTGAATTCAGGCAAATAGGGCTTATTAAGAGTCGAAAACGGTACAACGAATCGTTTTCTTTCTCTAATAATTTAAGGAAACGTCAAAGCTTCCGCGCTTCGCGCGAGAGGGGGAAACTGAATTCAGACAAATTTGGCTTATTAAGAGTCGAAAACGGTACGACAAATCGTCTTCCTTTCTCTATATTGTGATGAAACGCCAAAAATTCCGCGCTTTGCGCGGAAGGGGAAAACTTCATTTAGACGAGTGGAGAACGGTACAACGAATCGTCTTATTTCTCTAATAAATTAAGGAAACGTCAAAACTTCCGCGCTTCGCGCGGGAGGGGGAAGCTTCATTCAGACAAGGATAAAGAGTCGAGCACGGTTTAACGAATCGTCTACTTTCTCTAATAATTTAATAAAACGCCAAAACTTCCGCGCTTCGCCCAGGAGAAGGAAGCTTCATTCAGACAAGGATTAAGAGTCGAGCATGTTTCAACGAATCGTCTACTTTCTCTAATAATTTAATGAAACGCCAAAACTTCCGCGCTTCGCGCGGGAGGGGGAGATCTGAATTCAGATAAGGATTAAGAGTCGAAAACAGTACAGCGAATCGTCTGTTTTTTTCTCATAATTTAATGAAACGTCAAAGGATAAAGAGTCGAGCACGGTTTAACGAATCGTCTACTTTCTCTAATAATTTAATGAAACGCCAAAACTTCCGCGCTTCGCCCGGGAGGGGGAAGCTTCATTCAGACAAGGATTAAGAGTCGAGCCCGGTTCAACGAATCGTCTACTTTCTCTAATATTTTAAGGAAACGTCAAAGCTTCCGCGCTTCGCGCGAGAGGGGGAAACTGAATTCAGACAAATTAAGCTTATTAAGAGTCGAAAACGGAACGACAAATCGTCTTCCTTTCTCTATATTGTGATGAAACGCCAAAAATTCCGCACTTCGCGCGGAAGGGGAAAACTTCATTTAGACGAGTGGAGAACGGAACAACGAATCGTCTTATTTCTCTAATAAATTAAGGAAACGCCAAAACTTCCGCGCTTCGCGCGGGATGGGGAGATTTGAATTCAGATAAGGATTAAGAGTCGAAAACAGTACACCGAATCGTCTGTTTTTTTCTCATAATTTAATGAAACGTCAAAGGATTAAGAGTCGAGCACGGTTCAACGAATCGTCTACTCTCTCTAATAATTTATGGAAACGCCAAAACTTCCGCGCTTCGCGCGGGAGGGGGAAAACTTAATTCAGATAAGGATTAAAAGTCGAAAACAGTACACCGAATCGTCTGCTTTTTTCTCATAATTTAATGAAACGTCAAAGGATTAAGAGTCGAGCACGGTTCAACGAATCGTCTACTTTCTCTAATAATTTAATGAAACGCCAAAACTTCCGCGCTTCGCGCGGGAGGGGGAAGCTTCATTAAGACAAGGATTAAGAGTCGAGCACGGTTTAACGATTCGTCTACTTTCTCTAATAATTTAATGAAACGCCAAAACTTCCGCTCTTCGCGCGGGAGGGGAAAAAATGAATTCAGATAAGGATTAAGAGTCGAGAACAGTACACCGAATTGTCTGCTTTTTTCTCATAAATTAATGAAACGTCAAAGCTTCCGCGCTTTGCGCGGGAGGGGGAAAAACTGAATTCAAACAAAAATTAAGAGTGGAGCACGGTTCAACGAATCGTCTACTTCTCTAATAATTTAATGAAACGCCAAAACGTCCGCGCTTCGCGCGGGAGGGGGAAGCTTCATTCAGACAAGGATTAAGAGTCGAGCACGGTTTAACGATTCGTCTACTTTCTCTAATATTTTAATGAAACGCCAAAACTTCCGCTCTTCGCGCGGGAGGGGAAAAATGAATTCAGATAAGGATTAAGAGTCGAGAACAGTACACCGAATTGTCTGCTTTTCTTATAATTTAATGGAACGTCAAAGCTTTCGCGCTTCGCGCGGGAGGGGGGGGGGACTTTATTCAGACAAGGATTAACATTAGAGAACGGTACAATAAATCGTCTTCTTTTCCTAATAATTTAAGATAACGTTTAAGTTTCCGCGCTTCGCGCGGGAGGCCTATCACCCACCCCCCCTAATGAGCGCGTTTCGCGCGCTCAATAAGTGATTCGCTTGCTCTCTTCCGACCCTCCCTAAAATAAGATCCTAGCTCCGCGCCTGCATTAAAATATAGCTATGATGCTGACTAAGTTGACGAAATAATTCGTATATTTATGTCGTCGAGGAAAATGACCATTTGCTCATACGCAAGTACTATAGATAGTCCATAGGAAAAATAATTTAGCCTTCGGCCCCGGGTTTATAGGGTTAAATTTGTAGATATTGGACATTTAATTTTGTCGGTAATTGGTGGCTAGTTTTGTCGGTAATCGTTGGCCTCTACACCCCCCCACTGAAAAAGGTCTAGCGACGCCCCTGTTTACGGGACATTTTGGTCACACGCATGGTACCTCCGTTCACAGAATGGGGGGAGGGGGGGGGGGGCACGTATCCAGTATTTCGTCTCCGTGTATTTCAACATTATTTTGTTCTGCAATGACGCTCATGCTCAGACTGCAACCGTGAACTAGTTTTGTCATTGGATCTTTGTCATCGGAATGATGAAGAGAGAGAGAGAGAGAGAGAGAGAGAGCGAGAGAGAGAGAGGGAGAGAGAGAGAGAGCCTAGGAGAGAGGGAGAGAGAGAGAGAGAGGGAGAGAGGGAGAGAGAGAAAGAAAGGAATTAGGAAGGATTTAGAAAGGAAAGAAGGAAAGAAGGAAAAAAAGAAAGGAAGCTAGGAGAAAGGAAGGAAAATAGGGACTGGGGAAGAAAGAAGAGGGGCCCGGGAATTGGAACCACAGTACCAGGCGCGGATCCAGGATTTCTTAGGGGAGGGGGCCCAACTTTTTTTTTTTTTGCTCCCGAAAATTTGAAAATCGCGCCGGCCGAAAAGTCGCTCAGGGGGGGGGGGGGGGGGGGGGGGGGGGGGTACAGAGCACAATTTTTTTTTTTTTTTTTTTTTGCTCCCGAAAAATTGAAAAACGCGCAGGCCAAAAAATCGCTCAGTGGGGGGGGGGGGGGGGGGTGGGGGGGGGGGGGTGGGTGGGCACATTTTTTTTTTTTGATCCTCAAAAAAATTTCAATTTGCACCCCCCCCCCCCCCCCCCCCCCCCCCCCTTGAGCGCCAGGGGGGGGGGGGGCCCAACCCCCCAAAAAGGTAAAAATCACGTGATTTTACATGATTTTTTCTCAAGGGGGGGGGGCCCGGGCCCCCGGGCCCCCCCCCCCCCCCCTGGATCCGCCACTGCACAGTACCACACCCCTCATCAGCTCACGCTGCCCATAAGTTTTTAGAATGTTTGTACACAGTATAGTACAGTGCATGCATTGTGTATGTATTATGCAATATTGTAATGCAATGCAGCGGTTCATCAGCCTGGAATCTGTACGCATCGTCATGTTTTCAAGATACCCTCGATGAAGGAGGAACAAAAACAACTGTAAGTGTAATTTTTGTATTCATAAAATTTTTCTGATCAGCCAATGCGAAGAAAATACGTATGATATTCAGTTAATGATTTGAAATTTAACAATTAATATGGGATTTGCAAGGAGAATGTTTAGTTCAGTCCCATGTGCTGAAAAATGTGTGGGAATATTTCACCTATGAAAATTCCCATTTTTTGTTATGTATCATGTTGGTTATTATTCTAAATATCAAAATAATTTGTCCTCTGGCCGTTCTATAATGTGTAATCACTATTAATGAATTGGAATAGCTCATTAACATTGTTTCATATTTTTTTGCCAACAAATGAATTAAATTTGTTTATAAATAATGACATGATCATCTTGGAAAATTCTTGCTTGTCTTCTTTGGAAAGAAGTTGTAAAAGAGTCTAGGCATTTTCTGTAACATTTTTAAGAACATGCACTGGTGCAGAACTCCACAAATCACTCTGAGCCTCTGGAAAAACAAAGCACTGGAATCACACAGAATTAAAAAGTAACATTAAAACATAGACTAGATCTAGATCTAATTGATGTCTGTGAGTGTGAGCTGTGGGAGATGTTTAGAGGTTGGATGGGTTTATTTATCTGGGGGACGCAATCGTCAGTGATGGTGGATGTGAGATTGCAGTAGCAAGAAAATGCAGATTGGGGTGGATGAATTAGATGAGCTGGCCTCATTCCTTGCTGGTAGATGTTTACGATGCGGGGCAAGATCTACATGTATAAGGCTTGTGTTAGAACAGTAATGGTACATGTACATGTACTGTATATACATGTTAGTTCAGAAACTTGGAATGATAAGACAGTAGGAGAAGGTAACTTGCGCAAAACAGAAAGATCCATTATTATGTACAAAAGATGTATGGCATGTAAAGAAAAGTGTATTGGGAATCAAGATGGATGGGTCATGTGTTGAGAAGGGTAGATGACGAACGTGTGAAAAGAGCATGGGATCCGGAATAGGATGGCATAAGAGGGAAAGGAAAACCGAAAATTTCATAGAGAGATATGGTGAAGGAAGAAGGCAGTAAGGCTGGTCCAAATGAAGAGGATGCTTAAGGCAAGAAGATGTGGAAGGAGGGAGTGTCATGGCATGAAAGTTAGTAACCTCTCATTAGAGGAAAATGCTGCCTCCGATTAATGATGATGATGATGAGCAAACTCACCCCTTGGCAATTTCTTTGATTTCAACATAGCCTTGTACAGTTTGAACGGGAGGCCGTATAAATTCAAAATTCCATAATGATCTTGAATCCTTTCCAAGCTATTTATCCCTCATTTTTCAGTACCAATATTCAGTATGTGGTCTGTCTACATTATTTATGCTGTTCAAAGTGGCACCATATAGTTAACATCTTTCAAAGTCATGTACACATCAATTAGCACTTCCTCTACAATGTATGGTACATGTAAATGATGTCACAGTGACACCCTAAAAGACTCTGTAGCAGTGTTTTGTAGCACAAACATCTACGGTAATTGCCTGCAGTGCCTTATCTGGTACTTAACACGTGGATCAGAGAAAACCTATTTGCCTAAGCAAAATTCCTGTCCAATTTAGTACCTCTTTTTTATTTATGTTTTTGTCTAATCCTGCTGCCGTCGATACAATGTATGTTCAATTAGTGTCCGAACAGTACAAGTACTGGTAGACCTGTGTGCACATTTTGATATTTAAAGTGAGGATAAAAATGTTTGATAGAAATAGTTGATATAGTTTTATATGCTTAATGATTGTTAATGTACATCCTTTGGATGAACAACAACCATCATATTCATTTCTATACTTGTAGAACAAAGCCAGACCGCAGTATGTCGACACTTGGGACCAGCCAGCTTCGCATTGCCTGCGTCTTCAGTGCGACAAGCAGCGACACCAAATTGGCTGAAGACGCTCTGAACAATGCCTGCCGTCTGGTCAACAATGTCACCCTCATCAAGGTCAACTTTGACCGGCTGGACTTTGGGGAGACCAAGGTCCTTGACCGGTTCTACGCGGCCGACATCGTGGTCGTTGACGTCTCTGTCATCGTGCAGCAGCGGACGCTGTTCTATCACATGGGGGTGAGGGAGAGCTTCGGGAAGGAGAAGAACGTGGTCCTCTACAATGATTCAGTCGATCCTGAAGGGACTTCGTCTCTCATGGTAAGTTTGAAAGGATTTAGAAGGGATTATTAGAATTCAATCCATACAACAGGATATTGATTTGAATGCATTTAATTTAGATCAGAAAAAGTAGGCCTTCGATTAAATGTATTTTCTAAAACTGTTATCCTATCTCATTTTCAAAAATGTAGTCTCACAAAAATTTACTACGTAGTTTGTTTGATAACAAACACATATATACTTTTCAGTGTAACAAGCGTAGCTACAAATTACTTTGTAATTCTTTATGGTTAAATTTTATTATATTTTATCAACATTTTGTGGAAATTATGTTCTGTTCCTTCTACAAATCATATTTTTGTGGTTCATTGTAATAAATTTACTTTGTGTATGTACAGTATGTAATCAAACCTGCTTTAGTTACATGTACCACCTGTCTATTGAGACCACTTTTCATCTTGCCCTTGACCATTCTTACTGGTTTCACTGTATTTCATTGTGTGCAAGTACAGAACTCAGATTGTGTATAAAATGACTTCAGATCTTTGTAATGCAGTTTTCTTGCTGTTGTCTGACTCTGAAGGTTTCAAAAATTGATTTGATTAATTGATGATTTATTTTACCTCACTGCTGAGAAATCAGAGTTTGTACATTAGCAACCAGGGGAACGTAGGGCTTTAAGGTCCTATTCAAGGGACTCTGTAATAGACCTGGGACCTTCCAGTGATGAAAACATTACTCTACCAGAGCCTTTGTTTAGTCATGTGTGACTGGTTCTACAACACATGCTCATGCGACAATTGCTCCGTAATAATTTCCCTACTCTAACCAATTATCCAACTTCAACCCTAGACAAAACACAATTCCTAACCTATCCCTACACCTAACCTAAAACCCAATCGTAACCCTAACTCTAACCCTAAATTTTTGAAGAAATAAGGCCGGGAGCAGATTTCCCCAGAGCAAAGAACGGAACGCCCATTTGACTATGTCACGTTTGACTTTCCATCCCACCAGCAATCCTGCCATGGATCAGGCTACATATTTATCCCGTACAAAATGGACTCCAAGAGCCAGTGCTACGTGTGTGACATGGCATGCGTTTTCAAGGCTGGACAGCTCTGCGAAGAGGACAGCGCTCTCTGCCCGCTCCTCACGGACAGGCTCAGGGAAACCATCGAAGAGGTCCACATTAGCAATAGGTCAGTTTTGATAGCTGTATGTGCTTATGTTTGTGTGTACATGTATGTGCTTATGTTAACATTCAATTCAATTCCATTCATTTCAACCATAATATAAAAACATGCAGTTAGGAGCTCCTAAAGAAGTTTGAATACAAACTTGTGGTTGGGGCACCAACATGTTCTAACTTCTAGTTTGTTTTATAACGTTTAAGTTTTCAAAAAGCCAGGTATCTGTGTGCATTATATTCTGCATGAAAATGAAAGGCCTAAACATTAATTATATTCATTATGTAGGCATATTGAACAGACACTCAATTTTTGTTACTACGTTATTGATCATATGTAAGATTTCAGTGTATCAAATGACTATTAAGCTGATAGCCCTTCTAGAGCTTGAATCAGACAAGACATCAAACAAAATGATATTTTATAATGTCAATCTACATGACTTAGTTCACATTTCCATGATACAATTCAGTTATATTTGGTAACACATGTACAGTGGACTTCATTTAATTTTATTTATTTATTTAAGCATGGAGGCCTACCTCAGCCCACGGACTGTTCTTCCGTAGGGCCGTGCGTACATAAAAACATGTACATGTACAACATAATATAACATAATAATGATAACATAAATATATACAAAACAAATACAACATACACTAAAAATACATATGAAATATTTAAAGGGGACAGGATTACTCATCAATGGCTCTTGATTCCATATACTTATTTAGATTACATTTAAAATTCATAATAGATAACTCACGTTTTAATAAGCTCTTGCCTTTTTCTAGTTTGAGGGTACATGTTTACTGTAAATGCAATAATAAAGGCAATACCTAGTGTTTGAAAAAGTCCAAGTATCCAATATTTATGTATCACCTTTGATTTTAAATTTATCTTTATCAGGAGCAATGCAACAGAGGTTTTGTTGAATGACATCCGTAAAGCAAGGATTAAACTCAAAGGAGAGACACTTGCCAAGGTATGGTCTCACTATGAACATAACTGACAAAGAAAGCGGACAAAATTACAGTTCCTCAGGTAGACAAAGGAACATCCCTTCACTGCTATTATGTAAAAATGTGTAGAACAGGTGTCACATGCATATTCACCTTTTTACATAATAGCAGTGAAGGAATGTTCCTTTGTCTACTTGAGGAACTGTATATTTTGTCCGCTTTCTTTGTCAGTCACGTTCATAGTGTCTAGAACAGAATTGTATTTGATGGGCAGGAGTTTTTAAAGGCACACTATTAGGCTAAAGATTTAAGTTTTGAGTCCTGTGCGGGCTTTATTATAACAATTTGGTTTCAAATCGTTAACTATATGACTGTTTCAGCCTGATTATCATAGCTGGTATTTGATTTTTGTTAAATCAGTAGGCACAAGAATGCCAATTAAAAAAGTTATTTATAAGTTCTATGATGACTTATTATTAGTAGTAGTAGTAGTAGCGGTAGAAGCAGTATTAGTAGTAGTATTAGTAGTAGTAGTAGTAGTAGTAGTAGTAGTAGTAGTTAGTAGTAGTAGTAGAAGTAGTAGCAGTAGCAGTAGTAGTAGTATTTGAATGATTATTATTATTATTATTATTATTATTATGATTATTATTAGTAGTAGTATTAGTAGTAGTGGTAGTAGTGCTAGTGGAAGTGGTAGTGGTAGTGGAAGTGTTATTGTGGTAGTACTATTATTATTATCATCATTTTACTTCTTTTTTTTTTACATCCTAAAATCACAAAAATAAAATACACTACTTTTCATAACAATGTCTAATGTTAAAAGAGTACCTTTGATATGCATTTCTCTTTGTATGATTACTCAATAGGAGCTTGGTAATCTGAAAGCCCGGATGGATGAGCAGCTGCTACTGAGTGGAGACATTGTCCATCAGTTCCTACTTTCTTACAGAGAAATCCAGGTCTGTATAATAAAGTGTGTTTCTTATTTAAAATAACGAAGCAGAGATTTTCCCATCAATTACCAGAAGTTGGATTATGTTCTTATGATATGCTGTTATTCATGTCACAGATGTATTCTTCCTCTTTACTATGGATACCTTAAAGGTAAAGACCAGTTATGGTCAAGCGATTGCATTATGAAAGAAACATTGTGGAATCGATCAGAAAAGGTTGATCATCTAGCATCTAGCATCTGCAAGGTTCTGGAATCATCAAAATGATAAGAAATTTGGCCCATTCTTCGTAAAGTTACAAGCACTATACACAGAAAGATGTATATGGGACTACCCTATATCTCTCACAAACCATGAGAGAAACAAATTTACCAAATATATGAATTAGTAGGCGGTTTCCCGGCAAATTTTTTATCATCATGTATTAGTCCAAACATATTCTTTCACATGGTTGGTAATGAGAGCTTACATTTCATTTTTTTGGGGGGCGTTTCCAAAACTGGTCTTTACCTTTAAAAGTATGATATTTTCATGCATTTGATAAGATGTTGCTGGGGAAATTAGTACTTCATTTCTTTTCTTTCATCATGAACAATGAAATGAAATTGCTGAGAATATACATTGTAAATGTATGAGGTACTGAGCTACCAAACATTACATTTGTCCTGTAATAATTCTGTCGTTTTTTCTCAAAATTATGATGGTATGTTTTCTCTTCACAAAATATTTTTTGTTATAAATTATTATTATTATTTTTTATTTTTGTATTTATTTTTTTGCACAAACCATACATCAACTAAATGCCCTAAAATTTGAAACACGACTTCAATAGAAAAGTGAGGTTAAAACATACTTGAAAAGAAAAATATTCTCAAAAAGAATGAAACGCCAATAATACCAAAAAACAACAACAAAAACTACCCACTTGTAAATAAAATTAAGGGCCTAATATGGAAGTAACAGCATGAGGAATGGACATTTCTTCATTGGAAGTGTGTCGCGTATGGTTGTTAGTTTCGTTTTAATGAATTCCTTTTTTGGGGCATCATTGTTCCTTTTTTTGGTTGCACAAGGTTGGCAGCTCTGATTGTACAGCATGAATACATTATATATTATTATATATGCTATTTAAAGAAACCATATGACATTTCTTTCAATTTCTACAGGATTATAATTCCATGGTGTCTCTGGTTGAGGCCATCAAGCAGCTGAAGAACGATCATGTGACCGACAAACCCGCCATTTTACATCTTTACGCATTCGCTCTAAACAGGTATGGATTTCAAGTATAGATACTATCCCAATTTGTATTTACCCTGTGATCGTTTATCAGAAGAACAGTAACACCTTTTGCTTATTTCTCACATCCACCATCCATAGATATTCTTATGTTTACGGTTACTTGTTTCTATATGTGTAAACTGTTAATTCTGTTTTTAAATCATTTTTTACTTGTACCTATCTGTTTTCAGATTGATATATTGTATTTGTATATCCACATAATGACTATTTATATCTAGCCTCCAAACCACACTAAGCAAAGGGGACTAGTTCCACTTGGCCATTTTCAAGCTTTAAATCCAATGTCATTTTCTTGCAATGTAATATAGGCTGATATTCTAACCTAATTGTTTTTTATGAATGTTAATTTGTAATTTGTTTGTTTGTAATAAGACGAACTGATGAAAGAAAAACTGATTTAAAAGAGTTTGTAACATGGTCTGCGAAGGATCCTTGATGTTATAGTTGCTGGGGCATGCATTGTGCTTGTACAATGAGTACTTTTCCATCAATAAGTGTGATCGATGTATAGAAAACAGTTTGTTGACTATTCAACCAAACAAGAGACTCTGAAGATCTACCCCAGAATCCTCTCACCGGCACCAGAGTTGCCTAGGCCAATGATGGCCGAGAAGATTGCGCAATGTACCTCGCCAGTCTGGCAGGAAGGTGCCAATTGTGGTGAGGGGTTTTCATGGACCAGTGGATCTGAGATTATATTATCAACAAAAAAAAACACTATGATTTTAGAAGAGTATGAATTTACAAATAGTAAAAAAAAAAGTAAAACGCGTAAATATTCTAAAAAAGAATGAAACGCAGATAATACCAAACAACAACATCAATTTTTTTTTTTCACAGACGGAAAAAGCCAGGGGACAGAGAAAAAGCCGTTACTGTCATCACAAAGGTAGGATGAATAGAAAAACAAGCCAAATTGGAGTTTAGGTCAAGCTAATGCATAGTCCATATGAATTTCATTCTGTGTTGTGAAATAAAGAGGGCATGGGTATTATTCAATTTAATTCAATTCAATTCAAATCATTTATTTCCAAATTCCAACATCAATTATAAACAATGTGTAAAAAACAGTCAATGGGCAATAAAAACATAAAACTATGACATTTCAATCAAACGATTAAAAAGATAAAAAATAAAATAAGTATAGCATTCAATTAGAAACAAGGTACAGACTACATAAAAACATAGGTGGATAATTGGAAAATGGTGAACACAGTGAAAGCCAGGTTTGTGGCTTAATTTAGGGTGTGTTCACCTAGTTTGTGTACATGTATTTGTTTGTTTTTACGTTATTATTATTATTAAAATTAGACAATCGTTTACACAAATAACTAGTATCATGTTTTGGCTTTAATGACAGAAATCACCTTAAGTAAATAAAGTGGCGAGTTAGAAATAGAAATATAACGTTATTGTTAAGATCATTAAGGGAGATGTAAACACTTTACAATTTCATGACTTAAAGCTATTCATCAAGTGATTCACCAGTACTAATTATTTCACTGGTACAGATTACAGACGATCACTAGCTTGTAGACACAAAAATGTCTTGATCAGAATCTGGATGTTACAATATTATTGCTTAGATCAAACCTCCACCGTTTTTAAATATAAAAGCAGGAGCTTTGGAATTTCTTTGGTTTGAGGTAGGATATCTCAGAATAGAACTCTTTACCAGTGGTTTCTTCCATTAAAGTGACTCCATAACATTGCCTCAGAATCTGAAACAAATCCTGGATTAAGCTCATGCTACAATCATAATTAAAAACCTTTAGGTCACTCAGGAATCCCATGACTTTTACAAGCCGATCCCCTGTCTGATTATCAAGATATTTATGATTGGAAATAAAAATTTGATTTTTCGTTTTCCTAACGGTTCTTATAACACTACAGTCTATTGGGGAAAATGAGTATGGTAAAACCGGTCACTCAAAGATTTTTACTTTTTGAGGCACTTCATGATCAATTTGAAGCACAGTTTATTTAGGGCTTCAATATTACACCACATCACAGACAGTGATAACATGTAGGGCCTTTCATCTCAGATTTAACATTGTTAAACGATGCCTTTAACATAATATTTGAGATATATCTGTATTCAATTTGACTTCTAAACCTTTCCTTTTACTCCACATTCCGTTGAACCTGTTATATCATAATTTTCATGATATTTGCAGGCCCTAGAGAGTGATGATAACCAGGTGCCGGATATGTTCTGTCTCTGTGGGCGAATCTACAAGGATATCTACACCGAATCCAATTACTTAGACTTTGAAAGCAGAGATAATGCTATATACTGGTATGTATGGTTTAACTGTCGTTCGTTCGTTTGTAATACTATTTGAAGTTTGAGATGAGATGATTTCGATTTTTGGCCAAAATAGGCTTTCTGTAATGTATGGTAACTACTTTCCAAAATCAGTCAAATTCAGTCAAATTCAAATTTCAGAGCCCTTCAGTGAATTGTACAATCATATATTCTGCAGTTTATTTGCTTCTTAATTTCCTTGTACAATTATATATTCATCAGTTTATGTTCTCTTTTTTGTTCAATTATAATTTTTTCCTGCTCTTTTAGTGTAAAAATAAAAGGCCATTCTGCAATATATTATCATTCAGTGTTTGATGTTATCCTTCTTAGTGAATGAAATCATTTTAAAGAATATGTTTTTCTCATGTAGGTACAGAAAGGGTTTTGAGGTGCAGCCCAACGAGTATGCAGGCATCAATCTAGCGACCCTTCTTGTGCTGGCTGGTAAAGAGTTCACAAAATGTGCAGAGCTTCAAAAAATTGGTATGTTGAACAAAAGTCTTTTAATGTTTTTCTAAACATGCTATCATCATGAGCTCTTTGTGTATCCTTGGGAAAGTACTTTTTTCTCGCTAACTACAGAATCACTGACATTTTTCGGTTTTTATTTGTAATAGTACTTGAGCTCTTGTATACTGGCTTTATTCTAAATACCAATACCGTATCCTCATAACCATGCTTGTAAACTCCAGTGAGAAATTATCATGATAATCCTGTTATATAATCTGAATAAATTGAAAACAACCACCCTTTACCCTTTTTAACAGTGCCGTAGGTGTTTTAAACAGCCAAAATGTTTGAATCTTTTGTATTTGGGCAAGTATAAAGTAGTCGTTCTTCATCTTCAGATTGGGTTCATGAATTGTAAATTAGGCATCATGAAATAATGTTTGTTTCATGATAAAGAATGATAAATAGCACAATATATGAAGACATATTTCACAAAATATAACTTGTGATACAATTTGCTCAGCAAGTAATAGTAGGTTATGATCGTTGGGTACAATTTGATTTAGGTGTAACATGCATTTCCCATAGAATCCAGCCCAAGTTATCTTGGCTGGGCTTACAACTGGATAATGATAATAATAATAATAATGATGAACGTTACTTGTATAGCGCATATCACCAACACAAAGAGAGTCCCCATGCACTTATGAAAGAAGGAAATAGAGATAGGGCAGAATAGAAATGAACATTTATGCCTGATCCATGAAAATAATTAATCACAAACAACAATAATGACACACAATTCCTTTATAGCGCCTTACATGTAAAAGATTGTACATTCAGGTAATTACAAATATACCTGTGGTGTTTTTTTTCCCCTTGCTGCAGGTATGACCCTGAACAACTTGCTTGGTAAGAAGGGGAGTCTGGTATCGCTGGAAGACTACTGGGATGTAGCCACGTTCTTTGAGATCAGCGTCCTGGCAGGAGACTTCTCTAAGGCATCCCAAGCAGCCGAATGCATGTTCAAACTCAAGCCACCCATCTGGTAAGTTCCTTCCCCTACCCCCTCTCTCTCTCTAAGTGCCATATCGATTGACTTTGGTGATCATGCTGTTCCACAACCCTCAGCTCCAAGCCTTCTCTATTAGCACCACTCCCAGCTCTTTCACTCCTCTCTCTCTTCTACCAATTTCTGCAGACTGTCTATCCAAAGTATCCTCCTTCTTCCCATACCCCTCCTTCCCACAATTTTCCCTGTCAAAGCAAGATTCTCTAGGCCTTCTTTACCTGTAGTGTGACCCATGAACTTCAACTGCTAATCAACATCTCACATGACGTATCATTTTCCTTTGCACTCCAGCTCTTCTAAGAACTTCCTCATTACTGGTACTTACTTTGTCAGTCCAAGGGATTTTCATAATTCTTAAAAACCACATTTTGCAACTTTCCAAACGCTTTTTAGTATCAGAGGCTAAAGTCCATGTTTCACTACCATACATAAGTACTGGGTAGATGTTTTCCCTACCACCAACTTCAAAATCATCAGAGTCCTTGATCATGACTGAACTTTCATGAGTCAAATTTTGAGCTAGAATCTTTTGTGTCATTGTGGAATAGGGCATGGGCATGACATATCTTCAATGGAATAGACATGATCATTCATGAACCTGTTTCTGTTTTTGGTTGGAAACATTCATGATGAATGCAATTTCAAGTGACAATTTGTAATTTCTCCTGACTGTCTTTTTTAAATTGGAGAAAACTATTCTTTTGTTTGAAACTGTACATTACACAAGCATGTTTTCACTTTATGATTTCAAAATTACAATTCTGGACCCCAAAAATGTACAATATGTAAATTTTGGGGCAGGATTTAGCATCTAGTGAACAGGAAGTTTTGTCGGTTTCGTGTAACTATTGTAAAGTTAATGCCTGTGGTTGAATTTGGCTCAAAGATTTTATGAGATGATAACGAAAAGTCTGAATCAAAATGGCTTACATATCTTGTGTTTGTCTTGAGCTTTTTAGAGATTTGTCTAGTACCATAGTTGACTGGGAAGTGAATTTGACAAAGCTAAATAGAATGTAGCAAAAGGATAAGAAAGGAAAATAAAATTTATTGAAATGAAATACCGGTAAACTGAACTGGCCTAAAATAAACTAAAGTGTAATGTATTTAATTTCACCAGGTATCTGAAGTCCACATTGGGCAACATTCAGATGATATGTCGGGTAAGACCGACCTCTGATGAGGAACCAACCATTGATCAACAACTCTTTAACTTCTGGCTAGATTTCTTTGTAGAGGCCACCAAAGAGTCCACAACAGACCTTCGCTTTCCTGTAAGTGACTGTTTTCTTTTCTATTCTCTGTGTGAATATATTTGCTGGGGAGTGTTTCACAAAGACTAAGATCGACTTAAAGTTGGACTTAACAATGGCAGGCCATTCATGCCACTGGTTGCTCTCACCATTATGATCTTTAGATAATATTTTTTCTTTCAATAATGAATTATCAAAATATGTAAATTCTGTAGATTAGTGACCATGATTTGTACTTCCTTTGAGAGACCAATGCCAGTATATGGTGAGAGCAAACAGTGGCATGAACGGCCTACCATAGTTATTCAGTCCAACTTAAAGTCGATCTTCATCTTTGTGAAACACTCCCCTGGTGCATGTTTTATATCATTGTATTTGCTGCATCAGTGATGGGACATATTCAAAATTGAGGCAAAAAGGCCTTCATGTTGTTTATGTGTAGATAGAACCTTATAAAATCACGTATCGTCCCTTTTCATAAAGCCAGAATGGAGTTAATGCCCTTCTGGCCACAAACAGAAAACTGTTGTGGTTTTCACCCACATTTGTCTTTATCATTAGGTCTCAGTCCTACAGCAGAAAAAGATCAAGTCTAAAGATCATGGAGAATCCACTAAAACCTTTGGAAAACAATTGATTTATGTTTATATGTACATATTTTCCTGGTCACCCAGTAAACTCTTTCCTAAAGCTGTATTCAAGGTTTTCACTTTATCTTGTGATGAAAATACATGGCTTGAATTCAGGTTTTTATTCCTAAAGCCCATCAAGATCTTTTTAAATACCATAGTGCTACCCTTTACATATTTGAACTTCAGTGATCAAATCCTCATTCTGGATCCCAGCAATATGGATTGTAAAACTATTTGGTTTTCTTCAAAACCTTTGAAAAATATTTGGTCTCTTATCATCTCCTAGTCTTGGAGCCTAATAAAATCTATGCAAGACCTGTAATCCGCTTTAAACTGTTGAATTTGGTCTCTAATTAGGACCTACCGGTAGTCCTGGAACCTAGTAAAATCAATTCTCAGACTGAGAAGCTGCACAACTACATTTGGCATATGATAGGGTCCTAGTCCTAAAGCCTAGTAAGATCAATCACAAGACTCAGCGGAATTCCCTGTAACCTTTGAAACCATTTGATCTCAAATCAGGTCCTGGTCCTAGAGCCCAGTAAGATCTACAAGCCCAGTTACATCACTATCAGTGAAGGGGATGAGACACAGGAGAGATCTATTCGACTCTGGCATGTAGGCCTGGAGAAAAACAGCAGGGTAAGTTTTATATAATTAATTATACAGTCAAACCTGCTTTAGTGATCACCTGTCTACAAAGACCACATTTTTTGTTACCCTTGAAAATGATTTCTCATTGAAACATGTACTATAGGCACCTGTACATAAAGACCACCTGCCTATGAAGACCACTTTTCTTGTCTCCCTTGGGCGGTCTTTATATACAGGTTTCACTGTATAACCCTTTCAGGACAGGAATGTTATAAAGGCTAGAGTGATCATCTTTTCTTCAAATTGACAACAATCTCCACTCCCTGGGGAGCATTCCAGCAAGGCGTTATTTGACGCTCAAAAACTGTTTGACCAACAATGACGGTTGCATCCTATACCGGGTACCCATTTAACACCTGGGTGGAGAGTAGCAAGTGCAGGTTAATATCTTGCCAAAGGATATTAGTGATATGTCAGGATTCCAACCCTTGACCTTCGCATCTCACGTCAAGCGCCTTAAATCACTCGGCCATGACACTCCTGCATGGTTGAGAACTATGTTGAAAATATGAAATTTGCCAATTTTGTTAAAAAACAGTGATTGTTATCCTCTCAACATTTTGCCAGTTTAAGGATATTTAAAGGTTCTTTTATTCTAATTTTAGTCATCAAATGCAAAGTAGTCATGCAAACAAAACAGATGTGAATCGGGCCGAAACTTATTCCGGAACTGAATGCTTTTTGGAATCCCGTAGAAACATGCCATTTGGCATGAGGAACTAGATCCCCAACGTATGCAATATTGCTTTCTTACTTTTATGCTGTCATTCTTTTTTCTCTTCATGTTTTTGTTGTGTAGGAAATCAGTGAATGGCTCTTCAATTTATCCTCTATAAAGGGTGTCAGGTAAGTCAAATATTATGAACTCTGGAATTGGTTGTAAATTTAGTTGAATTAGGGCTTTCCTTGAATACTTTTAGATATAACCTTTGATATGTCATATTCTCAAGTAATATCAATCAGGATAAATCAATTTTACACACAAAACTTGGTAAGGGTATGAATAATGTACATGTAGTTGTTAACTGTACATATATATATATATATATGGATGATTGATATTCATGACTAGAATTTACTATATCATAATGCCTACCATTCCTATTCTGGAAGAAAGATTATTTTCTGCCTTTAAACTTCTATTATCCACCTTGTATTTTGATTGTATTTTCTGCAAACATGTGTATAAAAGCATGTAAAATACACTGTATTCTTAATATTGGCTTCTGAAACTTCTAATTTTTGCTCTGGAAGGTTAATATTTAATGCAATATAAATGCTATTTATTTTTGAAATGATATCCATGATGTATCGTGTAGGCCTACCACGAAAATACTGATAATATGATAAATTGTCAAATAAAAAAAAAATTGAATGTGCCTGGGGTAGATTTAAACATTGGAATGAATTGTATAGAAGATTTTAGCTTGTCTTTTTATCTCCTTGTGTCGCTCTTACTAATCATCAGTACAAGACATGAAGAAAAAAGGTACACTTTTAACTTTGAACATGGTGACTCTTGTCATGACATAGTCCTCAGTCCCATCCATTACATTAGATGTTTGATGGTGATGGTGATGATAATGACGATTATAATGATGGCGATGTTTAAAATATCTAGTACTCGTACTTGTTTGTGTGATGCGGAAGGAACCGTGGCAGCATTTCATGTGCCGTCGTAAGTATGAGTTCGCCGGCCTCCAATTGAAACCAGTGTTATTAATTAACACATGTTTCAAAGGGATGTGGGCTAACTTGTACTGGTGGCTGTTTTGTGACATGATTCTCCGGTAGTCCTCAGTTAGTAGTAGTTGTGGAGATTTTATTGAATTTCATTGTATTTAGATTGGGGCTTTATCTCCCATATTGTCCTACTCATTTCAATTCTCATTTTAAAAAATTGTGAAGAATCGGGTATTATATTAGCAAGGTATGATTTAAACAGCATAATTGAACAATAGCTGAAATGTTCATATTAACGATTATCAATTGATTCTAATTGTCATTCTTCATGTTAATTGCCGTTTTGGGGCGCATTGGAGGTGTACAGTATATAGGGTGCTTTTGTAACAAACCATTTCTTCCAGGCATTATAGGTTGTACATTTTTATAACAGTTATCTTTATCAATAGCTAATTTTACTTTTGAAAATAGGAGAGGAGAGAATTTCTTCAAGAGCCATCGTAATGATTAGGGGAACTGGTTCCCATCCATTTCAGAATTTCATTTGTGGTCTTTAGATGAGGATTATATACGTGTTGCTTGATTCTGGTTTTGTTTTTATCAACTTAAATGTTACTTAGTTACAATTAGCATGATCCAATATATGCTGTAGCAAAAATAGATCTTTTTTGTAATGTAATCAAATTTAATGCATAATATGTGTTATTAAAGTGCCTGTTACAAATTATTTAATTCACCTGTTTTGAATGATTGTACTTCAATAGTCAGAATGCAAATTGCATACAATATGTATTCTTAGGTAGGACAAGCCATAATATTTGTCCTGCCTAGCTAAATTAAAGTATGCAATTCGCATTCTGACCATTGAAATACAATCAATCATAACAGGTGAATGAAGTAATTTGTAACATTGCATTTAACAAAGATTATGCATTAAAATTTGATTACATTACAAAATTGATCCATTGCTCTATGTTTTTAATATTTCATAAAACTAAAAGCTTAGGGTAACAGTTGCAGTTGAGTTTTTAGGACTACATTTAGAATTAGGGCTAGGTATAGTGTAGGTTCTAGAGCTGAAGTTAGAAATTCAATCAGCGAAAGAATAACTGTGGCGCGATTGTTTCAGGAGCATGTGTCATACAACTGCATTTACTTATTCTTTATTTTATTGTGGTCTTTTTTTAAAGTCTTGTTGAGACTATAATGGCGAAAAACAACCTGAAAAAAGTGTACGCACCAAAATGAAATTACCCATGAAAGTATTTTATAACTCGTAAAGAAGTGAGTATGTGTAGGAGCCATTATTGCAGATATGTTTTGTTTTTCACCCAATTGCTATTCATTTACAGTTTTTACATGTAAAATAGTGTAATTTTGCCACAGTGGCATTTGTGGAAGGTAGTTTACTAAAGTCCCCGGAGAGGAACTAAAGCCTTCGGTCCCCTGGGTGCTTACTTACAAGTAATAGCAGTCAGGTATAAAACAAACAAACAAAATATATATGAACAAGGCTTTAGACTTGATGTGCAGCGTCATATGATAAGACTAGATGGCGTAGTCTGAGTCCACCTATTGAGGGCGCCCTGGAATTATTGGGAGGGGTGCAAATGTACAAGGCTACTGATTATTAGGAGAGCGTGGGAGGTGGTCCAGGGGTCTTTAATATTTCATTGTCCTTTTCCTCGTCTCTCTTCCACTCTCTCTTTCTTGCTTTAAAAAAAAAAAAATCTTCTATATTTTCTTTGCCACCCACTCAATTGGGGGGGGGGGGGGGGCACATCATGCTCCCCCTTTGTGTCCCCATAGTTACACTCCTTGATAGACTTGGTATCAGAATGTGACCTTTGATTGTTTTGTTTTCAGTACTTACAAGAGAGATGATCGCTGCCTCTTCCTGTACGTCCAGCAGAACGCAGATGATTTTCAACTCTTCTATCCATCTTCCAGTCAGAGACAAAGGTAAGACAATCGTGACCAGGGGCCAGTTTCTTGAAACTGTCATAAGTCTAAGTTCTTGGACATCCCATAGAAACGTGTGTTAATTCTATAACACTTGTTTCATTTGATTGTCTAAGAAGTAAGACTTATGACGGTTTCGAGAACTTTCCTTACATTTGCTTTGATGACACATACTCTTGGATTAATTCTATCAAAGACATGGGGCTAGTGTCAGGGTTCAAGTTGAGGTTTAGGTTACATGTAGGCTTGGGCTTGGATTATGTGTAGTGTTTGGTCCAGGTTTGAAGTTAGGAGTTTGGTTAGTCTATTAAATTTACTGTGGAGAAGTTATTACTGAAACATCTGTCACAGAGCCAGGGAAATTATACATCTATTTTAGCAGAAGGGGTGGTTGAAGCTTCCTTTGATTTTTCATCTCACCCAAGGTAGGAAGGAACTCTTGTTATTCTTTGATCATAAGGTTGAATTATACATATATGTGTATGTAGATTGATGATATATGAAAAACTAGAGTTGGTTATTTGGGATAATAGTAAGATGCATAGAGGCTATGGGTTGTTGTTTTCTAAGTAATTACATACATGTGCATTTATTTATTTATCAGTACAAAAAGGTATATTGATAAGAAATCATTTGCAGTCAGATGGCCACTTTGCAAATTCTTTTAGTCATAATACTAAATAGATAAAATGAATACATAAAGACATATAATCCAAGGCATCAATTAAGGTTTATGATGATAAACATGCATTTAGTAGGCCAAAGGATCTACCAAATACATCGTTATCATGATAGATATCCGGTATGATTAATATCAGGATGTCATGCATAGCAACAGGTTGTGAACAATTTTAGCAAATGAGAGGTTAGGGTTAGTGTCATGAAGACTAAGGCATATAAGCCACAAAGTTATAATTACCTCTATGTTACATACCAACCTCTTCCCCAGGTTTCATGATCTGATCATGGACATGCTAGGCAGCAGTGCAGTCATTGGAGGTGAGGTGGACTCTGACCTGAATGATGAACCTATACAGGTGAGATTCCCACAGAATCCCAAGAGTTTGAAAAACATTGAGAAATGTGAAGTAAAAGGGGGGGAAAGCATTGCAGACCTTCTGTTATGATCAATGCAAACATAGATTTAAAGAATGCTAATAAAGTATTACTATGAAGTAAAACAAAATTACAGTAAATAATGTTCATGTATAGAGTTATTTATATATCTTGATAACTGGAGTTGTTAGTAGAAGTTGCATATAGTATAACCAAAGTTTGCAATTTTATCATTGGGAAAGATCGTTTAGACAATGGATTAACACCAGTTACATACATGTATAAGCTAAGCATTTTCCATTACAAGCAATCTTTTCATTTAATCTTCATAAAGTTCTTCATACTTCTAGACAGGGCAGGTTCTCTTTTACTAGTTCTTCAGAATGATTTGTATCTTGCACCTAATTTTGTTCACAGATCGAGTACGAGTTCACCGAGTCGAAGGACCGGGTGATGTTGGGTAGAGGGACGTTTGGTGTTGTGTATGCTGCCAGAGACTGCAGGACTCAGGTGACCATAGCGGTCAAGGAGATCCCCATCACCGATATGAGGTAAGATGCTCATTATGAGTCATTTGAGGTAGAATGTTAATCATTTGTCAAAGGAGACAGTATTGCACAATAAGATCACCGTCTGCCTCGCAATATGACTTTTGTTATACATGTGGGTTCAAGTCCAGCACTGAACTGACAGAAATGGTTGTGGCCAAGTTGCGTGTAAGTGTGCCCCTCCCTTCTATTCTCGATTCAGGCTCGGGTTCAGGACAGAACATTAAGTGGAGGCCCCGTGTGTAGGAGAGTCACTCCCTATGCATGTTAATATGCTACACTTCTCGCAACGAGTAGGGCAAGGGCGTATCCAGGATTTTTTTTTTTTAAGTATTTAGCGGCGAATCAGCCAAGGGGGAATAAGCTTCAAATATTTCTTCTGTAATGAAATATTGTACCAAAATTAGACAAGGCAACACACTGGCATGACATTTGGTGCGCTTGTAAGTTAACTCCCCGTTAAATTTCATGCAGGTTCATTATCAAAGCAGTTTTTCTCAACGATTTTAATATTAATCATCTGAATATTGTATACAGACGTTAGGCATCATTCTATGCCTTCTAGAATAAGTTATTTTGGTGGTTGCTCTTCTAAAAGACTCTGATCTTTCTCCTCAACTTCACCATTTTCACTCCTCCCCCTCTACAGGGAGGTACAGCCCCTGCATGAAGAGATCTTGCTCCACTCCAGGCTCAGTCATAAAAACATCGTCAAGTATCTTGGCTCAGACATCGTCGGGAACACCTTCAAGATCTATATGGAGCAGGTCCCCGGCGGTAAGTATGGTAGTGCAAGAAAGATTTGTCTGAATATAAATAAATTCCTTCAGTGTTTCTTATGGTATTATATTGTGATCTATCTTCAGAACTACTCAAGCTTCAAGGTGAATCAATATTATGGACCCAAAGTTTATGTTATATTAATATGGTGTCCATTTGTGGTAAAAAAAAAGAATTGTGTATTAAGCAAAGATTTTGGAGAAAAGCTACTGAAACAGGAATGATTCTGGCAGGGCACTGCTATATATATTCATTGCATAAAAATCTTCAACATATAATTTCATCTTCCATGTATAGTAGAAGATCTTATACCTACTTCACATGGACACTATCATATTTTTTGCCCCAACTTTATGGAATGACCCATATCGTAAATCAAAAACTATTTGATTGACTATTTTATGAACATACAGGGAGCCTGTCTGCATTGCTGAGGTCAAAGTGGGGTCCTCTGAAAGACCATGAAGACACCATCATCTACTATACCAAGCAGATACTGGAAGGTCTTAGATACCTGGTAAGAAACTATTTTCTATTTCATTTTCGTTGGAAAAATAATTCTTCTCTCTTCCATCCACCCCTTCGGTTCCACTTTTTATAAGCTAATCTCAAAAATATATACTGGTATCTTAATCCTGAAAGTATTTAGCTTAATTGCTTTTTCTAATGATTTAAAAATGGGGTAGAGTTGAAGGGGGTACAATGTTCCCCCTTACCAGTCAAGAGCAATAGATCAGCGATAAATTGTGCACCCATCTCCAACAGTACTTCTTCATTTATTATGCTAGACTTTTTATCTTTTGTCAATTATTTTTAATGCAAATAATTTTCTGAAATATGTACTTTTGTTTTGATTTGAATTTGAATGAATGGTGGTGGTTATTTTACTTGACTGTTAAGAGAGCAAAAATGCTTGTAAGTACATGTAAGCAACCAGACAGCCGACAGCTTAAGGTCCTCTCTTAGGGACCTGGTAATGAGATTTAACAAAGAAAAACTTCTTTTGATGCAATTGATACACGAGAGAGTAAATTTTGACATCCTTTATCTCCCATTTCAGCATGACCAAAAGATCGTCCATAGGGACATCAAAGGAGACAACGTACTGGTCAATACATACAGCGGAGTGGTCAAGATTTCAGACTTTGGGACATCCAAGAGACTAGCTGGCTTGAATCCAGCAGCAAGCTCATTCAAAGGTGTGTATTCTTCTCTTTTCTTCTCTCTTACTTGACTTTCCTTCTCATATTTTATCTCTTGAATATATCAAAATTATTCTCATTCAGACACACACAAAAAAAAAAATGCTGCAGGAAAATAGTGCATTGCTCTTTACATGTACATGTACATGTATCTGTATCTTTTCATACACAGATAACTATTTATATACTACACATACAGTGTAGCACCCATTCTATGCCAGCTGTGAGGAAGTTTACACGCAATATTTCATAAATATTTTAAGAGTTATGTTTTGGACAATATTATAAAGGATAAATATTTATGATTGTTAGTGCTATTTGATGCATGTTAAAAACAATTTTGCTGATTGCTCTCTTTCTTTCTCTCTCTCTCTCTCTCTCTTTTTCTCTCTCTATCTCTGTCTCCCACTCTCTAGGCACCCTTCAGTACATGGCCCCGGAAGTGATTGACAAAGGTCTAAGAGGTCATGGCGCTCCAGTAAGTATAGATTTTAAATGTATGATTGGATGTATGTGTGTCATTTATTCTAGGTGTATAGTCATGTAAATCAAATCAAAGTCAGATATTTCAACCACTGGGGGGTGTTTCACAAAGATCCTAAGTCGAAATTATCTTTAAGTTGGACTTAAAGTTAAAGCCATTGGCATCTCTGAAAATATTCTGTAAAAGTTATTTAAAAAGGCATAAAATGTTGATTCAAATCATTTATATTTTCTATTATCAAGGAGATTTTATGTTCTTGATGTGGAATTTATGAAAAGTCTAAAATACTTCCATTTTTGCTTCTGAATATATTTCTCTTAAGGCTACAAATGGCCCTCCATAATGTTTAAGTCCAAAGTAGAGTTAAGTTCGACCTAGGATCTTTGTGAACCCCCCCCCCCTGGAATACCAGGAGGAAAAGCTTAATTTAATGATTGTGGCATAGAGCTTCCTATTATAGTTCTAGTTTATGAAAAAAAAATTGATTACACACAAAAGTTGAGAATACTTAATAAAATGAAATTACAGTATTGTCACTTTTTTATTAAATGAATGGTTTTATTCTTAACTTTTGTCCTCTTCTTTCTTGTAGGCTGACATCTGGTCACTGGGTTGTACCATCGTTGAGATGGCCACAGGAAAACCCCCTTTCATTGAGGTGAGATATTTATGTACATTACTACTATCGTGTCAAATTAGTCACTACATACCCAGTCAGTTGAACACTTGAACAATAGCTGCATGTATGTAGAGAAAAGGGATGTTTCAGCCTGGTTTTGAATGTGACCTGCTACACTACGTGATACAGGTGAAAAAATCTTTTGATAAATTGCCAGTTTGGAATAATTGCAATTAATGAATTCATGCATCTAAGTATATATTTGTGGAAATAAGACAAATGATTAAGTTTTCTTTTCTTGTTCTTTTCTACAGCTGGGTTCACCTCAGGCTGCCATGTTTAAGGTTGGATTCTACAAGGATCATCCTGAGATCCCGGAAAGCCTCTCAAACGCAGCCAAGGAGTTCATACTCAGGTACGCTTGATTCATCGGATGCTCAGTTGAGGATGTTCAATAAGCGATTTTGTAAATATTTGTGCATGGGTAGATAAAGGTCATTCGTTCCCAAATTGTAAAACCATTGCGACGAATACTGGTATCGTGCTCATGAAAGTTATGTAATCAGTATTCATTCATGCACCGACAGTACATTTATCTGATGCACAGGTAGAAGTATTCTTCTCAAGAGGCAAACAAAAGGTATTCATGAAGCACCTCCATCACTTCAGTAGTGATGTTTCTAAGTGGCACAAGTGGGACGTATCCATCGTGTAAAAGATCTGTGGATATTTTGGGGTAATTCGTTCCTCAAAGCTATTCACGAAATGGCTTATTCGAGAACCCCATGTTTCAGAGTTGTTTTTTAATCTAACTCTACAGCTCATTTCAGTGTTTGTACAGAGTCTGCATTTTAACCCATGTCAGTTTACACTTTAGTTTGTCATTGTTGTTGAATTTATCAGTTTTACTTCCTCAAATTTGCAACAATTAATCTTATTTTCCAATCCTTTATAGTTTGAAGAATTTTTTGAAATTCAATTAACCAATGTGAAAGAAAATGCGAAATTTAACCTCAAAATAAGAAACTAATACTAAATTTTAAAAGGACTCATATTAATGTAAAACTTTCTAGGCTACAAGAAGATTAAAAACATTCTAGAAGCAGTTCGAGCCATGTTTTATATGTGGCGCATTTTTGGTCAATGCAGCCACAGAAGAAGTCTTTAGAAAATTGTTGTAAAAGTTACTTTAATGATAAGATTTTAATGGAAAATATCTGATAATGTATGCTCCTCATCAAGCAGTTCACTTTCAAATCAGAAGGGATCATCAATTTATTGCGTAATTGAAGAATAGTTTTGAATAAATACATACTCTGACAAGTTTGGTTGTTTGATGGTTGACCTGACTGCTAAGAAAGCATGTGTATGCTTGTAAGAAAGCAATCGGGGGACCCAGGGTTTTAAATCCTCTCTGAGGGACTTGGTAATGAGGATTAATGCCTTACCAAAGGGCACTATAGCGCATCGACTTGGTTTCGAACCTGGGACCTGGGACCTCCTGGTTACAGGAGCACTGCCCTACAACGAAGCCACCGTGCCTCCTCTAGTACAAGATAACAGATTCAATACACATTTGTTCACAGCTATTCTGTAATTTTGTAGTATTTGTCAGTTCTATGTTAAAATTGTTGAAATTTTGTGTCCTTTTTTATTTTGTAGATGCTTTGAGCCCGACCCAGAGAAGAGGGCTACAGCCCATGATCTTCTTCAGGATCCATTCCTGATCAAAGGGAGGAAAATGAGCAAAAAAACTTCAGCAGCTGATTATAGGACGGACAGAAGCATATCAAGTAGGTTCATGGATAGCATGTGTTTGCATGATGATGATAATGATGATGATGGTGATGTTAATAGTAATGATATTGATAGTGATGATGATGATGATGATGATGATGATGATGATGATGATGATGATAATGATAATGATATTAATAATGATAGTGACTATTATGATGATGATGATGATGATGATGATGATGATGATAATGATAATGCTGATCATAATGATAATGATATTGATATTAATGATGATACTGACGGTGATGATAATAATGACAAAAATTATAAAGATATTGACAATTGTAGTGCTAGTAATGAAGATGATGATGATAGTAATGATGTTTTTCCCATCACGAGTAACCAACCAAGGCACTATCAACCAAAACATCCAACAGTATTGAATTTGATGCTGCTTAGAAGTATCGTCTTGCATGGTGATGTAGTTATACAGTAGCTTGACTTCCCCCCTCTCTCTCTCACATGGTGCAACCGTAAACCTGTATAGTATTGAATTCAGTGTCCAACTTTGACATACATGCTGTTATTGTCAAAACTATAATTTCATCATTACTCTTACAATTGTCAGTGCCAATGGTTAATCCTGGTAGCCGTCCAGAGTCTCCCCTGACCCTAGCATCGACTCTCTCCAACTTCAGCGAAGCGGATGCAGCGTCCAGGTAAGTCTCAAAGATATCTTGTCTTGTTTTGAAAAGTTTGTTCAAGGGAGCTTTTAAGGAGTTTAAATTATCATTTTAATTCAGATTTTCTGTACAGTGATTCTAATATGTGTGTGTTTGTTTTGTTTGTTTTCCTGTTCTTGTTTTTGTTTTGGATCGTTATTATTGTTAAAAAAATTAATAGAGCATATTTTCCAGTTTTACATAATTCTTTTTGAGATTTCGAGAGCTAAATGTAAATTACTCAAGACTCCTACTTTTTAATTTCTTCAATGCTCCAAGAAGCAGACCAAACCATCACCATGCGTGTCCCATTTTTATGAGATTAGTGATATATATTTCTTTTTCTTTGGGTCCCCTAGACTTCAGATTTGTGCAGCTTACCTTCTTGTAAAGCTTGTTGCTTATTTGTTGTTTTTGTGACACAGGCATCTGTATTGTGACAACAGGCTTATATATTGGCTTATTTTTAGAACCACATACAATGTCCATGTGCTCAAGAAATGCCCTGTAAAATAGATTGGTGAACAGTCAAAACACATTTTTTATTGTCTGTTTATGTACTGTGTTTTGGTTTATAAGCTCACTATTTATTCATGATAAGAGCTATGTTATTATTATGGTCATTATTATCTCACATTCACTTTTATTTTATGTTGCCTGTCCAGTTGTCTTTAACTACAAATATTGCTTTTCAATGCCCTTGCACAATCATTACTGTAGTTCATGTTTTCCTGTGTTTTGCTTGTGCTTATAACAGTCAACAATTTATGAAAACCAAGCAGATAAGCCTAACCTGAAAGAGTTTGAGAATTTAAAAATTGTAAGGATCACATATTTGTTGCACTCTCACTTTGCAGTATCCGGCTTGACAAGCGAAGATCACTCGAGCTTTTATCACCTGGGTGAGTTGTTGTCAATCAAATTGTTTGTTGGTACATTTTCTGTGACTATTTTGGCCTAAATATTACAAAGTTAGACTACATATAGAGTACCGAAGTGTGACGTCATCCTAGCCAAGTTGTCAAGGTTGCTGGTTTCAACAAATTTCATGCTAAACAATGGTTTGGTGATCACACCAGCACCAAATTCTAAATTGGCCCTGCTCCATCCCGCTGCTTGAATGATATCATGGTAAACCTCATGCACAGGCTCTGTTGTTTAGAACCAGTAACCTGGACGACGAGCGAATATGAAATTAGCACTACGGTACTCTATATAGCTTGGTTAAATCATGGACCTACATGTACTACGTTGTAGGTGGTTAAATTGTCAATTTACTATGGACGGCCAACAGGTAAAATTAAGGAAAAACAAGAAGAAGCAAAATATATGTACAAACAAAAAGCTTTACATTTTTTTGTCTGTGTAAGTTTTTTGTCTGCTAAATTACAAAGGGCACCTCTTTTTTATTTTTCAAAAACATTTTTTGTATATATTTTGTGTGTGGCCCGGCCCTTTGACCTACTATAGTATAAAAATTGGGCACATACCTTTGTTAAGGTTTAAACTTCTTTCGTGAATTTGTGCCTTACTGTCTTTATCCTTTCATTGCACACACCCCTGCCGAATTTCATGCTCCAAGAATATAAATAGCGCCCTCAAAGTTCTGAAAATGGCTTTCTTTCTGTGGCCATAGCTCGTTCCTGGCCAAACCCGTTCCCCTCAATGCATGCATATAGATTGCGATTCTAGTTATGATCATTGTTATTATTATTATTATTGTTGTTTAAGTTGTGGTTCCTACTATTTTCATTGTTGTTTAAAGCCCCACTGTCCTACTTGTAGCTACTTGCTCCCTCTATATAGAAAACTTCCGCAATCGGTGCCTGTTGGTCCCCCATGATCCTCTATTTCTTATGTTATTTGAGAGCTTAGTTAATGAGATAGCCACCTGTCAGTGACCTCGCTGTGTGGTCTAATCCCTCCTAGCCACACTAATATTGATAAGCTTTAAGTTGTTGTTACGGTAGTTGTTACTATTATTTTTTATTGATGTTACTATTGTCATTATTACTATTATTGTTATCATTAATAATTTTATTATTATGATATTATTATTTTTGTTAACAATTATTACTATCATTATAATTATCATTAATATCATTATTATTATTATTATTTATGAGTTAAGAAATATTATTTCTTTATCTCCATAGACATTATTCCTGGCATAATTCATCTTTACTCAGGTAGAATGTATACGTTTTTACATTTTTTCTTTGAGAATTTTGAGTGAGGTGTGTAACCAAAAATATTAGATAACATTACAAAAACGGAGCATTTTAGATAGCACAAATAATATAATCCTGAAGTGTTTGCTGTAGGTACTCTTTTCAAGTCTTTCAAACCTAAATATATTTACTAACTTTTGTATGCTTTCATCATTTTTCCCCATTCATTTACGAATTTTTGTTAGCATGGCGGTATGATCATCATGTACATGTATTACTAATATGGTTTTGTTTCAATGTGTCGCAAAAACCATATGCAGGGGATCGGCTACATTTTTATCATCTTATCAATTTCTATCAATTTAAAGCTGATCTGGAGTTCTGGTGTGGGCAACGTATGTTGAGAGAACTGCCTCTAATTAATTTTGGATTGTTAACCCTGCAGTAAATTGATTGTTTGGACCAGTAAATAAAAACAAACTCACAAAAACTTGCTGGAAATCATCTTCAATAAAAACCACAACTCTCATTTGCACATGGTGCCGGGCCTACCGTACTTACCTTGATTTCCTTGTCATTCTCTGCTCATTACTCAGCCCCTAAACATTTTCTACCAAAATTGTTTGGCACATTTCATTTATTTGTTATCTTGAACATTCAGTGTAAGTTTTGTTGGATTATGTGAGAATTTATTTTCTATCATTTTCAAACTCAAACTTATCATTAATTGTGAGAGAACTTCCAAGATCAGATTTAGATATTGATAAATGAATCACTAAACGAGTAAACTTAAAAGAAGGATGCAGCTAGATAATCATATTTCTAACTGAATGCACGAAAAGCATACCAAATAAAAAAAAATCATAATCACACAAATAATCAAGGTTGTTACAAAAGCATAGAGACTATTATCAAATTTTGATAGTGCGGGCTAAAAAGGAGTATGGAATGGTTATACCATTTTCTTTTTGGAGGGAGGTTCTTTCTATCTGTTTGTAGAACTGAGCATATATGCATGTAGTTTTTGAAGTTTCCATTGTCTTGCAATATTTAATCAGTAAATCATTGAAAACGTAAAAATGCATACCATGTAAAGAATACAAATTTCCACCGCTTTGCTTGGAAAATAAGTATCATCCTTATGAAATAATAGGCATCTGCCATTCAGTGAAAACATGTGTGTACCATACAATGATACTTTTTTGACCATTTTCTCTTTATAGCCATTAGTTGTATTTTCATGTATAATAAAACCCTTTCCTTATACCTCTGGTATTTACTACATTTTCCACTATATATTTGGTAATTGGTATACTACTAACTATTAGGAGCATTGTAGATTAGACCTAACGTCAACTGTTTCCATGACAACCATATATTTGCAGTGTTATAAAGCCATAGCTTCTTGAGAGGGATAGTTGTGTCACAGGAAGTTGCTTCTGATTGGTCAGGGATTTCATGAAGCTCCAACATAGTTCCTCTTCATATAGATTGTACGTGGGAGGGAACTATCTGGAGCAACATTATTTAACCTATGCCCCATCTCTCGTATGCATAGATGCGTCATTCCATAAAGTTAGGGCAAAAAAATATGATGGTGTCCATGTAACGTAGGTATGAGATCTTCTACTACACATGGAAGATGAAATTATCTGTTGAAGTTTGTATGAAATGAATTTACTTAGTAGTGCCCTGACAGAATTGTTCCTGTTTAAGTTGCTTTTCTTTAAAATCTTTGCTTAATACACATTTTTCTTTTTACCAGCGTTACATGGACACCATATTCATATAACATTACATAAACTTTGGATCCATAATATTAATTCACCATGAAGCTAGAGTACTTCTAAACATAGTTGGCTATGTTTTGTTTTGCAATACTCAATTTGAGCAAACATTTTTACAGTTGATTGGAGACATAGTTTCTCACTTCTGGTATGTCACAAAAATTGCCCCAACTCTGTTGAATAACCTAGATATGTTTGTCACAACTATCTCTCTCGATAGGCTATGATGCTATCATTTAGAGTTTGTTGTGTGGTGCTCAGCAGATGGCTTGTTTCCCCAAGCTGTAAATCAGAAACCTTTGTCATTCAGCTCTGTGAGTGACCAAGAGTAGCTTCAAATGGTTCATGCTGTAAAATATTTTAATTCAACAATGAATTTGCCGTTTGTGATAAGTTTGTGGTTGTTTTGACCAACAAACATGTATCAAGTAACTTATGAAAAACCTGCTGCAATACCGGTACACTGAAATGTACAAAGGGATGTATGGTTTTATAAAACAAAACAGCAAAGGGGATTAATCATACCTTACTTATAATCACTCTGCAGTTTCAAAATATGCTCAACAAATTCCATTTTCACAACTTCACTCTGCTATTTACTCAGCGATTTTGACTCCATGTATTTCTATCCAAATATTATATATCCAAACACATTTACTTGATGTTAGTTGATAAATGTTGATTTAATTTTTGTCCCTGTTTTAAACGAGACGGGTTAAATGTTGACATGTAACCAACGTATTGAGGAGAAGCTTGTGCCATTTGATGTTTTTTCTTTATACAGAAATATGACACCATATAAATGCTGTGAATCATCATCATCATCATATGTAAACAAATGGGCAGCTGGGTGTTCACTTTACACAAATTACATAAACCTCTGATATTATTTGGTTGTGTGCTGTCATGGGCATCGCTCTTAGTTGTGTATTTTTTAATAAAGGTGTGAGTGATGTGCATTTTCAACATGTTTTTCATTAGGTTCACATCTTTTGATTTTTTTTAAAGGGATATAAATCAAATATACCATGCAATACTTTCAAGGCACAGGTAAAATTATGGATCTTTGATGATTGGCATGAAGGCTATATTCTTCAGAGCCGTGCCCCTCAGTTAACAGTGCTATGCTAGTCACTCTAGATAATCCATAGTTTCGACTGGAGCCTCTCAAGGCATGGTACATACAGTGCGTCCCAGAAAAAAGGAAACCAAGAATGATCAATGTTTTATGAAAACTTAATCACAATTACTTTTTGGTACCCTTTCTTCAAATTGATTTTAATTACTCATGCTTGAACTATGCAACATGTGACTTGCATAAAATGAAAGAGGAGGATCTAAGCTTTACAAAAATGTGACATTTATTAATTAAATTGTGATTAAGTTATGATAAAACATTGATAATTCTCGGTTTTGTTTTTTCTGGGACGCACTGTATTTGACTATCATTAGTATTATAATTACTTTGTATTCTGGATACAGCAGCAGTGAAGATGGTCTGGAGACACCGGTCACCCCCGACAATAGGGAACAAGGTGGTTTCTACATGCTGAGGAAAGACAGCGAAAGACGCCAGACGTTACTCACTATCATTGAAGGCGATGGGGATAAGGTGAGTGATTTTGATGAGTTTCTTTCCGTTCAAATTGGCAACAGCAAAATTTATCTTTATGCTAAGTAAAGACAGCGAGGGAGGGCAAAGATTACTCACTATCGACTCAAGCATTGGCCTCTGCATTTATCTTGATAATTTTTTACTTACCTCCATACTTTCAAGCTTTAAATTATGCATTTTTATCTGTGTGTATTTAAGTTGTCACTCTTTATGTAAATCAATTATATTAAATACTATTATTGTTATTTGAATGTTTTATATGTGATTTATCAATAAATGCAGAAACATCTGCTAAAAAAAAAAAAATTAGTTAGGTGATGTGGGGAATTTAAGTAATTTTTTTTAGTTTCTCTCTATTCAAATTGGCAACAACATAACTAATTATCTAAAAGCTGAGGGAAGACAGCAAACTCATTTTAATTGAAGCTGGTGGGGACATAGTGATTTTTTTTTAAATAATTTTGTTTTCTACTCAAATTGGCAACAATAACATTTGTCTCTGTGCTAAGAAAAGGCAATGCAAGATGATAAACATTTTTATTCACTGGAATTGATGGAGATGGAGAGCAGACAGCGAATTTTTATTACAGAATGAGTAACTCAGTTTTTCTCTTTAAATTGGCAACAACTTTGTCTTTCGCTTTGACATTCATGAATGACTCACTGTTTCGTTAAACTTTGAGATGGAAAACTGTAGTCACTATCATTGAAGAAGATTAGGACATTATGAGTGATTTTATGAGAGGATGAGTGAATTTCTCTCTTCAAATTTGCAACCATATCATATGTCTTATGTCTGTTTGTTGGGGAAAGGCAGCGAGAGCCATTGCTAATGTAGGACTGAATATATAGATGACTTATTCCATTGTTTATTGACAGATTGTGAATGAATGGATGAAGAAATTGCAACTGAGCGGTGATAGACCACCAACCAAAATTACAACAGTAAGTATACATGACATTCATAGACCTGTCATATTTTCCCTTCCCCCTTCCTACCCCCCCCCCTTTTTCCCTCTCTCTCGCTCTCTCTCTCTCTCTCTCTCTCTATCTCTCTCTCTCTCTCTCTCTCTCTCTCTCTACCTCCCACTCCTCCTTATTCCTTTCCCTCTACCCCTCTCTCCATTCTGTTTTTGCATCTTTCTCTCTCTTTCTCTCTATTTCCCTACCTCTCCCCCCTTTAGTACCGGTATCTCTCTTTCTCTCTCTCTCTCTCTCTCTCTGTTTGTGTTTGTCATATTGTCCATGTATGTTTAAAGTATGATCAAAGATATGAAACAGACTTCCCTTTACTGTAATCAAGGGTTTATCATCAATTTTCTGTCCCTAAACATGACTCATATCTCTTGGTATTTTTATGCCTCCGTTACGAAGTAGCCGGAGGCATTATGTTTTCGGGTTGTCCGTACGTACGTCCCGTTTCTGTGATCGCGTTATCTCAAGAACCGCTTTATGGATTCGTGCCAAACTTAGTTCATGTATGTATCTTACAGAGCTTATTAATTTATTAGATTTTGGGGTCATGAGGTCAAAGGTCACAGTGCTCATTATGTATGCAAAAATAGCTCATGATCGCGTTATCTCAAGAACCGATTGATGGATTCCTGCCAAACTTAGGTCATGTATGTATCTTGCAGAGCCGATGAATTGATTAGATTTTAGGGTCACAAGGTCAAGGGTGAAAGGTCACAGTGCTCATTATGTATGCAAAAATAGCTTGTGATCGCGTTATACCAAGAACTGATTGATGTATTTCTGCCAAACTTAGGTCATGTTAGAACCTATATAGACAGATTACCATCAAACACAGGACATGTATGTACCTTGCTGAGCCAATGAACTAATTAGATTTTAGGGTCATGAGGTCAAAGATAAAAGGGTCATACATGTATATGAAAAATAGCTTGTAATCACGATATTACAATTAAACTTGAATTTAAAAAATTGCCTCTGTTTTGTGAAATCGCTCTATGGCGGAAGCATCATTTTCGACTGCGTGCAGTCGAAGTTCCATCTAGTTATACTTATATTCTTTTTCTTTCAGGATCACCTAATGACGTTGAACCATGGTATAGCTCTGTTTATCAAGCAGAGGGAGCGCAGGATGCTGGTGGGCACGCTAGGTAAGTCAGAATCTTAAAGCCGCCCCACCCAGTTTTTTAATTTTTAAAATAGCCCAGTCTCTTTAGGGTTAACAGAAGAAGATTGCACTTGCTATTTTCAATAATGATTTTTTTTAATTTAAAGCCACTATAAGGCTAGCTGAAACACTTCAATACTTTATACTGAAAGACTGGATTATTTTGAGGAATTCTAGTTGTAATGTATAATATTTCAGGGGGGAAACAATATTCATCAATCTAAATCAATATATTGTCTTTACTTTGCCCTCACTCTTCACAGATAAACTGCGCGATGATTTAGACTATGATCCTACGGCTCTCAGTGAAATTCATACTGCTTTATATGTGTTCCAGGATTCGGTAAGTAATGTCGGGTGCATTCAGCCTGCTGTATCTAAAATTCAGGGGTAAAATACAATGATTCTATAATGTTAATAATGATACTATCCTAGCAAATGTTGGATATTTAGCTGCTCTAAAACAAAATGTATTGTAACATTTATAAACATCAAATATTGAAAACGGAAACATAGTACTGAAAAGAAAATGAATTGCTGGTAGATGAAATTACTTTGTTAATGAATTGGATAACATTGAAATTATTTTGTGATTTTTTTTAAGGGCTCTTTTTCAGGTAGTGGGACAGTTATATCCATAACAGAAAGTAGAATTTGTGTTTCAGAATTATGATTCCTTTTTAAAGACAGTGTGAACTGCATGCATACATGTAGATAACATATTTTTAGTACCAGGGCAGTGTTTCACAAAGACTAAGATCAACTTTAAGTTGGACTTAACTATGGGAGGCCATTCATGCCACTGATTGCTCTCACCATTATGATCATTAGATAATATATTTTTTTTCTACAATAATGAATTATCAACAAATATAAATTCTGTAGATTTGTGACCATGATTTGTACGTCCCTTGAGAGATCAATGCCAGTAAACGGTAAGAGCAAATAGTGGCATGAATAGGCTACCATAGTTAAGTCCAACTTAAAGTTGATCTTAGTCTTTGTGAAAAACTCCCTAGGGTACATAGGACAGCATCTGATTGCAAACCCATAATCCTGAATATCATCATTAGCACAAATTATCTTGTCACAGGTGAATCAAGTGCTACGTCAACACATGCACAACATCAAGCCTCACTGGATGTTTGCTCTGGATAGCCTGATCCGAGATGCGGTCCAGGTCACCATCACCATTCTCAGTCCAGGTAAGACTATTATTGTTCTTGACAACATGAAAGATTACCATAGGCTTGCCAGACATAGCAACATAGGGAGGTGCAATAGCTCAGTTGGTAGAGCAGTGGTCTAGATGCGCTAGTGCCCTTCGGTAAGGCATTAATCCTCATTACCAGGTCCCTCAGAGAGGACCTAAAGCCGTCATCCGTCTGGTTGCTTTAATACTAACAAGCATTTATGCTTTTTTAGCAGTCAGATAAAATAAAAACCACCACCAAGTAATGCATGCAGACTGGATTCCAAGTATTGTTGTAATAACAGATTGATGGAATAACTCATCACTTATTGTATACACGGTAGGTGTGGTAGGAAAGAATGATCCATGGTCACTTGTTGTCAATTTACCAATTTTATTGCCTTCATTCTAGAACCCATTTTATAATAAAAGCTGTTACATATGCAGTTTTCGTTTATGCTCCTTAGACATACCTGCACACTATAAGAGAGAACATCAAGGGCTTTGTATCTGTGTATGTAATGCAGTAGTACAGGCATCCGTACCACAGTGCTGATAGCAATATATCTAGATCACTAACTTTACTATTAGATCTACTACAACTGTTTGGCACAGAGCTTTGGGGTGTACTTGATACTGCTTGTGGAGGTGTCCTGGTATAGTGGTCCATTGACTTCATTCACAATCAAAAGGTTGAGGGTTCTAACGAGGGCAATCCAATCCAAAGGATATTTGATATAGTTTTTCCTCACAGTTACAAAGCGCTGCACACACGCTCCACAATGTTTTGGCCACTTAAAAACAAAATTTAGACAATTCTCAGAGATCAATCAAGTATATGTAGGCTGGTAATAAAGTAATTTCTAGCAGAATAGATGTGACTTGAGTAATTTCTTAGGACTATATCTTCAACTTCTGTCCACCTGTCTATCCCTTCACAGATCTTGGAGAGAACATAGCACCCAGCAAGGAGGACGATGTGACCCCCGCAAACTCCCACGGCATGGACACCCGCAACCCTGGGACATCCAGCGGGGGCGGCGGGGGCATCTACGGCACTGCCCCCCACTTCCTGCCCCTCCCGAAGGGGGTGGACGAAGAGGCGGGGAACACGTCCGGGGTGTCAACCTTCGACAGCTCCACCAGGTCCAACGAGTGCTTCATACCCAATCGTAACCTGATGGCCAACTTGCAGGGGGACCACCAAAGGCTTGTCCAGGAGCAGGGGAGGTAGATATAACCTGTCAATGAAGAATGTTCTTATTTATCTTGAATCATCTAATTGTGTGTTTGGAGAATCTGTTTTAAATGATGTGATAACACCCTTCTGGCTCCTCACAGAATTATGGAGAGGTAGCCCCGAAGCTGTTTAACAGACTGGGTATGGGTTATTTCAGATAACAGGCAAATATTAAACACATGTGTAATTATTATCCTACGCAATATAATAGATGTTTTTTTTCAAATATTTAAACTTATATTCTTATGTATTTTTTTTGGGGGGGGGGGATTTAATTTGGAAAACAAATGTTGGATTAAAATGATCATGGTTCAATTTTAGATTCATGGAACTAATTTTGATGAAGCCTTAATTAAATGCTGATGCTATTGGCTTGTTATAATTTTCAAATAAGAATTATTAGGAAAGTGAATTCTTAATAAACAAAATTCAGCCACTATTTCCTAAGGTGTTTTTCCTCTTTTTCTTGGCCCAACTGGATATGCTCAGCTAACTTTTATGATGCGTATTACTTCATATCTGTAGTATATCTGTAAAGCGCTTAGAGACGTCCGAGATGTATTAAGCACTATATAAAAGCTGAATATTATTATTATTCATATCTTGCAGGTTACTTCAGGAGTTGGTAGACGTCCAGAAATCCCTGAATGATGTCCTTCAGACCCAGCTGTGTGTTAGTAGATCTGTGATGGAGAGAATAGGGTGAGTATTCTGGGGTAGATCAAGGGGCTGGGGGAGGGGGAGAGGGGGAGAAGGGAGAGGGGGAGGAGGGAGGGGGGAGGGGGACATGGTCTCCTAGCTATAAAGTTCAATGTTACAGCAGTCAGAAAATGTACTTTTCTGCTCTCCAGGCAAAAGTTAAGAACTGATTGTGCTTTGTCAGCGATCTTTATAGACATACATTGTACTGTATTGTATAAAAGAATTATGACTTTCATACTCACTGAAGCCACTACACCTACTCGATATATTATAAGTTGTTTTTATTAATGTAAAGAAAATATAAAATCTTTGTTATCAATACCTAATAATTCAACTGATTTATATTGCCATTTACAGTTTGAATCCCATTTGATAACTATTTCTTGTGCCTTTTGAATTATATTTTTAATGCCTTTTTTTAATATTTTTTTTTATACATATACATGTACACATATCATATTTTTGTAATGGGGTTTGCCATTGATAGGCCTTGATAGTCCTGTTGCCTCTGCAAACCTCACCATATTTGAATTTGTTTGTGTTCTATACTTGTTCTTTTCTCTTTTAATTTACCGTACATGTTACTGTCTCTGTGATTGTTCTTTTTATTCAAATGTGAAAATAAAATGAATTGAATAGAATTGAATTAGTTTACTTTGACTCTACTTTTCATCATGTGCAGTTTCCAGCCTCTCGGTGCTACCGACTCGGTCAACTCAAATCTACAAGATGGCAGAGGTAAAGGATTAGAAACAAATAAAAATTGTTCTCTTTTCATCTTTTTAAAAACTGTACTGTTGGGACCTAAAGATTGAAAGTAGACTGTAGAATAAATAGAATTTAAAGCCTATCTGCACTTGTTTGGCCAGGAGGGATTAGACCTCCCTGCATGGTCACTGACAGATCAAATAAGCTCTCAATTAAACATAAGAAAAAGGGGACCATGGGGGACCAATGGGTAGCGCTTAGGCATTGTTTGCTATATAGAGGGCACAAATAGCTACAGGTAGTGCAGTCCCTCTTTAAAGCTAATTCTCATCTCTAATGCTCCTACAACAGCAGGATTTGAATGTTCCACACAGTTGAAAATAGCTTTTAGATAATTGAATGAATGACAAGTTTTTGATGAAAGTGAGTTTCCTAATCTATGGTTATGTGATGCTGATAGTTTGATATTTGCCTTATAAAGTGTCATGCTTTTTAAAGTCAGTTGATAGAAAGGCAGGCAAACATTATATATCTAGCAGGAAACAATGCACAGTCAAATTTGCTATACACTATATAGTTTCTTACCACATTATGCCAGCTCTCCTTTTGGAAAAACACAGAAACATTGACAAAAAGGATATTATATTTCAATTATTTCTTAGTATTGTATTATTTTCTCTCCCATTATCGTCCCAATCATCGTCCCAATCATCGTCATCTTCCTAACTGTTATCATCATGATCCCCACCACCACCACCATCATTACCACCATGACCATCACTGTCATCATTATCATCATCATCATCATCACTGTCATCATTATCATCACCATTATCATCACCACCTCCATCATCATCATCACATCGTTATCACCACCACAACCATCACTGTCATCATCATCATCATCATCAGCTGGAGTGGAAGCTAAGCAGGAGGAGTTATCGTCATGGTTACAGGCAGTAGGACTGGATGAAGATAGTATTAGAAGGGTAAGATATACATTCTGCAGTGCAAGAGTAAAACAATACATTTCTCTCATAGAATGATACTTTTCAGTGTAATTGATATGTTGGTTTAAAAAACAAGTGGCACACAAATTAGTTCTTCTGCAGTAATCTTCAACTTGATGACAAAATATTATTCCCAATGTACCATCTATTACTGATGCATGCACAAAACGATGAAATGACAAGGTATTATTGACATATGATTATAATTGGCTTTAGGCTCTACCTGGACATGAAAAGGGTTGGATCTTGGGTGGAAAATAGCAATCTACTAAGAGTCAGGATATTAACCTATATCATTTTACACAGAGTTAATGCCTTTTGCCTCTCAACAGACAATATAGAAACTGAATTAAGATTGTTCCATGCCTCAGCTTAGATTAGATTAGCAGTAGATCCAGAATTTTGTAATAAGGGAGGGGGGGGGGGGGCACAATCTGCAAAATGACTGAAAATTAATGTTAAGTGGGCAATTATTTTGCCTACAGGGTTTCAAGGGGAGCATTGGCTGATTGTAGTTCCCCCACCCCCAAATATCTGTGTCTGGCTTAAATTGTGTTTTCCATTCTTTTTTGTGTCTTTGTTGTAGTTTATTGAAGAGGACCTCACCTTGCCACTGGTTCTCAATTCAATGACACGTGATGACCTGAGATCTCTCAAAATTAGGTGAGTTTTTGCAGTTTTATGCCGTTACAGTGTATTTGTCAGGCCGTACTATAAGTTTTCATTCATTGATTCATTCAATGTAGGTTCAATGTGCATTCAAACTTGGAAAATTGTTTTTTGCTCACGTTGATAGGAAAGCTCAAGTAGTTTAAATTGTATTTGCAATACTAGAACATAAACAAAAAATTGATGATGTGATAAAATACTGTGATGTACATGACATACCGGGTAACGTGATATTACACCAACTTGGAATCTAAAGATATCTCAAGACACAGAGCAAAAAACTACTGTAAACTTTATTTCATCTTCCCGATCCACTGAGTTCATGAACCTGTATCTCAAAGAGTATGTTTCACCAGACCTCATATTCAGTGGAGAACATTTGTTAATAATTCCTAAAGAAGGATGCGCTGTTCTTGTCCAAACATACTGGAATGGGAGATTTACTGTAACAATGAGAAACTTTCATGGACTGAACCGTTATCAGTGCCATGTTTCACATATTGCAAAGAGATTCACATTATAATTCTATAATGCTATCATTTTGCAGCTTAACAAATCTAGATCACTTGCAAAATTCCTAACAGTTTCTGGATTTACACTAAGTGGGATCTTTTGTTATTGATCTGACCGTTTTGCTAATTGTTCTTCTATCCTTTCTATCAGGGTCGGAGCCCAGGTGCGCATATGGGACGCCGTCCAGCAACACAGAATGAACGAACAGAAGAGATAAAAGCAACTTTCACAGGAATCCTCTCTAGCTATCTCTATCTCTTCCCTAAGTCTGTTCTACATTTGAAAGAATAGGTCTCGTATGTAGTGTAAACATTTGGTGCAATTTAGTCTTTCTTATCTTCTCTGCTTGGAGACCTATTTGATGTTAGGTTTGGGGATGGAATGCTTCACATGAACAATTTCAGAGATTTTGAAATTAGAGCTGTTATGAGTCATTCAGTGAAAACACAACACTTATGTCCTAATGATGAGTTACAATCATGGCATTTAACAGAGTCAGAGAGTGATGCAATATATTGTAAAAGCGGGCACTCTTTCTAATGACGTCTAAGAAGAAGAAAACAAATACATTTTTTAGAGAGCTGTTGGGGTCTTAAAATTTGAAAAGGGTTCGAAAAACACGATTGGGGAACCTATTTTCTCTCTGTGGACTTAACGTAGGATCAATTTGTTTTAAAAGGAGGGGCATGAGCTAGTTGTGCCCCCCCCCCCCAAAAAAAAAAAAAGAGTAAATAAATGAATAATAAAATAAGGACCATTTATTGGACTTATCTCAATTTTCATCTACAAAAGGATACAACAGTGTTTTCTGTTTTTTCCTTTTTTTTTTATGATTACCTGTACTATAATATTCACACAAGTATTGTATCACTCCCCTGGGTAAAAAAACCCAGTCATTATAGCATTTAGGAACAGTCGTTATAGCTAAAAAGACATCATTATAGCTAAAATACAGTCATCATAGCTTTTAAAAAACATCATTTTAGCTTCAACAAACAGTCATTATAGCTTTAAAAAAAACAGTCGTTATATAGTCAGAATGCCTTTCAAGTCCATTGCTTGAGTGCCCTGTGAATAGTCAATGTGCTGGAAATAATGCCTTCTTTACAAATCGGTTATCCTACTCTTTCCTTTATCTTTCATCTTGTCATCAAGTACTGTGTGCTATAGAGAGCGTTTTTGTATATCGGATATTATGGCATTAGAAACAATACATGTATATTAAGATTATAGAAAATGTGTACTTAGTCCGATATATAGGCAATAGATGTGTGTAGGTTTCTTCAGCTGCAAAACTAGCCACCTGCCTACTTATAAAAGTAGTTGGAGAGATAAAATTCTGTGTTGTGCTGTGTAACCTAGTGCTATGTCATTTGTACCCAATGAAACTATATACACATGTATTAATACCATAGCATGTAAAAATGTAGTTATGCGTGTGTTCTTCTGGAACAATAGATAGATAATAGATTTAAAAGAGTGTCTGCTTATACCGGTTTCATAATTCTTATCGAAATGATTAATAGGGAACACAAAAGAAATGATAATGTCTTTGAAATTACAATTTCCTGATCAGTATATGCTGATTTTATGTCTTTGAGAAATGTAAACTGTTGATTCTTATTCAGATTCAGTGAACTGACATTTGCTCCACTGACGATTGCTCCAGGATTTTTTTTGGTCAAAGTTAAAGGATAGATATAGCATTGTAATTGGGTTCTATGTTAGATTTAGGACTAGGACTAAGGCTAGGTATAGTTTTATGTCCAGCTAGGGTTCATGTTTGGAATTAGGTCTGTATAGGATATGGATGCGGAGCAATTGTCAAAGGAACAAGTGTTGTACAACCTCAGATTCAACTGAGTTTTAAACATGCTTAGGTGTGCCCATGTAATCCAGTCCATGTATACATGCACATATACTCATTCAGTAGAGATAAGAGCCAATACCACTGCACTTTCCTAAGCTAACTTTGTCACTGCACTATCGCTGTATATATAACTTATCAACAAAACCTGCCTGCCACATTTACATACATGCGATGTATGTACACATGACAATGCATGTGATGAATTACTAGTACAACTCATTTAACTATAAGTGTGCCGATGTTGTACTTATTCAAACAAATGATGAATATTTGCTGTGTGAGTTTTCAAAGTGCATGAAGTTTGTACACTGTGCCATTGAGTGCATGGATACATGCCTCTTTCTACTAGTACCGCAGTGTTTCATGTGCATTGTAAATATTCAATCATATAGACTAGGGGGTGTAGCTAAAGGGGGGGGGGGGGGGGGGGGGGGGGGGGGGGTGTATGTGCCCCAATCATATGGCAAAAAAGTATTACAAATCAGAGAAAGGGGAGGGGGAGGGGGAAAGAACAAAACTGGGAGAGGGATTACATTTTATTGGAAGAAGCTGAGACCCCCTTCGCACATCTTCCCCTTCGCACATCCTCCCCTTAATCAGTGACCTTGAGCTTTTGCACTTATTCCACCAAGTAAGACCCTCTCAAACACCCCCTCCCCCCATAATGCCACTCCCCCCCCCCCTTTCATTTCTGCACTCACGCTACACCACTGTATAAACTGATTAGGTCATTTAAAAAAGTTATGCCATATACCTACACTAAAACTATTACAAAGCTATAATTACAATGGAGTCTTGCATTGCAAATTATGAGAAAAAATTGTCTTGATATACAGTACCGGTATGTATGATAAAACTGTGTCTTGGTTTCTTTGAAAGCTCTTCCATGAAGTTATTCACTTTAAGAGGAAACCTTCATTTCTAAAGGCAATGCATTGCTTGTGAAACTGTTGTGCAACTAAGAAATATGTAAAGATCCATGGTGGTCTGTTGAATGAAAAATATCAGTGTTGCCTAGACTTCATTTGAAACAGATAATACATTTTCATAGCCTTTGATGATTTCTCAGTGGAATTTTGTTCTCAATCTTTTTATACCTCTTTTTTTTCCCCCAATGTTTTTACTCAGTACTTAAACATGTCATGTTTTATTTTAAAATCATATTATGTATCTTCTGTGTACAAATGGTTTGAAATTGAAATATTGATATTGAATCATTTCATTCATATTGTTATAACAGTACTTCATGAATCAAGTTTTTATTCATTTCATTTTCACTGCACAAAAATACACTTTGGCCAATTTCATGATGTTATACATGTGTAAAAAAAAAAAAATGGATTGCAGATATGATGCATGTATTACCGTGTATAGTCTGGTGTGTTAATATTGCATGTGTAAGGAATTTAGTTTGTTTTTGTGAAAATGTAGAACTTATTTGTGCTTCTTTACCCGGTGCTGACCTTTTATTTTGCTCACAATTCAATGCTAATATTTTTGCTGTCCTAATACCGGTATCTGATTTCCGGGGTCCTGTCTTAGAATCAGGGGGAAATCGGTTTCCAGTTGAAATCGGTAAAAAATTCTGTACTCAAGAGATAGGTAGTAGTCTTTAAGTTTGCAATTGATTGGGGGCTTGTGATCAATCTGCATCAAGCAAATTCTTTTTAGGGTGGAGCCCTTGTGTTTTTTGTCTGTTTGACTTATTTTGTGCCGTCAGGAGACGAATGTCACATCAGAAAACTGTTAAAATAATGGCCTTTCCTTATTAAAAAGTTCAGAACTCCAATTTTGAATGTACACCATTTTTTTGTTTTTTTGAATAGATTCAAGACATGATGGTATTTATTACGACCTCTGGTTTGTTTTTACAAGATCTTGATAGCTGTATTTGAAATTGTTAATATAACAAATAATGCTTATAATTCAAAGTCAAATCATTCAGAAGGAGTGGCGATATTATAAAGAGTCAATCCATGGCCATGGTTTTTCTTTACATACCTTTCTAATAGGGAGATATCAGAGCTCAGTGGTAGAGTAATGATTTCATAGCTGGAAGTCTCCCAGGTTCAACACCATTGCAAGGGTAGACCAAAGTTTGACTATTACTAATTATAACCCCCCCCCCCTCCTCCCCACCCCTATCCCTCCCAGAATGTTAGAATTTGATATTTTACTTTAGATTTATACTCCATGGTAAAATAATATTAGGAATATTAGAAAGGGTATTGCAGTTATATGATAGTTTACCTATTTTATTCTGTATCTCAAAGGAAATATTAGATCATTGTTTATTTGTACATTATTTTGTAAATATATTTCAGAGACTTGCCAAGTATTATTATGAATTGTAAGATATAGAGTGAAGTGGGACTATTTTGTACAAAGTTAAACAATTATCCTTACAGTTGCCCCGAAAGTGACAATTAGAGTTCAGATTTATACATTTTAGTTGGTTTGTTGCTATGTTTGCTTGCTGGTTGATTTGTTTGTTTTGTTGTGTAATGTTTTGTTTTGTTTTGCTTTTTTATATACTCAAAATGGCTCATAAATCAAATGATTGCACACTGTGGAATTCAGGAAAATGGTTATTAACAATTAGGAACTGATATTTGATTATTTTTTAAAGCAAAAGTCATGTTAGCAACCTTCATACAAGCGCAAAAAAGGGTATTTTCCCAACTTTGTTTTATTAAATGCATTAAATGTGTACAGATTTGTAGACTATATTTATATTGATGTTAAGTGTGCAAAGCTAGGCCAAAGCAACATTTCTTTTAACAATCAAAGACTAATGAAAGTCATGAGAAAATAATTTGAAATGATTTTTTGTATTGAAATAAATAATTACTGTCTTTAATATTTACTCGCTGCTGGTTTTTCAAAGGAAGAAGGTTGAAATTTAGCAAAATGAACTGGTACTTGTAGTATACAAATTTAAGCTGCAGAAGTATCACACATTCTTTGTTTTTTTATGGCTGCATTTTTGTTTTATTTTGGTGAATTAAAAGTGTGTTGTTATTTAGGTTTTTATTTACTGCATATGAGAATCATGACTAGAATTGTACTTTTGAAATTAAATTAGTATGCAATGATAAATGATGAAGTTGTATGTAATAATCAAAAATAGGCTACAGCCCATGGTACTGACTGTAGTGATGATTAAAACAATAATTTTCTTTACCCAGGGATGACTCATCAGCATCAATGCTTTTTTTCTGAGGGCCCTACAAATATTATTACCCCAGCAATTATCATGTACCCATTTGCACCTGCAGTGGGTGGAGAGTGGCAAATGTGGAATGATGTCTTGATAAAGAATATAAGTGCCAGGCTGGGTATTGAACCCTCAACCCTAGGATTGAGTGAATGAAGGACTATAACACGCTCATGGGATTTACACGTCAGTCTTGTAGGACTTCCAGGCAGCGTTTCACGAAACCGTCGTAAGTTCAACTTCACCGACATCCCATAGGAAAGTGAAAAGTATGCCGCAGACCTGCCGCAGACCTGCCGCAGATCTGCCGCAGACCTGCCGCAGACCTGCCGCAGATCTGCCGCAGACCTGCCGCAGACTAAAAGTCTGCGGCAAAGAGTATGCCGAAGTATGCGGCAGAAAGAAATTTTGCTGCAGACTTGCCGCATACCAGTATGCCACAGGAACAGTCTGCGGCAGATCTGCGGCAGGATGAAATTTTGCTGCAGACTTGCCGCATACTAGTATGCCACAGGAACAGTCTGCGGCAGATCTGCGGCAGGATGAAACTTTGCTCCAGACTTGCCGCATACTAGTATGCCACAGGAACAGTCTGCGGCAGATCTGCGGCAGGATGAAATTTTGCTGCAGACTTGCCACATACTAGTATGCCACAGGAACAGTCTGCGGCAGATCTGCGGCAGGATGAAACTTTGCTCCAGACTTGCCGCATACTGGTATGCCACAGGAACAGTCTGCGGCAGGATGAAATTTTGCTGCAGACTTGCCGCATACTAGTATGCCACAGGAACAGTCTGCGGCAGATCTGCGGCAGGATGAAACTTTGCTCCAGACTTGCCGCATACTAGTATGCCACAGGAACAGTCTGCGGCAGATCTGCGGCAGGATGAAACTTTGCTCCAGACTTGCCGCATACTAGTATGCCACAGGAACAGTCTGCGGCAGATCTGCGGCAGGGCGAAACTTTGCTCCAGACTTGCCACATACCAGTACGCCACAGGAACAGTCTGCGGCAGGTCTGCCACAGGAAATCCCATTAAAGTCTAATAGGGCCAATTGAAACCAATCATCTCATGCATATTCATTATTACTTTACACGTGTGACAGAAAAATACATTTATCATGATTTGTTAAGCAAATTAAGACAATGCACATCATTTTTGTGATTTCTATTTTCCTTTTGCCATTATTAACCAATAGATTATTTTGTCTGATCATGTTACAATTACATTCACGTTTAAGCAATAGATATATTGATTACTAACCAAGAAACTATGATTACTAACCAAGAAACAATATACATATTTAGTATATATATGTGTACGAGCCTGTGTCACTATAAATGTTACTCTTGAATACACTTCAAATGATCAATGTGATGAAGTTAATACAATTGAGAATAGAATATACCTAATTGGTAATATCGATATATATTGGTATTACCTAATTGGTAATATCGATATTGCCAATATCGATTATGAAGTATCAATCAGTTTATCACTGGTTCTTCTACATGCATACTTTATTGCCACGTACTGGATATGAAAGAGTATGCGGCAGGTCTGCAGCAGGTCTCTTCATCATACTGAAAGAGTATGCGGCAAGTCTGCGGCAAGTCTGCGGCAGACCTGCCGCAGACAGTCATCTTTTTCACATGCAAATTAGTTTTGCCGCAGACTTGCCGCAGACTTGCCGCATACTCTTTCAGTATGATGAAGAGTATGCGGCAGGTCTGCAGCAAGTCTGCGGCAGGTCTGCCGCAGACTCTTCATCATACTGAAAGAGTATGCGGCAAGTCTGCGGCAGACCTGCCGCAGACTCTTCATCATACTGAAAGAGTATGCGGCAGGTCTGCAGCAAGTCTGCGGCAGGTCTGCCGCAGACTCTTCATCATACTGAAAGAGTATGCGGCAGGTCTGCAGCAAGTCTGCGGCAGGTCTGCCGCAGACTCTTCATCATACTGAAAGAGTATGCGGCAGGTCTGCAGCAAGTCTGCGGCAGGTCTGCCGCAGACTCTTCATCATACTGAAAGAGTATGCGGCAAGTCTGCCGCAAGTCTGCAGCAAGTCTGCGGCAGACTTGCCGCAGACTCTTCATCATACTGAACGGGTATGCGGCAAGTCTGCGGCAAGTCTGCGGCAAAACTAATTTGCATGTGAAAAAGATGACTGTCTGCGGCAGGTCTGCCGCAGGAGTATGCGGCAGGCTCATTTCTTTCCTATGGGATCCCATTGAAAGTCTGCAAGCATTTCAATGGATGTCAGTGAATTTTTACTTTTGACGATCTCGTTAAACGATCCCCCGATAACTTTTGTGATGGTACACTATACCGATGCTGTCGGTCTCATGGTCTTTTGTCTACTGGGTTTTATTTTCCATGCATTAAACACATTGACCGGGAAGAGAAAAGTGTTCCCAATTTGTAATTTCATTTGTAATTATTGTAATCATTACCATGATCATCACAATCGTATAATCACATCGCATATAATAATATATACAATATATTTTATATTATTTCATAATCAGTACAATTTACAAAATCCACATTTAAAGTAAATGAATCTCTGCTTTGAATTTGTTTATGAAATAGGAAATGTATATCATTTATGTCATGGAATTATGAATTGTAATTCACCACTTGCTTATGCTACTCCACTAGCTATTAATCATGTAAATGTCATCCTAATGCTAAACTATGATAAGCGCTCTTGATATCCATACAAATGTTAGGAACTTATGTTTCATTATTTGACTGAATTTTGAGTACATCCATTTCATTTATTTCCATATGATATAGATATTGCCTTAAGAGACAAAGAGACATTTAAATGGCATATACATTATATAATTTAAAAAAAATGTATCTTGATTATGCAATCCTATACTTTTTAATGCATCATATACCCAAGTAGTAGTAATGTTTATTAGCTCGGAAAGCATGGTTATTTTTAAAATTAATTTGTTGCTGTGTTTTAAGCTTTTATGGTAACTGCATTTTATCAAGAAATTATGAGTAGGCCCTTTGCCCCCCCCCCCCCCTTCACTGTATCTGCTCAGCATGTTGTCGTGCAATCTTTTAGCAATAATCGTGTAGATACCACTTCTGTTAATTTTGTATGTATGCATGTTTGCTCTAGACTTTATCGATTGTTAAAAGCATTTCAGAACTCACAAAGTTTATTTCATTGCGACCGGCTTGTTGCTTTTTTCAGGACCATGTTTTATGAAATTCGACGTACAATCTATAATAAGAATTAATTGTATCTCCTTTCTTGCTTCAATTAATTGCTCCATAGAACGAATTTTATCTTCATGAAACATAAAATTGATTGTAAGAGTTAATATTGATTGTAAGGATTCGATTATTTCAAGGAGGTTATCATCTGAAATTCGAGAGACTAGAATACGAAGCCAAGGCAAAATTCTTTCGTCACCTATATCTCATTGAACGTATACATATTAGATACGTGGGACATAATCATGTGCTACGTGTGTTAAAGAAAAATAGTGACTTACTTCCGTATAATTATTATTATCATTATGTTATCATGATGCGTGTACTGACATTACCTGAATAAAGATTGTTCAGTTCAAGATCACGCGTTTCCCTCTCAAAATCCTTGAAATACAGAAGACTGAATACAACTTGGGAAAAGCACTGGAGAACGAAAATGAAAGTGAGAAGGACAGTAGAGAGAGAGAGAGTGTGTGTGTCGATGAATATGGTATAACTGGAATATGCATGCAATATGAAATGCGCTACAATGAAAAGAGGGGGGGAGGGGGAGTATCATTATGATGAGGGGCGAGTAGGGAGTGAATTCTGAGCGGGGAAAGTGAGAGAAAAAATGAAGGAAGGCGAAATGGAGCAAACTGAATAAGCGGAATACCAATGAACAACACAAAGTACACTAGTGCACACGTAATGCCATGTAATTTTTCGGTAAAATTCTGGCCTCAATTTATATTGTTTCATACACAACATTTTCACAAGTTTTTGTTTCGCTGATCTCATAATACATCCATTTACATTTGTTGTACATTTACAAAGTATATCAACCTTATTATATACAATACAAATGGTTTCTAAAACATCGTATAACCATCATCGGGAGAATCATTTACTATTTTTATTATTTTTTTTAAGAAGAAGAAAAAAATAATCTCCTAAAGTGGTCTGAAAATTTAAAGATAGAGTAGGCCAAGCGATCATTGATTACTTATTTTAAAACGAAAGTAAATTCATGTACATACATCTATATTGTTTTTAGTTGTTCTCTGAGTAAGTCCGTTGGACAAAAACTAATGCTCAACCTCGGTATATGGAAGAGAAAACACAATAAATATTAATGAGCTAACTCATTTCTATACGGGGAGGATAGTTGACTCAGCGCCACTGATCTCCTAAAGTAGTAATGGAAGAACCTTGAAAGATTAGGGAGACGACTTTTTCCTTTTATTTTTCCCTTGCTGTAAAAAATACTCCAGGTAGTGTTGAAAAGTTGGCCCTCCTTTGGACCCAATATTTGCGAACTCTCCTTCAATGGGTTATATACTCGACCTCAAACTTAAATGCAATACAAAACATTAAATTGGTATATGTAGTAAAAATGAAATAAAACAAAGCAAAACAAAAAAACATTTGTTAATACCATTCAGTTTGCTTAATTGAACGGAAATGTATGATTCGAGTTTATAATTTATAGATACAAAAGATAATTTGATTATGTAAAAAGATTAGATTCTATACATCTACCGCAGCTGAATGCACAAAAAGGAAAATATTTGTTTTCAAAATAGTTATTTTCAAAATCAAGTGGATATGATTTTACTTTATTTACAAAAAATAGAGTACTTACTCAGTATGCATTAAAGTAATGAGCTTAAACCTTTTACATATTGCTCGAACATTTTCCAAGTAATATAACGAAAACGCGATGAACAACTATTTGGGTATACTACCTTTATGACTAAAAAAATATATGAAACCCTTTCCTGTCATAGCAGAAACTTCTGTCTATAAAATATAATGAAAAAATATATTGGTAGAAAAAAAAATGACATTACTGGTCATGAAACAAAATAGATAACATAATGAGAAAACTAAACCCATGCATGTAAGAAAACCTGTGAATATCCAATACACATATTATCAAAATTGTCTATTTAGGGCATTTTGTCTTCTCTCATCCAATCCCTTGATATCGAAAGTATATACACCAGAGTTACATGTGCTATATAAAATTAAAATGTATTACTTTAAAAAAAAAACTAGTTATTACGGTCATAGCTTTTAATATTCGCTATATAACAGGAGTTACGTTATAAAGACTTTTTATTTGAAACAACTAATTATATTATTATTTTTAGACATGGATATTAAAAAAAGGAAAACATCGTATCCTCCTCTCCTTTCAAAAAATATACTTTAAGGGAGAATTAAGAAAGAAATCATGCAGATATTTACAGAGGATAGTTTCCGAGTGTGTATTTTTTCTGATACGCATTGTATATAAACCAGAGTTACAGTAATGCTAATGAACCTTGTTTATAATGTCACATTCTCAAGAAACCATAATTGGGACAAATATTTGTTTCCAATACTTGCAAATTTACAAAATATGGCAAGTGTATGAGTGATTTATACTATACATGCTACAGCGTGATTGAAAATCAAAATGAATGCTATCATACATTTTATTGGGACGCATGCATGTAAACAAATCTCTTCAATCTTCTTCTTTTAAAAGCAATTCATATAGATATTCTGATCCGTTTTGCATGTGTGAATAGTAACACAATAACAACAAGAACAAAATCACACCTTCTCCACTCCTTTGAACGCATAAAGTTTAAATTAATCTCTACACTGAAGGCGTCACATTTTCTGTTATGATTTTTTTTAAAGCAATTTATATAGATATTCTGATCCGTTTTGCATATATGAATAGTAACACAACAACAACAAGAAGAAGACAAAAATGACCTCCTCCATTACTTTGAACGTTAAACAAATATTCTATCAGGGAGAACATTATAACTAATAAGCGGGACCAGGGCCGTTATAAAAATTGTCGGGGGCCGCCCCAGCCCCTATGTTGTTACCCGCGTTGTCCACGCCTAGCGCCCCCGTTGACCGCTGGTTGAGGGAGCTCTTTGCCTGATATTGCATGATGGTCATAATGAGGCTTAGAATGTAGAGCTGCATTACGACGAAACCTAGGGTCTGGATGAGAAAGGGGGAGGGAGGGGGGGGGGGGGGTTAAATAGAAAGAGTGACGAAGAAAAAAGGGGAATTTAGTTAGCACAGTGAAAGTAAAAATGAAAGGTCTTCTCATCTTTCTATTGTAACGCCATATTCTGTCAATCCGCATCACCACCACTCTTACATGTTACACAGGCCCTGGCAACGTTTTTCAAAGTGGGGAGGGGGGGGGGGGGGCTAAACGTCAGATGAGCATACCGGGAGGGGAGCCCCCGGAAACTCAGAGGTTTTAGGCATTACATTAAGGTTAGATGAGTATCCACGGAGCGGAGCCCCAAGAGGTTCAGGGGTTTTAGGCATTTAATTACGGTCAGATGAGCATATTTTGATACCTTATTTGTGACTTGCACTGTTATGTAAGTCATTAATTGGAGTGGGGTCCTGGGGGCGGATCCCCCAGAAGCTCAGGGGTTTTAGGCATTTAATTACGATCAGATGAGCATCCAGGGGCCGCCTTAGAGCCCTTGGTGGGGTCCAGGGGCAGAGCCCCCGAAGCTCAGACATTTTAGGAGTTTAATTACGGTCAGATAAACAACCAGGGGCCCGCCTTAGGGCCCTTGGTGGGGTCCAGGGGGCAAAGCCCCCGGAAGCTCAGGGAAAATGCCATTTCAGCAACATTTGTAAATCACTGGGATAGAATTAGATATAAACCACGTTTTAAATTTATTTTGGGAGTGGGGGGGGGGGGGGACTTCATCCAAGCCCCCCCCCCCCCCCCCCCCATCAATACGCAAGTGTGAGGGAGCATATTGAATAAGAGGGGTGAAGGTGACGGAAGTAACTACCCCCTCACAGGTTTTAAAGTTTTGGTTGTATTAAAATCCTTAGCAAAACTATTATATAAAAACAAGCAATATACTTTTTGCACACTTCACTTTTTTTTTGTATTTACTTGTACATTTTGAAGGATATTATGCGAGGGAGCGTAGCTACCGAGTGAGAAGATTTTTGCATTTTTATTTGTCTAAATGCTGCACTCTTGGGCCCTTCAGAGCCCAAAAGTGTGTTGCAGTCTGTAGTCAGTATTTGCTATACATTTTTTGGCACTTTTTCAAATTTTGAAGGGGGGATGATTCCCCCCTAAAAAAAATTGAGGGGACGTGTTCCCCCCCCCCTGTCCCGCGGGATCACCGCCACTGGTGTCTATACAATTACTACAGATATTAAACATATTTACAGAGTATAATATATACACTGTTATAGAGGAGACTATTAGTGACTAATACCACATAAATGAAATCATTATTGGTATATGCTATATATCAAACTATAAATATCTTAATCATTCAGCGTTACGACGAACTTTTTTTTTTACTAACATAGACTACTATTACTACAGTATATAGCAATAAAATAACATTATAAGTAAACAGAACAGTATTGGATCGGAATTAATATAGATGTTGCAAACTAAATGTTCCAGTTCTTTCTTGTATTCTAACTTCACCTTTATGACGGTGCGTGGCAATCATTTGGTTCACATTTCATTTATTCTACACCCCCAACTATCTCTCTTAAGCAGTGGCATAGCATGGGTCTAGAAAATAATGGGGTACTTGACCAATGGGGGGGGGGGGGGGGGGTCAGTGGTGGGTAAATCGATCCTATTCAACATGTATACCGATCAGGGGAATGTGTGGAGCCGTTGGAGGAAATGCGTGGTCCTTTCCTCATTTCACGTTCCCTCCCTTCCTTTTCTTCAATGTATCTCTCTCTTCCATTCAACATTTTCAACGGGGGCCACGTGCCCCCCGCCCCTTTCGTATAGCTACGCCACTGCTTTTAAGATTCGAGTTCTGTAAACAACTTACCGCCCCTGCACCGTGGCTGGGGGTATACCCCCTAGCTGCTACTAACGACGATGAAATGAGTAATGCAGGGATGTATGTGGAATATACAACCATATCCTATAAACAGAACAGAACAAAACATATTAATAACATTTAAATAGGTAGAGAAGACGATAATACATGAAACCAACTCAGATAAACAAAATGTGATTTAAATAATAAGAAAAAAAATCAACTACCATAATCATAATTATCGGACGTTTTGCTTTCATGTTTTTATTGTTTAAAAAAAGGAAGAAAAATATAAAAACGAGAACACCCAAATATCCAAACCGGATCCAAACACCTAATCATTACAAAAAGACACTACAAAGCCACAAAATGCAGTACTCTAAATATCTAACTTTTGTTTTTGTTTTTTGTTTTTTATGATTTATTGTAAACACAGGCAAGACAAAAACAAGAACAATGAAATATCCAAGTACATTACTAAGACAACAATAAGCTCTAAATTGCCCTATTTATTTAACTGTAATTTTGTTTAATGTTATTAAATGGCCGTGACGCAATTAATGCAACTGACTCTGTACGTGATAAATAAAAAGATAGAAAGCAAGAAAAAACATGATAAAATGCTTTCAGGAAAAAGTTAGCAGATAACAAAAAAAATTGCATTTGTTTTATAAACGCCCATTGTAACCAACCAACAATTAAAACAAAAAAAGCATTTTAAAACATCACCAGGGAGGGGGAGGGGGTTGGCTGGCATCTCTCGCAGAAATGAAATCTTGTCATAAAAACAATACTAAATCAAATAAACACATTACAAACTGACTTTCCGTCTGTATATGGGTAATTTCGAAATTCTCGGGAGGGGTTGGGGGAAGGGGGATGGGGAGGCTATAAGTATAGAATGGATAGAAGAGGATTGTCACCATTAACGTCCATGGTAGTTGTATCTTGTATCGTAGGTGTGTGATCTCGCCAATGTAGAAACAAAGGGAGAAGAAGAAGACGATGAAAGTAACGGTCATGAAAAAAGCGAAGCTTCCTGAATAGGGACCTCTGTGTTCATTCGCTGCAATGACAATGAAGGCGATCAGAGAGTAGAACTGTATTGGGAAGAAAAATATTAATTTGTAATATATTAATAAGATATTGATTTCAATATACACCTCGGGCGAGAACGATATTCATAGGAGGAGGCGCGATAGCTCAGTTGGTTCGAAACCAAGGCGATGCGCCAGTGCCTTTTGGTAAGGCATTAATCCTCATTACCAGTTGTCTCGGAGAGGACCTATCTAAAGCTGTCGGTCCTCTGGTTGCTTATTTACAAGCATTTATGCTTTCCAGGCGCGTAGCCAGGGGGGCGGTGGGGGCGGTCGCCCCCCCAAAAAAGCCGGCCAAAAAAAAAAAGAGAGAAAAAAAAAGAAGAAAGGAAGAGGACGTAGGAAGAAAAAGGAAAAGTCGAGAACGATACAACGAATTGTCTTCTTTCTCTAATAATTTAATGGAGTGGGGAGAACTGAATTCAGACAAGGATTAAGAGTCTTTTGAGAATGGTACACTGGCGAATCGTCTTCTTTCATTAATAATCCAATGAAACGTTAGAGCTTCCGCGCTACGCGCGGAGGAAGGGGAACTTGTTTTTTAAAAAAGGATTAAGAGTCGAGGACGGTACAACGAATCGTCTTCTTTCATGAATAATCTAATGAAACGTCAGAGCTTCCGCGCTACGCTACGCGGGGACGAAGGGGAACTTAATTGTTTCAAACAAGGATTAAGAGTCGAGGACGGTACAACGAATCGTCTTCTTTCTCTAATGAAACGTCAAAAGAAACTGAATTTAGATAAGGATTGAGAGTCGAGAACGGTCCAACGAATCGTCTTCTTTCTCTAATAATGCAATGAAACGTCAAAGCTTTCGCGCTTTGCGCGGGGGGGAACTCCCCCTCCTTGCACCTACCCCCCCCCCCCCCCCCCCCCCCCCCCTAGGGAGCGCGCTATGCGCGCTCTGTAAGTGATTCGCACGCTTCGCGTGCTCACTACCGCCCCGCCCTAAAATGAAATCCTGGCTACGCGCTTGATGCTTTCTTAGCAGTCAGGTAAAATAATCACCACCACTAATAACATTGAGTCTCATACAGAGCGGACCATGAGTGCCCTCTTTCATTACCCACCTCGGGCGAGAAGGGCAAATGTGAGTACCGAGCAACGGTCAAGCCAATGAGGCTTGTATGAGACTCAATAATCTTCACCAATATCCCCGACAGTGTTTTAATAGCAGATACCAGTGACGGATGTTAGAGGAGGGGGAACAGGTGACCCTTACTCCCCCCCCCCCCCATTAAAATCCAGTCTAGCAGACCTTATATCATCCGTTATCATAGGATAATTTCTTTTGGTATTTTGGGCGTGTCTTGTACAGCATTCAAAGCCGATTAAGCTAATTTTACGGCCATGTAAAACGTTAGATATAATCCTATCTTGTCATCATTCATTATTGAAAGCAAGAGTGAGTGTAAGAAACAAGCTACAGGTATCAATGATAATAATTGTGCAAATGACTGATATATACTAGGTGGAGTTGATAGGTTAATCACGGGATGCTGAAGGGGGATATATTTTTATACTTTTTATCATAAAAAATGGGGCAACCTTTATAGGATTACGTTTCCTTTCATGTCCTTGTTTTTAATTTGTATTTTATGTAATATATCTGATTGTTATATGTCTTCTCTTTTTTTTTTTTAACTGAATAAAATGAAATAAAATTGAATTAATACCGATTAAAAATGTGATAGAGAAATGTAAACATTCTTTAAATTAGAAATTTATATCATACTATAAGGAAGGTTTGAAACAAAAGTGTGTCGGGTTAGTTCGCTGCACAATAAAAATGCAAGTGGTAACTCTTTTGTCAGTAACGATTATTTCGTGATTAAAGAGTAATACAGAACTCAGCGTTCTTGCAAAAGTCCATTGTAACACTTCCCAAAGAAGGAATGCACCTGAGCCTTATGATGTATGTTGACAAGCAAGAGGGGAGAGGGGAGAGGGGAGAGGGGAGAGGGGAGAGGGGAGAGGGGAGAGAGAGAGAGAGAGAGAGAGAGAGAGAGAGAGAGAGAGAGAGAGAGATAGAGAAGGGGAGGGGGGAGGGAGAGACTGAGAGTGAAGGGGGGGGGGGACTAATGGGAGGAGGAAGATATGCAAATGTTGAATGAGAGATATAAAAAGAAAAGGAGAATAAAGAGGCACAGAGAGAGGGCGGGGAGATTAGAGCTATAGAGGGAGAGGGAGGGAAAGAGAAGGAGAGATAGGGAGAAAGGGAGGGAAGGAGAGAGAGAGAGAGAGAGAGAGAGAGAGATAGAGAGAGTGTGTGAGAGAGAGAGAGAGAGAGAGAGAGAGAGAGAGGGAGCGAGTGGGGCTATACGGTAAGAGGGAGAGAAAAAGATACATAATGAAAAGAATAAACCTTACCGCTTCTATGACAGCGAGGACGCCCTGCGGCGACGTCGCGTAAGACTTATCGAAGGTCAATCCCATGTTGCTCGACGTCATCTTCTTGGTCGTGGTCGTCTGCGAGGTGATCGTCGTGGTCGTGATGACGGCCGGCTGGTCGGGGTTCTTCTCGGTAGCCATGATGGAGAGGCGGCTGGGGTCTGCTAGTAAGGAGATGTAGTTCCCTGCGTGTGAGAGAGACAGGCTTATCACTTCAAACTCATTAAGAAAAGTATATCAACTTATAATTATGTACATTATGGGGTAACAAATTATCAAATATCATGATCATTACATTCTCTCCCAATATTGAGCCAAATTCAGTCAGAGCGCGACTCCGCACGTAACGTCTCGTAGCTCGCAACGCTCCAATCTCTTTCAAATGAATTGTGTAAGTTTATAAGTATTGGCATGGTCTCTATACTATAGCTAGCTACCCTTGTCATATTCCTTAGCATTTTTTGTAAGAGTTTTAGCGTGGTTGCCTTCTATTACCCCCAAAATGCCCTCCAAAGTGAGAAAAAAATGTTTTAGCTGGTCTACTATAAGTATAAGTGACACTAGCCCCACAGCCAGTGGCCATTTCATATGCAGTCTTGCAGATAATGTTAACACAGATTCAGAGTTTTATATTTATGTGACCGTGGATGAATTAGTTGTCATTGTTACTGAATATAAAAAGGGCAGTAACCTATCTTTGGATTTTGGAGCGAACCTGTCGCAGCTAATCCTCTGAAATTCATGCCTCCTAAATAAAATTAACAGTACTGTGCACAATAATTGATACAAATTGAGATTTAACCCAACTTCACATTAATATGAACTAATTTTGCTGTATAAGAAGAGAAATGTGGAAGCGATTCATCGTGATGCTAATAGGATAATTCGAATTAAACCGTGCCTTGTTTAATAGGAGATTACAGTCCTAATTCTTCTGAATTGACCGGAAAGTTTCAGCAGAAAAAAGGTTTTCTCATGAGTAATCCTCTACTTTATTTACTTTTTACAACTATTCATAGCCAAAGACACACTTGTATGTTGAGTGATTGACTATGTCTATGATAGCGACTGGAGATTAAAAATATGTTCTGCCCTTTCAGTTGTTTTGGCTGGCTAATCAAGTCTTGATTTTACTTGTTGTTTGGTGTTTTGTGTCTATATCGTTATGTTGTTTGCAACAAAAAAGGTACACACGGGATGTCGTCCGATAAAAATTAGAAGTACCCTATTTTATGTTTTTTTATAATTTTAATTAAGGAATGATAGTATTATCTCTAATACTTCTATTTATCTGACCATGAAGTTGGTTTAGTCACTAGTTTATAGTTACTGCACGATGGCATCAATCTAAATCAAATCCTTCAACTGTCTCAAGATTTTGAGAAATTATTTTTGCTTTTATAAGATTATCTGTCATTTATTATTTATATAATCGGCAGCACCAATAAAGCCTTAGGCTTTCCTACAGCTGTCTCCCTATTCATATGACATGTTTGTTGTTGTTGTATTCTATTGTAAATGTTTCTTTTTAACTTGTACGCTATGTTTTGTATTTTATATGTTTTTTTATGATGTTTTTATGATGAATGAAATAAAGATCAACCATACAATTATGTTCTTTATATATTCGGTAAATAAAAAAAAGTCAATCAATCAACTACCATGGGCGTACAAAAGTGAAGTACTGAAAATTCCGAAAAAAAAGTATTTCATATTTTAACATGAGATAATCGAAAAAAATTCTGTAAAGTCATGCTTATAACGAACAAAATAACATTCATACTATACATAGCGTCGTACTTTCTAGAAAGCGTCGCAGATATGGGATAAAGCGGGTAATCGTTTAGAGAGCTTATATGGGATGTGTAATAATGCATTGGATTCCGATGACTGATCTACAATCTGTCCGCGGATTAACGGCAAGTTGTTGAGAATGTAATTGTTCCGGAACTAGGAGCCGTAATGCGGGGATTCAGACAGAGTATGAGTATCATTAACAGCTAAAATTAAATAATCTCTTTTTCTCGCTCTTTCTCTCTCTCTCTACTCTCTATCACTTACGAATGACGACTGTATTGTGAGCCCGAGAAACTTTTTTTGATTACTTTTTTTTTCTAAACAACAGTTACTTAACCAGCTCTTCATGAAACATTTAATGGATGTCATATACAGTATAATGTGTTTTGATTTTTATTGTTTTCATTTATCCGTGCCTGATTTGCAAATCGATATTGTTTTAATTACAAGCAAATGACATTTTTGCAGGTACAATATATAAAATGAATGTCATTTTGTCATTCGAAAAATCGAAAAATCGAACTATATTCAAATTATACAAAGCCCTCCTCCCTCAACTAAAACACCGGCAGCATTCTTAGAATCACAATTATGATTATGCTTCGTTATCATACAATAATATAGTACTTATTATTATGTTACTGTTTTTGCTGTTGAAAGTTTTTTTTTTGCGTTGGTGTGGAGATGGGTGAGGGGACTCGGGCGAGGGGGAGATAGGCGTGTAAAATACTACAACAAACCTAGTGGGTGTCTAAAGCCCTCCTCCGTCGATAATCCAATGGACACCGATTCCGAGTTGATGAAATCGGGAAGCTCGTACGAAGTATTCCCGAAAACGGCGCTGGTGTCTCGGACGCATATCGAGTCCCGACTTACCCCGTAGGGCCCATAACTGGTCTGATACGCTGCGATGTAATGCCCGTTGTTGGCGACATATCCAGTCGCCGCGTTCCTGACAAAAATATTCCCGCTCCCGGGGAAATTAATGGGCACTACTGTCCCGTTCCCGGTGTGATGCGGTCTGACCGCGTTCCCGAAATAAGGCAATCCATTCCCGGCGCAGTTCTCGTATTCATTACCGGCGCGGCTCAACTTCATGATGCAATATTTTTAAAGTACAATAATTGCTCCTTCAAAAGAATTTATAATTCCGATGTTAACTTCCACTCCGACAGTGAATAAAAGTTGATAAATTACTGTTTTATGAAATATCACTAAAACAGAGAAAGCGATACTTTAATTGGCTCTGCTTGGTTCGTAGGTCATAAAATCTCAATTCAAATCTCAGTTCAGACCTATGGAACGTCACATGCTTCAATCAACCAAGGACACTTTCTGCAAATTCTGCCGTCTCCAATCCATAGCACCAGATATAAAAAGAGTGCCAAACTCAGAAATACACCACCACCTGTCGAAACAACAATCTATAATGACAAGAAATTCCACTGCTCCTTGTTGTAGTATCTTCTTTGAAAATAAGGTTTAAAAATATCGTTGACGGTCAGAAATTTTGTAATTTAACGCGGCCATTTTCAAAAAAGGAGACACCGAGTCGTGTGGGAGAGAAAGCACTTTGTCACCGATCTTCCTCTGCCCCTTTCACTAGATATTCTTCAGATTTAATTTCACGGCTGATCAGTTTACGACATATTTGGGGGAAAAAATGATCCTTAAAACTTGCTTGCTAGGCTCAAATTTCTCTGAGCTATGTGCCAGGAAGCAAGAGGGTTTAGACGTTTAATGACACCCATATCACGTTGCTCAATGACGAGGGCGCGATTTAATAATTAGCGCCGAAAATAGGCCGGGGTAGGCATGCATTGCGTGGATTTGAAATTTATTACTCATATTTTGTGTTCATTTTCGTCCTTATTCACTCAAAATCACACCTCTGTCACAAGCGATTTTTAATAGCTGATCGTGGACTTTATTTTCCTAACTGATCATAACGAAATAATTTGGACTGATTATTATTAGTTTGTACCAAACGGTTTGTACTTGCTACATAATTGTATCTATTTCCGGAGTAATGAGAGATGTGGCTGTATGTTGCACCCAGTTCTCTCATTTTCTCTTCTCCCCTAGTATCACTCTAGTCTCAGCCTAGTTTTAGGGGAGCATATCCGACCCGATGCTCCCCCCTTTGAAACCAAGAGGCATACCTTCAGAACATGTCTCCAAGGTGCCCCCACCCCTATTTAGGTGATGCATTTTGAAGTATAAATGCACCCCCCCCCCCAAAAAAAAAAAAAAAAACCTTTAAATTTGTAATTAATGGGGCCCCTCTTTTACAAAATCTTGGATATATATATCATTATATATTGTGGTGAGATGGTATGATTTGTTGATTTATGCTTTTTAAAGTATTGACGTTTTGAATCCCAAAGAAAAATACCGTGTATGTATGCTGACTAAACTAAGTTGGCTATCATCACCAACTTTTGTTACAAAATGATAATCAATATTATTGTAAGAGCAAATATCGTTGGAATTAAGCCCATTTCTATTTTGCTTCAGGTCGTTGTCATGTTGCAATTAATAAATGCACAAAACACTGCAATTAGTATAAAAAGATGAAATCTAGGAGATAGCGTCTTTGCATTTTAATAACGCGGGGGTCTTTACAGGTTAACTACTATAATTAAATCACTAGCAGTAAAGGTACCAGTTACTAATGTACTCTCATAAAGACTTTCGAAAAATTAACCAAAGGCAATTTCTTGTTCGTCACCTGTTGAAAATCTTGAAAGTTGAACGTCACAGTGACATAAAACGTAACCCGAACATAATTTCTATGGGATATACAAAAAGTTAATTCTTTTTTAATTGCCCTTGAGTTGATTTTTCGAAAGTTTTTGCGATCGTGATCTAATAGCTATAGCCTTACATAGGTTCAGTCACCCTTTGATCAAATGATACTGACTCGTACCACCCACGAGAGGTTGATTGGCCCCCAAAGCACCCCCAGTCGAATTAATGTTAACCCAGTTTGTGAGTAATGACCCTGCCTCCTTTTTTATTGGACATTACGATCGAGATATATTAATAATACAGCCCAATCTAAAGAGATTATACAGCGGGGATTAGGCATTATTTTGGCCGCATTTTTTGCGGGATCTTTCACCATAAATAGTTCCTGCCATAAATTACATTATGTTTTCAGTTTCACTGTGTACGCCTATTCTCTCTTCTAAATATGATTATACTTGTGTTGATGGATGGGAGTTCCTCCCCCTTAACCCTTCCTCCCCCTTCCCCCTTCCTCCCTTCCACCTTCTCCTTTCCTCCCTCCCCTTCCTCCCACTTCTACCCCTTCTCTCTCCCTCTCTCTTCCTGTAATGTCTGTCTATCCATCTCTCTATCTCTCTTTCTCTCCACCCCTGTTTCTGCAATGTCTCTTTGTATACCCCCCTCTCTCTCTCTCTCTCTCTCTCTCTCTCTCTCTCTATCTCCTAGTATCTTTCATTATTTTCTATGCCTATACGACTCTGAACTTCCTTGTTGCAACAAGGAAAAATAAATGTATTTATCCCTTTTACATTTTTGCTCTTCTTTTTAACCGTCGATCTTTATATCCATGAGCAGGTAATACTATAGTTTCTCATAATTGTTAACCTACTTCGCTATACAAGTCATTATGATCATAATCATAATTAAATCAAGTCAATCCTAGTTTTCAGAACCGACAACTGTGAAGAGTTATATCATAAAAAATAGTCGATTCGAATATGTCTTTTAATGTCGCTGTATTGCATGTTGGTATCACCATCGTTAACATAATTATGGTCAATAAAATGTGATGTGAGCATTACATTATTTTTAAAAAGATCAAGGACATTGTTTATATAAAAGAGAGATACAAAAAATACAAATGTGTGAATTTTGTTGTGTAAATAAAATGCTATATATTGGACAGTCTTTTTACAGTAACAATACTGTCACGTAAACAAGAAAAAACCTTTCAACATAATTATGATTAATGATTAACAGTTATTGAATTTAGTGCCTTAAAGCATGTTACAGTAACGAAATATAATTATGTTGTTTTGACAAAGCAATATCGTCGTATTCTTTATCTTAGTTTCTTTGCCTCTGGTACAATGGATACATCAAGGAAATAGGTCTATAACGGTTATACAAAGCCATGAATTTTGTGACTTACCTTCAAATTATTCCTTGGGGTTGTTTTCCAAAATTATCAGCCAAGATGTATACAAAAGAGCAATATAAATTAAAAATTAACAGTCAATGTTGAAAATAGACAACAATATTATTTCTCTTACAACGGGATGTATATTTAGATGCTTACAAGCAATGGGACACTGCCCTATACACACTATGATTAGGATTAGGGAGATGTGGTGTTGTTCATTTTTGTTTAATGATAAGTATTGAGGCAGAATAAACATGCTCTTTGCCCGTTACCGAGTTAATTATCAAAGGAGCTACTATGTGTATTCCCACATTTGCTTAAAATCGCTAAAGTGATTCCTATTTATAAAAAGGACGACTCCTCAGTAATAAGTAATTATAGGCCAATTTCATTATTACCAAGTATCTCTAAAATTCTCGAAAAAATAATATATAAAAGACTTAACACTTTCTTACAAAAAAATAATTCATTGATTCCTAACCAGTTCGGTTTCAGAATTGGTCATTCTACCGATTACGCAATTCTGCATATGTATGATAAAATAATTGAGGCTTTTGCGAACAGTGAACATATTGTTGGAGTATTTATGGACTTGTCAAAAGCTTTCGATACGATTGATCATAAAATATTAATACATAAATTACAATACTATGGCGTAAGAGGTCAAGCTCTTTCATGGTTCACTAATTATTTACAAGACAGACAACAATACGTATCTTTCCAAAATCATGAATCAACAAAATTAACAATTAAATGTGGAGTACCGCAAGGATCTATATTGGGTCCATTGCTATTTATTATTTATATAAATGATATTATTGAAACCTCTTCACTTTTAAATTTTATCATCTTTGCTGATGATACGAGTATTTCTTATTCCCATAAAAACTTTGATACGCTCATAACGCGGTTAAACTGTGAATTAATGAAAATTTCTAGGTGGTTTAAATCTAATAAATTGTCATTAAACCTTAGTAAAACAAATTTCATTCATTTTAAACAGACCAACGTACATGATATGAGAAATTGTAATATTGAGATTGATGGCTTGCCTCTCATTGAAAAACAATCTGTTAAATTTTTAGGAGTCTCTATTGACTCTCATCTAAATTTTAATGAGCATATACGTAATATACATACATCAATATCAAGGAATATTGGAATACTGTATAAGTTAAAACAAATTCTTTCTGAAAGATCTATGATTATATTATACAATTCTCTAATTTTATCACATGTGATTTATTGTAATATTGTATGGGGTAATTGTAGCTTAACAAGAATTAATTCCTTATTTTTGCTTCAAAAGAGAGCGATTCGCATGATCACTAACTCACATTATATATCACACACGGAACCTTTATTTCAGCGTTTAAAAACATTAAAAATACAAGATATCCACATTTTTCAGACATGCATTTTTATGTATAAATATTCTCATAATCAATTACCATCCCTATTTCACAATATTTACAGTTTAAACTCAAACATTCACACATACCCCACACGTTGTTCAACAAATTATCACTTAGAAAATCCTAAAATACTTTTAGCACAAAAATCAGTAAGACATCATGGACCAGATGTTTGGAACTCCTTACCAAATTCAATAAGGCATTGTTCATCTCTCTATTCTTTTAAAGCATCTCTCAAAAAAACTCTTATATCGAAGTATCTACATAACTGATTTCAACATGCAGTAGGCAATTGTCAAATTTCGGTCACATTGCAACTCAGTTTTGCAAATTTTGTTTTCTATTTCGTATTTCTTAATTTCCTTTATTGTAAAGGCTGTATTTGTTTCTACTCGACTATACCACACAGAGCTACGTACACTTCCACTATTTGTTACAAACACATACAAACACGCACGCTCGCGTGCACGTGCACACACACACACACACACACACCCACACATGCACACACGCACACACACAATATATATATATATATATACACTTGCACAACACACTCACCAACTCATACACAAAGATCGCTTGAACACTTTTTCATTTTAAGTTTTACCTTAAGATTTTTTTTTGTTTTGTTCTTGTTTTTTTTGTTTTTTTTTGAGGCCGCCATCCTTGTCAAGCTTTGCTTATGATTGCGGTCTCCTGCACTTTTCCACCAGAATAGTTAGGATAATACTTTAAATTTATGATAATAGGTTATGGAAATAATAAGTTTCGTTATTATAATTATGTACATATATTATGTAAAAAAACATTTTGACATGAAGAAATTATTGTTTGTTTATGTTGTATTATACCTTACATGTATATTATGTTATTTGTTATTCAGTTATATTTTATTTGGAAAAAATGCAGAAATAAAATCAAATCAAATAAAAAAAAAAATATTAAGATTACGCCCCGGTACGTACTGCCACTGTATACTATAGAGGATCGAGAAATGTGTAGGGCTTGAGGGGAAAGGTTAGCTTGGGGAGATGGTAGGTGGGGGGGGGGGGGGGGGGGGGAGTTGGAAGTAAGATGGCCAGCTTTATAAAAGAAATGCTCAAAACGGTGGATGAGGACAGCCTAAGAGACTGTGTCGATAAAGTGAACAGGATCACTCATCACGTGTTGTGTTCTGATATCTATATCGATGTTGTTGTTGTTGTTGTTGTTGTTGTTGTTGTTGTTTTTTTTTTGGGGGGGGGGGGCTTACCCCTGTCCCCTCCCGTTGCTACTTTAGTGAAGCTGGTTCTTTGTGTCGTATCTAGCCGTACATGGTAAATGAAGATGCACATTTCTTGAACGCCGGTAGCGTATGGGGGCGGCCAACTCAAAATGGCCCAAAAAGTTGCAGTATATATCGGCAAATGTTCCCCTTTATAGTATGATGGATGGTTAATAACTGCCTCACATCACGCGTCCCCTTTCCAGTGTAAAACAGGACCTATACATTGAATTATATTTTGAGCAGAAAATGTTTTTTTTTTCTATGCTCGATCGCTTAAGACATATCTTTAGGATCTTTTCCAAATTGCTCGGCTCTACGGTGCTACCTCACTCACAGCATATGAATGCTCTTGAACCGAATTTGGTTTCCCGACCCAATGCCCCGATCTTTCAAAACAGTATTTGCGCCCTCAATCTACAGCGGAAGGGTGTATAAAATGATGTCCTTCCGTCTGTTATCCACGTTATATATTGAAAATGAGAGAAAAAAGAGAAGGAAGGAAATTAATATAAACAAGAAAGGCTTTGGTGATTATAGTCAGTTCTTGACTGATTGCCATTACAACAAAAACAAAAACAACAACATGATGACTGTCGCTCCGCCCGTCACCACCTAGTCACAAATTTGAAGTGTAAAAAGTCAGGCATGGCAGCTCGAGCATGGGAAGGTTTTGTAAAAAAAAAGGAGTTACAATATTCCGAAAACTCTTTGACGAGCAAGCAAGGAAGACAAGCAAAACAAAAACAAAACAAAACATAACATAACAAGACCAGACAAACACAATAAAAGAAAAGAAAACAAAAACTAAACAAAACAAAACGAAACAAAATGAAATAAAACAAAACAAAACGAAACAAAGCAGTTAAATGAGGAATTCATTTATGTCATCAAATTTACGAGCTGAATGACAATGTGTGATCACCATACTCGTAGATGAAACTGTTTTCAGAATTTCAGCAGTTACTTATTTATCGTGGCTTGGAGCTGTATGGAGTGTGTTGTCAAGTAGTGGCATCTTTACTTTCTTACACGGCTCGAACGAGAATGCCTATTGGGTACCCGGTAGGATGCGAACGTTCATGTGGTTGGACGAGCAAAGTGTGCGCTTGTAAAATGGCGACTGGCTGGAATGCTCCCCAAGGATATATCCCCCCCCCCCCCCATATTTCAGGTGGGGGGATGGCCTGTACAATCATCCCCCCCCCCCCAATAATTCACCATCAAAAAAAAAAATAAGAGAAAAATTAATGATAAGAGCCCGATGAGAGTAGTTAATGGTTATTACTCGCAAGATGACCATCAATATACACATTTTGCTATCTCATTTTCATAATACATACATATATAAATAGAAAACGCAGTAAATGAGACGACCGTATATGAGACAAGTATAAATTTAATTCTCGCTCATACGGCTTCATCAGGAATTGATGAATTTATTCAGTTTATTCAATCAACAGCATCATAGAAATGCAGTGCGCCAAATGCAAAGCCGCAGCGTTAAAAAGCATTAACGAGCTTAGTAAATGTTAAGCGCGAAGCGCAAAAGTGCAAAAAAGCAGAAGAGAGTGGGAGAGAGAGATAATGAGAAACAGAAAGGATACAGGCGCGTAGCCAGGGGGTGGTGGGGGCGGTCGCCCCCCCCCCCCCAAAAAAAAAAAGAGAGAAAGAAGATAGGAAGATGGCGTAGGAAGAAAAAGGATTAAGAGTCGAGAACGGTGCAATGAATCGTCTTCTTTCTCTAATAATTTAAAGGTAAAGACCAGTTATGGTCATGCGATTGCATTGTGAAAGAAACGTTGTCGAATCGATCAGAAAAGGTTGATCATCTAGCATCTAGCATCTGCAAGGTTCTGGAATCATCAAAATGACAAGAAATTTGGCCCATTCTTCGTAAAGTTACAAGCACTATACACAGAAAGATGTATATGGGACTACCCTATATCTCTCACAGACCATGAGAGAAACAAAATTACCAAATATATGAATTATTAGGCGGTTTCCCCGCAAATTTTTTATCATCATGTATTAGTCAAAACATATTCTTTCACATGATTTGTAATGAGAGCTTCCATTTCATTTTTTGAAATAGGGGCGTTTTTTACTGGTCTTTACCTTTAATGAAACGTCAAAGCTTCCGCGCTTCGCTCGAGAAGGGGGGGGCTGAATTCAGACAAGGATTAAGCGTCGAGAATGATTCAACGAATCGTCTTCTTTTTCTAATAATTAAATGAAACGTCAAAGCTTCCGCGCGAAGGGGGGGGGGGGAACTGAATTCAGCAAGGATTAAGAGTCGAGAATGGTACAACGAATCGTCTTCTTTCTCTATTAATTTAATGAAACGTCAAAGCTTCCGCGCTTTCCGCGGGAAGGGGGAACTGAATTCAGCAAGGTTTAAGAGTCGAGAATGGTACAAGAATCGTCTTCTTTCTCTAATAATTTAATGAAATGTCAAAGCTCCCGCGCTTCGCGCGGGAGGGGGGGGGGGGGGGGGGACTGAATTCAGACAAGGATTAAGAGTCGAGAATGGTACAACGAATCGTCTTCTTTCTTTAATAATTTAATGAAACGTCAGTGCTTCCGCGCTTCGCGCGGGAAGGGGGAAACTTTCCCTCCCTGCACCCCAGAGAGGGGGTGCAACCTGCCACACGCCTCTACCTCTTGGTTGCTTTGATCCATTGCCGAAAATATTTTGGCACCTATCATCCCCCCCCCCCCCCCCCCCCCCAACCGAGGATACAAATCGACACCCTTGCACCACTTCAACAATATTTAGGTCTATTTTTACTCCATACACAAACAAGGAATTATAATGTATCGATAACTGTGTATCAATTATCGCCTCGTATTGGATATAGGCTAGATCGAAATTGTGAACTCTTCCCCATCTTTCTTTTGAAGTTTTACTTATACGCCATGACACGTGACGGTGAAAAACTTTTCATTATGTTTACAAAGTTAGATAAACTTACTTTTTGTGGGCGGGGTCTAAGAGACACCGCCCCCTGCTTCGATCACGTGGTGCGAGCTATTGGATCCTTACTACGCGTATACTGCAGCTTGTCTAGTACACAGTACATCTACGTTCGGTAGCAGCGTGGACGGGACAAATAAGGGACAAACCACTGTAACTGTAAGTTTCTTTATATATCACTTTTGATATGTTTCTCTTGTCATCATTATTTAGATATATTGCCTGTGTATTTTGAAGTGAATATAAGTATAGGTTTATACGTAACTGCCCGCGGCCACTGTGCCTGCATGCTAATGCAGTACGAGTCATCTACGGGGCTCATTTTGCATCTTTGTCGCCCAGCCAAGGCCTAGGCGACCTCTGTGACTGTCCGCTGGATGATCGCGACTGCAGCTGTGCAGCTGTGAGCCTTAGTTAGTGCAGTGCACTTTCCTTCATCATGAAGCAAAGTGCCACAGGAAGTTCATGTTTTGGTAAATTAGTTTTGGCTATGATTTCGTTGTTGAAGTTTATTGCTTACCTTCCAAGTGTTACTGATTTCTGATGATGATCAAACATTGTACATGCAATATACATTATGAAAACGTTGACCTCGACCTCTCAGTCTCACAAGAGTTTGTGATGTTGCTTCTGCAATTTGAGACTTATTTTACAAAAGTAGCCTAGACTAGATCTATATGCCAGAGCTTTTTACCATTTTTCACATTTTCAACTTCGCCAGATTTTAACCAAACTTGATTGAATGGAGTCATCCTTAGGCAAGAGAGATCTAAAGTTGTTCAAATGGGGTACGTAGCCCCGAGGGGGGGGGGGGCCTGAGGCAACGCCCCCAAAGTTACTCAGTGCAGTGGCAGTAATTGGTTATTTTTCTTAAAAACCCTTTTGCTGGATTGTCACTGAAATTTGTAGGAATTACTTGCAGGAAAGGGAGATCTAAAATTGTTTAAATTGAGTATTTGCCTTCCAAGGGGTCTTGGGGCAGCATCCTCCAAACTGCCCCAATGGCAATAATTTATAGACATTTTGTTTTTCTTCTTTGATAATTATGTATAGATTTGATTTAACTTGATAAAGGAAGCATTCCTCAGGCAGGGGGATATTAAATTGTTCTGAAAGGCTACTGAACCCTCCAGGAAGAAGTGATTGTGGTTAGTACCCCCCACCCCCCCCCCCCCTAAAAAAAAAATGCCCTCTGGCTTACATTTATGACTTCTCAGAAGTACATGGCCAGATTTTAACCAAACTTGTAGGAATCATCCTAAGGCAAGGAAGATCTAAAGTTGCTCAAATTGGGTCTTTACCCCAAGGAGGCCTGGGGAAAGTGCCCCCCCCCCAAGTTCCTCAGTGGCAGTAATTTGATTTTTTACCAAAATTCATAGGAATCACCTGCAGGAAAGGGAGATCTCAAGTTGTTCAAATGGGGTAAAATGCTCCACAAGGGCTAGCTTTTAGAGGCAGGGTCCCCCAAAGTACCCATAATTATGTTTTTATCAAGGAAAAGTGTTTCAGTAGAAAGATTTATGGTGTGTAATTTGTTTAATAGAAATAAAGGTAGTTTTTATATTACATGTAATTACCCCCATCTTTGAAAGTAAATTTCTTTTTATGTTTCATTGCATCATACCTATATATATCTGTGTAATGTCAAACTTTTAAATTATATGCTTATTATGTCAAACTCAAAATAAAAATAATATCAGTAGATATAATACATATTTGGTAAAAAAATAAAATTCAGGATTTTTTGCATTCTTTCAATCTTTTAAAAATTGATTCTGCAATGAGGATCACTGTTAAAAAGTAGCTAGCTTCAATATTTTTCTATTGAAACGGAAAGGTAATGAGAATCACTGTTAAAAAATAGTAGCTTCAATATTTTTTAAATGAAAGTTAATATAAAATTCATAGTAAACATGATCTTTGTTAATACATTCTTCTTCTTGTTTGGACCTTTTTTTGTTTATGAAATGAAATTTCCCTGTGTGGATTTGCCTACGCGTGAAATTCTGTTACTCGTTAACCTGCTGGCAATTTTGGAGATTAATGTTTGATTTTAATGACAGGGAAAAATGGCAATATTTTAGGTTAATGAATGACCATGGTAAAGTGGTATATTCCCATATATGGTTCGTTATGAGATCCAAAGTGCAAAACTTTGAGGGTCATTAAGTAGCCCTACTGTACATGTACTATACAATAGAGAATTTTTTGACAATTTGTTGAAACTTAAGTAAACTTAGCCTACAGGCGGCTGCGTTATTCTGATGATGTAACACATTGCATAAAGCCTGTTAGTCATAAAACAGAAGGCTAATGACTGTGATTGACAACACCTGTTATTGGGTAAACACCTGAACTTGTTGAATTCCCCATGATCGAGAGCCCACTCTTATAAGTCTTTAATAGTGCAAAATCCATGTCTCCCGTGGATGCCCAACATTTCTTGAGATTTGTCTTTAAAATGTTGACTGATGGCCTTTCCACTGCATGTGATGGTAGATTATTCCATCCTGATATCACTCTTTGTGAGAAAAGAGAACATTGCCTCAACTTTGACTAATTTACATGCTTGCAATAAATGTGCAATCAAATGTGCAATCAAATGTGTATTCAATAATTCAAGTCAGATATAGATTGTCCCCCTTGCAACTTGCAAGTGAAATATGCTAAGACAGGCTGGGTAGAAATACAGCATACAACATGATTATTGTTCCTCAATATTTACATTCTAAATCTAATAGACCAGTTCACTACCATATTCAAATTGTATGCATACTTTTGGAACCAAGGTTGTTCTTGACAATCTGTAAGCTTGCCAGAGGCTTGCCAACATAGCAACATGTGGATTCCAAGTATTTTAGTTCATTCATTAAAAACAGGTAAATGGAATAACTTTTTCACTAGGTCCCAGGAAAGAAATGTAGTAAAGAGATCTATTGCAAAGTACTTGTGTTTAGTATGTAATTATGCAAGTAATGTGATATTTTTCTTTCTGGGATTTATATTTAGCGTTTATGTCAATCTTGCATACTCTTCAGACTTTGCATTGGGAAGGGCCCTCTGCCCCCAAAACAAGCAATTAGTTTCTTATCTGAAAGAACAAATATTGTGGCATGACTGGCATCTCTATATATTTCTTTATTTGTAAATAAAGTAATGTATGAGAGATTCAGCTATAAGTTTCACTCAATTTACAATAATACATGTACATATTCAAATTTATTTATTTTACTTCACTTAAAAATACAATGCAGACATAAACAATTTAACAATAACATTGTAAGAAAATAGACAAATGATACAAATTAGGAAAAAATGCATACACTGTAATGAAGTGGATGTGTGGGAGTAGCAAAGGGCATTGACCTGTCATGGCTACTCCCCGTATTAACATTCATTAAGGTCTCAATAATGGCAAGCATGATAACGATAAGTCTTATATTTAGTATCAAGCATGATATTAATGAGTGCTACAAGTTATATGAAACATGATATGATAAAGTGCATTTAATATCAAGTTCTTTCTTATCTGAAAGAGCAAATATTGTGGCATGACTGGCATCTATATTTCTTTATTTGTAAATGAAGTGTAAGAGTTAATATTAGACTCATTCCATTATCAACTCATGAGCGAGAGATTAATCTGCCATGTACATGTACTATGTAAATTTATTTAGTTTTATTCAATTCTTTCCGGTGGCAAGTATGATAACGATAAGTCTTTTATGTAATATAAAGCATGATATCTACATGTATAAGTAGTACATTTAATATCAAGCATGATATTGATGAGTAATGCACTTGATATCAATCATAATATCTGTAAGGAAGTGTGCATATATATGCTTAATATCACATACATGTTTGATACTAGGAGTGTCTTATTGGAGTGTCATATTGATACATACAGTAGAAGTATTTGCGCAAATAGCAGTGATAAAATGCCAAAGTTCACTTCTGAACAACTCTTCGACCTTTGTGTTTGTTTGTTTTCTCCCTTTTTTTACTTTTTGGATTTCATTTTTTGTAGAAAGAGAATGATGAGGAAATTTAGATAGTAGGCCCCTACAATAAGAAACCTTAGAAACTTAAAATATGTTATGACTGAGTGTCCTTCAATATAAAATGAAAAACAAAATGAACAAATATTAAAGTAGAATTTTTTTGATAAATACAGATGTTTTTTAAAAAAGTTGACCAGTACTTCATGCTTCTGTTTACTCCAATACACAATTCTTCAATTGCCTTTTTATATCTCATTGAAGTTGAGAAGACATTAATCCAATGAATATTTTATCTTATTTTCTATTCCTTGTATACATGTATGTAGGGGAGGGGGCTGGGTTGTGGTAAGGACTAGGAATAGGTAGAGTGAGATCCGAATTACTTGAACAAAGAAACTAGATAGGAAATGAAAAATTATAGTTCCTTCTGTTTATTGGCCCGCAGACAAATCAACCATGCCGACCCGTCAATCATGCGACACCTGCAGTAGCGTCGTAGGTCAAATCGTCATCCATCAACATTGACTCATGTGATAACCTGTCACTAACAAACTTATTGTAAAGATCAATAATTTCATAAACCCTCACTGATATAAGTACTGGTGTAGTCTGAACTCATTTTGTCTAACTTAATTGGCACTTAAAACAAAAGATCACGATGCACCTTCGAACCTGTGAACCATTTGGCATCGCCCTCAGGCTTGGTATCACTCTGTAAATGATTACACTGCAAATATATCAGCTCCTTTATCTTAATTATCTAGTGGAACTTTAATCAGCTGCACAATGCAGACCGATAAAGTATCGGGTAATAAACCTGTGGCTAATCGAGTCCTCTGCATCATACAACAATTATAAAACGATCGTCTGCCGATACGCTACTGGGGAAATAACAGGTGCGAACTGTTTCATCATAGCTGCTGCTTCCTTTCATTGTTTGGTTTTCTGTTATATATTGGATGTGGGGAGGAACTCCTGAGATTCATGTTAATTCTCTCAATCCTCACTCTTGAGGTTCATAGGAAAGATCTGTGAGTATAGAGCATGTGTTTGTAGATAGAAAACAGATTCTGCAATTTGTCAGCGGGTCAACCTTTCCCTTACACATTGCATTGTAGCTATTATTTAGCAAATAAAGCACTTGACATAATCAAAAGATTACTTTAGGAGATCAGTATATTTTCATAGTTGTTTATTGAATTATTTAAATGTTGCAGATTAAAATATTATGCAGTATATTTTTCTTGATAATGATTACTACATGTACATGTATGTCTTGTGGAAAATTCTTGATCATTCATTAGCCTCTTTGTATACAAATTATTATCAAAAAAATACTATCAAAAAATGTTTATCAAATCATGCTTTTTTAAAATTTTATATCTTCTTTGAAATGACAGGTTTGTGAAGTATGCTACATGTTCTGTATATCACATGATGTAAACTATACATGTTTGTTGTATAAATATTTTTTCTTTCATTATTTTGTCTTCTACACTTCCAGAATATCCCTACAAAGCTGCAGAACCACTTGACCGAATCTGTGCCACCAACTTTTCTTCTCCGAGAATCGACCTCTGAACCCTGACCTCCAATCATGGATATGCCAGGGGAGGAATACAAGGACGGGAAAATCAAGATCTCCCGAAACGCTGCCATCTTCATCGCCTGTACCTTTGGCAGCTCACTCCTCTTGGTGGGGCTGCTGTGCGGTCTCCTACCTGCGGACGATCCATCATGTAATATGTAAGCTCCTTAAATTGGCAACTTTCATTTCATTATCCGTAGCTATAGGCACCCAAGAAGTCTGAAAGTCTCTCCTCATTGTCTGTTCAGAGCCAGGAGGGTGTTAACTCTGTGTTAAGGTGAATGAGTTAACGCCCTTCTGGCTCCAAAAAGACGTCGCTATGCCTCAAATGAATTTACAAAATTTTGAGAGTCACGCCCTTTTCAGTTTAATTGCACCGGCAGAACTTTGGACTAATAAAATTGCCAGAATATTCACAACTTTAAAACACGGTACAAAAGATATATATAACGCAGAAACACTCAAAGATAGAACAAACAAACAGTTACTGCAATACAAAAAGCAAAGAGTTCCTTGAGAATTAAGTGACAGGAGGTGACAGGAGTCGAATGGTTTAAGCACTTGACTTGAAATGCAAAGGTCATAATTTCTATCCAGGGGGGTGTTTCACAAAGATCCTAAGTTGAACTTATCTCTAAGTTGGACTTAAAATTTATGGGAAGCCATTAGCATCCTTGAAAACATGGGAGATTTCATGTTCTTGATGTGGAATTGATGAAAAGTCTAAAATACTCCAATTTTTGCTTTTGAATATATTTCATTTTAAGGCTCCAATGGCTGTCCATACTTTTTAAGTCCAACTTAGTGTTAAGTTCTACTTAGGATCTTTGTGAAACACTCCCCTGGACAAGTACTGCACTAATGCCCTTTGGCAATCGGGCATTAATCTACATTTTCCACTTCATACCCAGGAGAGAAATGGGGGACATGGTAGAATGATGAAGCCTTTGTGTTAGGAATTGCTATATGGTCACTCTCATGGGAGTGGAGATGGTGCACATTGTGTGTGATTGAATTTGATGACAGGGGTAAAATCTATAAAATTCTTAGAGACAGTATTTCATTTAAAGGGCTATATAAAATCCAGATGATGATTATTGTGATTGTTATTATTATATCACTATTTTTTAAATCCATTTCATCATAGATGTAAGAGACCAAACCAGTCTTTACTCATTCAGGACAGGAATTGTTCAAGACATATTAATCATCAAATTGGCAACATTTTTACTATCCATTAAGTGCTGCATTGCATGTTCTAATAAGAAGTTATGTATTTGAAATGACAGGAACTGCATTTGACAGTTCAAAAAAAGTTGCCCATTCGTAAGGAAGAACAATGATTGTGAGAATCTGAACTTGTTGGCAAGTTAAGTATATTTCAAAGCTCACTGTCCTTTTAAATCTTGTACGGTTAATGGGTTGACAGATTCCAGATATTCCAACCGATGTTTACATTAAAAAAAAAATACTTTTCATATTTTTCTTCAGAAGGCATTCTATTGTTAGGGAAAAGTTACAAGAATGTCAACAAAAGAAATATATTCTATTCAGTCACCCTGATCAACGATGGATGCTGAAAAGGAGGAGGGGGGGGGGCATGAGGGCCTGTAGGATGTGCCCTCCTTGTGTAAACCAAATATTTAAAATAGGATTCTAGAGCGGAAGATGATAGGGAAAACGTAATAGTTTGGTAGTATTGGCAAATTTTGACAATAATAGTGTGTAAGTATATTGACAAAGTATATACAAACAAAAACGACACAAAATATTTGTGAAGAAGTGTCTATATCCAGATATCTGTTGATAGTATTATAGAATATAGAAGCCTGAAATGACCTTCTGCTCATAGCCGACAAGTCACCGCATTAAAATTAAATTGCAAATAGTGTTCAACAACACGATGGTGGATGAAACCTTCTAATATTCAAAGATATATGACCTTCAGACCATATTGTTTCATTATTTTTTATTCAATCAATCAACGTCAAAGAATTGATTTATCATCGCTCTTTAATTTATTATTTCACCTTTGTATGTACTTTCATTCTTATGCATCACGAAAGAACACTAAATTGGATTTTTCAATGTTTGTTTTGATTAATTTCCTCCCCTTTCCTTCTCCCTATTTAACACTGATACAATTTTCAATTTTTCTTAATCAAGGCAAAATATTATTTTCATATTTTCTTTATGCAAGACAGGGAGGGAGAGAGAGAGAGAGAGAATATGTTAAGTGAGAATTATCGAGTACAACCATGAATTGCATCCCTTTCAATATTATTCAATTCGCTGAAAATATTCAGAATATGAATATGATAAATCCACATAATACACCAACGCTGTTCAATGCATCCAACGCTCCAACCATAGCCCATATGCTAATGCACCATATTTATCAAATATGAAAAGAATTTTAGATGAAATGTGAAGAAAAATCAAATGTACAATGCACTAACAGGCATCAGTTGAAATCATGAATTCTCTGTGACTGGCTTAGCATTAGTTTCTGAGGGACCAGTCACTGAAGAGGAAATAGAGGGAAGGAAAATTAAGGAAGAAGTAAAGAAAAGAAGGGGGATATCAGTTGCAATTTTCCCGCCAACAAGAGCTAAAAGGGACCAAAAAAAGAGGAAGAAGAAAAAAAGGGTGAAAAGAATTTCGATGCGGTATTCGAGTAGAATTCTGTGAGATGATGATATACTTTCTGACTCGTAGCTTGAAGTGTCTATATCCAGATATCTGTTGATAGTATTATAGAATATAGAAGCCTGAAATGACCTTCTGCTCGTAGCCGACAAGTCACCGCATTAAAATTAAATTGCAAATAGTGTTCAACAACACGATGGTGGATGAAACCTTCTAATATTCAAAGATATATGACCTTCAGACCATATTGTTTCATTATTTTTTATTCAATCAATCAACGTCAAAGAATTGATTTATCATCGCTCTTTAATTTATTATTTCACCTTTGTATGTACTTTCATTCTTATGCATCACGAAAGAACACTAAATTGGATTTTTCAATGTTTGTTTTGATTAATTTCCTCCCCTTTCCTTCTCCCTATTTAACACTGATACAATTTTCAATTTTTCTTAATCAAGGCAAAATATTATTTTCATATTTTCTTTATGCAAGACAGGGAGGGAGAGAGAGAGAGAGAGAATATGTTAAGTGAGAATTATCGAGTACAACCATGAATTGCATCCCTTTCAATATTATTCAATTCGCTGAAAATATTCAGAATATGAATATGATAAATCCACATAATACACCAACGCTGTTCAATGCATCCAACGCTCCAACCATAGCCCATATGCTAATGCACCATATTTATCAAATATGAAAAGAATTTTAGATGAAATGTGAAGAAAAATCAAATGTACAATGCACTAACAGGCATCAGTTGAAATCATGAATTCTCTGTGACTGGCTTAGCATTAGTTTCTGAGGGACCAGTCACTGAAGAGGAAATAGAGGGAAGGAAAATTAAGGAAGAAGTAAAGAAAAGAAGGGGGATATCAGTTGCAATTTTCCCGCCAACAAGAGCTAAAAGGGACCAAAAAAAGAGGAAGAAGAAAAAAAGGGTGAAAAGAATTTCGATGCGGTATTCGAGTAGAATTCTGTGAGATGATGATATACTTTCTGACTCGTAGCTTGAAGTGTCTATATCCAGATATCTGTTGATAGTATTATAGAATATAGAAGCCTGAAATGACCTTCTGCTCGTAGCCGACAAGTCACCGCATTAAAATTAAATTGCAAATAGTGTTCAACAACACGATGGTGGATGAAACCTTCTAATATTCAAAGATATATGACCTTCAGACCATATTGTTTCATTATTTTTTATTCAATCAATCAACGTCAAAGAATTGATTTATCATCGCTCTTTAATTTATTATTTCATCTTTGTATGTACTTTCATTCTTATGCATCACGAAAGAACACTGAATTGGATTCTTCAATGTTTGTTTTGATTAATTTCCTCCCCTTTTCTTCTCCCTATTTAACACTGATACAATTTTCAATTTTTCTTAATCAAGGCAAAATATTATTTTCATATTTTCTTCATGCAAGACAGTAAGAGAGAGAGAGAGAGAGAATATGTTAAGTGAGAATTATCGAGTACAACCATGAATTGCATCCTTTTCAATATTATTCAATTCGCTGAAAATATTCAGAATATGAATATGATAAATCCACATAATACACCAACGCTGTTCAACGCATCCAACTGCGAACTCTCGTTGTTTGTATCGGTAATACATAGAGATGGGAGAGAAAGCGCCATCTAAGTTCCATTTCATTGGTTTAAGGTTTGAAAATTGAAACTCATTTTGTGTTAAAGTTATATAAGAAAAGATAATCTTTATTTTATAATTCCACGGGGACGACTTTTAATTTTGCAATCGCCCCCGTGGGCAACCTGACGGGGGCGATTATGGAGCTCACGGGGGCGAATTGCCCATCGCCCCCGTGTATTTTGGGTGCTGATAACGAGTAATATGAAAGTACAACAAACAGGAGCAATTGATAATGTTAGTCTATATTTTGCACGTTTGGAGAAATAAAGTATCTTGAATCTTGTGCAAGAGTATTGACTTATCTTAATAAGATTTCGTTTGTGATGTGAAGCAAAATTAACGCAAATTTCTAAACGAATGTCAATCAATGATTTGTTACCTTCCTTCCATTACCCCCACCTAACAAAAAAAACAAAAAAAAGGGATACACCGTCATTAGTTTACTTGGCGGAGGGAGGAAGAAAAAAATAATGAGTGCAGTTTTCACATTTTAATGAGATTTATTAAATGGAAGAGTAAAATCAACCCAAAATTCTAAACGATTATAAACCAATTTTTATAATTCATTGCTTTCCTTTCATTATTCATCACCCTCCCCATCTAAATAATGATAGTAATAATATGATGATGATTATTATAATGATAATAAAAAGCCGGAGAAACACTAGCGTACGGGGGGAGGGGGGCACGGGGCAGAATGCGGATAGGGAGCCAGACTGCACCCATAATGGGTGGCCAGTGAAGAAACTAAAGAGAGGGAGAAGAGAGAGAGAGAAAGAGAAGAGAGGGAGGAAAAGAGATGAACAGGAGCAAGAGGAAATATATTCTTTGGAGAGGGCTTTATACCAAGTTCAAAGAAGAAAAAAAATTTGAAACCTTCCGTAAAATGTGTTTTGCCTCTATGAGTTAAATGACAATGGAATAGCATAGTCTCCAAACAGGAATTCATGAATCAACACATTGGCTTTATGGCCAGCACACAATTGTTTATACCAGCGAGAGAGAAAAAAAAACACTAGTCTTTATTTCCATGAATTGCTGGAGAATTAAATTTGAATGGGGCTCCATAACCCGTGTGTCTAGATTGACACCTCCAAGTTACCTCCCCGATAAAAATCTACTTTTTAAATATTCATTCGGTTGCACAGATAAAACGTTGTTTAAAATGCTAACAGTTCATTACAATACAACAGCTTGTTAATTTTTAAACAGGTCTTATTATTTGTAAACAACCCTTTTAAACGGTGTTTTGATTGTGCATAATGATCCATTCCAAACATACAGAGTACAGTGCTAATTAGACACGAACTCAAGCTAAGATAAAATAACTTAGTTTAGCCGCAGAGGGAGCTAAACAAGTATGACAAATCTTTCAATGGGTTGAAAATTAATCGTGGTTTTTCTGTCTTGAAAAAGACGTCACGGTCTTCGGACACACACGATGCGGCTTTTCGTGGGCAAATCGTGCATCTGGGTTAACTCAATACAGTTTTCATGCATGCGCTCTCAGGTTAAAAGGCTGCAGCTTCTCGCACATGAGAATTAATCCAAGGCGCCTAATCGAATCTGATGGTTCCATTGGCATTGATTGAAATATTGCTTAAACAAATTGGCAGGATTATCTTTGCCGTATATGCTTCCATCTGATCATGTTAACATGTTGTACACCGACATTCCAAATGTTGACTTAATTAAATGTGCAGTTTGGACTTGGATATATCGTTCCCATGATGTGCATCTATAGGCGTAATAACACGTTGTACACATTCCAAATGTTTCCTAAATATGTTTTAAATGACATTGAAACGTTGTACAGTTTTGACTTGGATATATCGTTCCCATCTCGTATTAACATGTTGTACACATTCTAATTGGTGGCTGACCTTGATGGTTTTATTGACTTTAAAACATTGCCAAATGTTGGCTGGAAGCCCGGAACACCTTTACCATATGGCTCTATAATTTACAATGAACTTTACAAACTTCTTACTGGCAGATCTTTATTTCTCAGTGTGAAAGAGTATAGGGCTAGACTTGTGTGGAATATCTCTACCGTATGGTATCTATTCTCACATTAACAATGAACTTTACAAACTTCTTAACAAAGATCATCATCAGTGTGATAGAGTAGGGCTAGAAGCTACCAATGTTCCTAAAAGAACATCTTGCATTTACAATTACCGGTAACCCATTTTTTCCTTTTTTTCCCCCCTTTTTTTCTTCTTCAAAGTGTTATATGGCTCATATGTTTTGCCACTTTTAAATTGATGTCAAGTCCATCTGGAAAGTTGATTTATTTTCCTGTTAGAAAGGCAATTCAGAAATATGAAACCGAAGGCAATGAGCATGAGCCTGTTTGTTATTATCAGTCATATGAGTATAAGAGTTAATGGGGAGCACATTAGTTCACCACGCCCCATTGTGGGAATCTGTTCTGGTACGCCCATATTAAAGATAAACTTGAGTTCTGCAGAAAACAGATTTCACAGAGTCCAACAAAACTTACACTGAATGTTCAAGATTACAAATAAATGACATGTGCCAAACAAGTTTGAGTAGAGCATAGAAAGATAAGGAAATCAAGGTATTAATCTAGGCCCAACATCTGTGCAATTGAGAGTAGGGGTTTTATTGAAGATGATTACCAGCAAGTTTTTGTTAGGTTGTTTTTTATTTTACTGGTTCAAACAATCAATCTTCTGCAGGATAAACAATCCAGAATGAATTATAGCCATGTTTTCTCAACATAAAATGCCCATACCAGATCTCAAGATTAGCTTTAAGTAAATTTACATACAAATACAAAAACAGTTTCTTCCTCTAACAGTGTTCCTGTGTCCCCATTCCAAATTTTCTAATGCATCTGAAAATCTTAAGCCTCACACAGATTTGCCAGTAAATTTGAACCTAAAAGCATAGAAAAAGGTTTTGCTTGTCTGAGATTTTAAAATATTAATTTTTTTTCTATATTGATTCCCATATATTCTTTGCACCTTTAAGTATATTCCAGATTTTTATTTACATTTCTTTAAAAAAAGTGATATAGCAAATGGCTGGTGATGTTCCAATAACTTTATGATGTTTGTCAGAGTTTGACTGTAAGAATAAAAGTCTCAATCAGCTGATAGAACAGTCATCCGTTATCTCCATGGTTTGACCAAGTGAAGAACTGTAATGTCATCTGCTTCTCAGCAGGACTTTGTTAACCTTTGGTCCAAGTAGAGAGGGTCATGGCCTTTTGGCATCCCACAGGGTTGTTTATGAAGACCAAAATGATTTTAAACATTGAAAGTATGCGTTTTGGGATATATTATACTTGCTGGTACCCTCTGTAGTAGGTATTCTTGTCAAAAAGGCTTTTCCCTTTGTATTTTTATTTTATTTTTTTTTATTTTTTTTGGGGGGGGGGTTAGAGTACCCCAAGGCTAAGCTATTGTCCTCCATATTGCATGTTGCATTTATAAATTTCAAAGAACCATGTTGAATATATCATGATAGATTATCAAGGCCTCTCCTTGGCTAATTTGTTGTATGACACAGACAGGTGCCTGAACCCACAGAGCCCCCCATTGAACCGGTAGAAACGACGAAACCCTTGATGACGACGGAAAGAGCAGAGCCCACCCCGTCCCCTGGCCCTACAGGTGCCCCTCAACCTTGGGATAGCCTGCGACTCCCCACCGACCTCATACCCTCTCACTACGACATCGAGCTCCGTATCGACATCGACGACCAGCAGATGTTTGAGGGCAGCATCAGCATCATCATGGAGTGCATACAGAGCACCGACCTCCTCCTCCTGCACAGTAAGGAGCTGGATATCCTGGAAGGTACGTGGTCGATGACGTCGGTCGATGACGGTGCCGACGTGCCTTTGAAAACAGATCCGCTCCTGTTCCCGACCAACCAGTATCTCATCGTGGAACTTGCTGAGATGCTTACTGCAGGAAAAACTTACGTTTTCACCATCGGATTCAAAGCACGGCTTGAAGATGGCTTAGTGGGACTGTACCGGAGCTCGTATCAAGCTAACGGGGAAACAAGGTCAGTTTGCCTTTTTTTCAAATTTGCAGTCTGACTTTTTGTAAATGCATTTCATTTTATACATGATTGGTTTTCGTTGTGTGTACGTATAAAGAAAAGCAAAAGATTTAATTATTTCTCCAGAAATGAGAGTTGAAGACAGTTGTAATCATTTTTTTAAACTACCATTGCCAAACAGACTTGGAAAGCCAAGATAAACATACATGTAAGACAACATATATTTTCAAGTGATAATTCTACCTGAAAATTCTCAATATAATTTGAATCATCTTATGATAGATGCATCTTTTTTGTCACTTGACCTAGCTATGTTTGAATTAATTTACAATAGTAAAAGTGAGCTTTTATTATTGCAATTTTCATGCTAGATGTATTTTTCAAAGCTTTCCATAGTTGCTCACTGCTTTTGCTGCAAAATACCAATGCTGCCAGCTAGTCATCATTATTGTTAATCTCTTCTCTCAGGTATCTAGCAACAACGTTCTTTGCCCCCACCGACGCCCGCAAAGCTTTCCCCTGCTTTGACGAGCCTGCCATGAAGGTCACCTTCAATCTGACCCTGGTCCATCAAGATGGCTACATCGCCCTTGGCAACATGCCCCTCCTTAGCAGCGAGCCGGCGCCCGAGGACGCAGGATGGACGCAATCTGTCTTTGACAAGAGTGTGCCGATGTCTACCTATCTGATCTGTTTTGTGGTTTGTGACTTTGTTGAGAAGAACACCACTACCAATAATGGTGTTTTGGTGAGTGTGTTTAGTTTAGATGTGTGTCTATTACTTAAAACAAATTGTTCTTTTAAACTATGAATGTATGTTACACTGAGATAGCAACATAATGATAATAATAATGGTGGCTTCTTATATAGCGCACATGTCCGTCACATTGTGACCCTCCTGGCGCTGCCCCAATTAAATATCATATCATCTTCTGATTGCACTCCACAGCTAAGGGTATGGGCACGAGAAGATGCCAGGGATTCCTTGGACTATGCACTCGAGAAGGGCTCTCAAGTTTTGGACTTTTTTGACGGCTACTTTGGAACGAAGTTTCCGCTTCCTAAGATGGGTAAGTCGTAGATGAAATTTTGTCAGTCAAGCAAGAACAACCATTTTGCTTGTCTCCTCCCCTCCCCTTTGCTCTATCTCTCTCTATCCCTCTCTCTTCTTCTTTCTTCCTCTGTCTCTCTCTCATTATCTCTCTCTCTCTCTGATTTTTCACTCTCTCTCTCTCCTCTCTCTCTCTCTCTCTCTCTCTCCCCTCTCTGTCTCACTCTCTATCTCAATATCCCATTCATCATCTGATATTCTCTTCCTGTCTTTGTCTTATGTGGGCTTCACATTCTCTCTTTCTCTCTCTCTCTCTCTTTCTCTTTCTCTCTCATTCTAATCCTGCTTACAAGTTCTCTTGCTCATTTGTTACTGTGATTGTCTCTGTGTTAGTCTCTCTCTTTGCATCTCTGTCTCTCCCTCATTCTTTGTCTCTGGCTCTGTTTCTGTCTGTCTGTCTCTCTCTCTCTCTCTCTCTCTGTATATTGGTATCCATGTATATCCATTCTTCAGACCACTTTTCATATTTCTCATCTGCTCTCCTAGATGTGATAGCCATACCTTACTTCTCAGCCAGAGCAATGGAGAACTGGCATGGGGTCTCATTATGTACCGGGAGTCAGCCCTTTTCTACACTCTAGGGTCCCATTTTACAAAACTTGTCATCAGTGACAAATGACATTTTGTTGTAATATAAGATAGTGAAATCCTTGCTTCTGATTAGTTATTAGCAGATTTGTCACTGATTTTTGTCATTTGTCATAGATGAAAAGGCTTTGTGAAACAGTTTGTTGGTGTGTCCTACCATACCCCTCTCCTCTCATTTTCTCTCTCTCTCTCCCTTCTCTCTGTCTCTCTATTGTTTTCTCTCTCTCTCAATCTAACTCTCTCTCTCTCTTCTATCTATCTCTCTCTCTTTCCATCTCTCTCTCTTTCTCTCTCCCTCCCTTTGTCAATCTAACACTATCCAAATATCTCAGTGACTGTCGTTCAATATTTCTGATACATTCTCCCAGATATGATTGCCATACCTGACTTTGCTGCCGGAGCGATGGAGAACTGGGGTCTAATCACGTACCGTGAGTCAGCCCTTCTCTACACCCCGGGTGTGTCCTCTTCCAGTAACAAGCAGAGAGTCTGCGCTATCGTCGCTCATGAACTCGCCCATCAGGTAAATCCCCCCCACCCCAGGAACGGAGGGACTGCATTCATGTTCCCAAAATCTCTGGTAAAGGGGTACCTTTTCACGCAACAAAGTCCGGCTCATAATACACAAAAAATCGGCCCGCATTGACTTTACACACCAGAATTTTTTAGGGGAGCGTTTTCAAAATGAGGGAACATGCATACGCATACCTTAAATAACACTGAGTGGGGGGCCGGGATCTCACACCCCAATCACGCCAACGAGCCCAACACCAGAACAAAAACAGACCGAATAGTTCCGTTACTCTGAATATGCAAGAATCGGTCTGACTAGAGTCGTTTTGGCGTTATTACTGAGGTTTCAAAATCAACTCCTGTGCCACTAATATAAACCAATTCAGGTCACCTTACTAAAAATCTCCCAATATTTGGTGACTCTCCAAAAATATAAAGCAAGAGGATATTTTGCTTAAAAAAACACATCAAATTTGTAAATAGCTACTCGAAGCACCCATATGCCATCGCATAAAATAGGGCCTCCACGGAACCAAAGTTGGACTCCTTGTGTGCCGTTTTATGTTATTCCTTATTTTCTTCATACTCCTCACGCATTCGATAGCCAATAGAAAAACAGTAGAAGTTTTTGAGGTTGATTTTATGCATTCTAGCTGCACACAAATTATATTTTGAGGTAATTAGTACACTGTAAAAACATAAAACCATTCCATTTTAATGCAAAGTTCCAAAGATCATTTCATAATAATAAATTTTCTCATCCTCTCTATAGTGGTTTGGTAACCTGGTGACTCTGGAATGGTGGGATGACACATGGCTCAACGAGGGCTTCGCTTCCTACGTCGAGTACCTTGGAACTGATGATGCAGAACCGGATTGGGGGATGGTACATATTAAACTTGTAGTATATTAAAAAATAGTTGGGATTGTTCGGTGATTTAGATCTGGAAAGCTTTACAAATGCTCAGGAAAACCAAGCTAGGGTAATAATATGATTGCAGGGCCCTCATGGAGAACAGTAAACTCAAAGAATATAAATACTGATTAGGTTTCCCTGGGTAAACAAAACATATTATTATTAGTAGTACAGCCAAACCTGCCTCAGTGACCACCTGTCTACAAAGACCACCTGTCTTCAAAGGCCACATTTTTTGTTTCCCTTGAAAATGGTTTCTCATTGAATCATGTACTAAAGGAACCTGTCTACAAAGACCACCTTTTGTGTATCCCTTGGGCGGTCGCTATAGACAGGTTTGACTGTAGTACATGTAGTATCAATTCAATTTTCAGTATTCTTATTATTCACACATCGCTCTCCTTTTGCTCTTTTTTTCCCTTATCCACAGACTGATCAGTTTGTTTCGGCGGATCTCCAGACCGCCCTAGACGCAGATGCTCTCATCACCTCTCGACCCATCATCGTGGATGTGGAGACACCCGATGATATCAATCAGCAGTTTGATACCATCTCCTATAATAAGGTTTGTGATCTGAACACACAAATAAAGAGGTGTATGCCTAACAATGTTGTGCCTATTATCAAATGTTTGATTAAAGCATGGAATTTTTTCAGATTAATTTTTTTGCTCTTGATATATTTTATAACTTATCTGTTTTTTTCATTCTCTCTCTTGCTCCCTCTCTTTCTCTTTATCTCTCTCTATCCTCTTTCTTTCTCTTTCTCTCTCTCTCTCTCTTTATTTCTCTCTCTTTCTCTTTCTCTCTCCCTCTCTCCTCTGTACTTTAAATATACATACTGTGATATATATTAAAGGGCTCTTTAATCCGATGTCGAATTTCTCATATACATGTATATGCATTGTGATCAGTCTGTGAATTTGTTTTGTAATTTTGGTTATAGTATTGAATATTTATGTTATATTAATGTATCCATTGTGTTGTTACATTTTAAACAATACACTTCAAGTTCTTTTGACCACTGTCCTATGTTATGTTCGTCTCTTTCTATGCTGGTAAACCAATTTTGAATGTGAACTTCCACTTGAATCTTTCTCCCTTCCCCCTCTCTCTTTCTCTCTCTCTCTCTCTCTCTCTCACACAATCTTTCTTTCTCTTTTCTCTTTTTCTCTTTCTTCCTTTCTCTTTCTCCTCCCCCTCTCTTTTTTTTCTCTCTCTCTCTCTCTCTCTCTCTCACACAATCTCTCTTTCTCTTTTCTCTTTTTCTCTTTCTTCCTCTCTCTCTCTCCCTCTCTCTCTTCCCCCTCTCTCTCTCTTTTCTTTTAACTCTTATCTTCCGTTCACTCCATCTTTCATTCTATCTTTCATTCTCTCACTCTTGTCTTTCCTGCATCCTCACAGGGTGCCTCTATTCTCAGGATGTTGCAGAACTTCTTGGGTGAGGATACCTTCAGGAAAGGGCTAGCGGTAAGTTCACCAAGCATGCACATGTTCACTTTCATTTGATGGACCTGACTGCTAAGAAAGCATTTGTATGCTTGTAAGTAAGCAACCAGGGGTCCTCTCTGTGAGACTTGGTAATGAGGATTTATTCCTTAGCAAAGGGCACTAGCGCATCAAATTGATTTTGAACCCAGGACCTCCTGGTTAGGAGACCATTGCTCTACCACTGAGCCATCGCGCCTCACTCATGATGAGGAACCCTATGTCTGCGCACCTAAATTTAGACTTGAAATTGGCAAGAATTTTCTATTATATTCCCCTAGTGCTTACTCTAACATTAAACCTCATATTCTAAAGAGTAAGTGTGCCCAAAATTTCATCAAATTACAAGCAAGATCAATGTTATTTTCACAAGAAAAAGTAGAGGCGTCAAAATGAAAGGTCTACTGCCGCCTTTTTGTGTTTTTATTAATTGAGGCATGTTGGGAATACATCTATTTTCATCTTGTTTTTCATATTTTAAACTCTATTTTTGTTCCTCCAGAACTATCTTGATGAGTTTGCCTATTCCAATGCAAAGAACACAGATCTATGGAGAGTGTTGACTGCGGTAAGCATAGAGGGTTTTTTCTTCATATCTTTGCCCCTTTTATTTTTATAAAACAAACTAAAAAAAAAAATCACATTTAACAATAACAAAACAATATTTGTATACATCATTCAAATACATGCTTCAACATAAGCCATCTTAAGATAAAACTCATTTCTTTTTCCATATATATCATAAATGTACTGTTGATCCTTATAATATGTCTTTATTATATATTTTACTGTATGTATGAAAAACAGGAAATGTTTCATTATATAAAGTTAGTTCAAGATCATGTATCAGTTTGTCTGGGCAGAAAGAAAAATATACAAATTATAATTAGTTCCTGAACTGTTAAGTTTTAATTGCTGAAATAGTAATGCCACCATTACAATTCTGATGATATACAGAATGAGGTATGTGGCGTAGATTTATTCCAAGAATAGTTAAACATTTGGAATGAGAGTTTTTCAAAATAATTAGTTGATTGTGCATTCATTCGCGCCCTTGTCCTAGGCTCTAGGAAGGCTTTTAAAAATGTCTAACTATGTTTCCATGTGGCACCTTGATTCCATATAACTACTAATACTGAAGGCACAGTTTCAAATTTGTTGGCATGATCAACAATTCAGAAAACCTGTTTTTTCTGTGAAGTTGGTTTATTTAAATCTTACTCTTCATTCAATGAGTAGACAAGTTTTTAAAGCCCCATTGCACTACTTATCGCTACTTGCGCCCTCTATATAGCAAACAATGCCTAATCGATGACCATTGGTCCCCATGGTCCCCTTTTTCTTATGTTAATTGAGAGCTGATTTGATGAGATAACCACCTGTCAGTGACCATGTAGGGAGGTGTAATCCCTCCTGGTCAAACTAGTGCAGAAGGGCTTTAAAGGCCAAAAATTAATTGTCCTAGTTTGTTTATCTGTGATGTCTCTCGATCAGGCTGCCGTGGAAGATGGAAAAGAAGACATCAAGGTGGAGGAAATTATGAGAACCTGGACTGAGCAGATGAACTACCCCAGCATCAACGTGACCCGTGATTATACCTCAGGGTTTACGCTCGGTCAGAACCGCTTCCTTATCAACCCTGCGGCCAACACGACGACAGATTATGATGATTTAGGGTAAGATTTTCTGTTTGTTGTAATTGGGAATTTTAAATGTTATTATTGTTACCCTTTGGGGTCTCTCTTCGCGTTATAACTGATTGGGGGTGTGCAGGTGGACCACTACATGGGGGTTTCCTTATACTCTTGTGCAGTAGATTACAATTGATTCTCCTTTACACAGGGCATCCATTAGGTGTGCTATCTGTGGGATGGAGTATCCCGCAGATAGCACACCTAATGGATGCCCTGTGTAAAGGAGAATCAATTGAATTGGGAGGGGCACGTAAACACATAGCACAGGCTTCAGTCATCTGCTTTGGTTAATTGTAATTGAATCCACAATCTTTGATTCGACAGGCTTTAACAGACATGAGCCAACTCACCTCCTCATGGTCACAATCTTTATGATTAGATAATTGCTAAAATTGTTATAACCATTGATACCAGTATTTTGATCACTATTGAAAATGTATAATCAATATCATCTACATGTCATTATCACAACCAATTTCATCATCATCATCAACACTGTCATCATCACCATCCTCACCAATTTCATCACCATCATCACCATTACGAAGCATTCTCAGGTGGTGTTGAACCATATATGCATCCAATTATTTTGCAGAAAACAAATAAACTATTTTTTCATTCAATTACATTATAACATTCTCTATTCCAGATACATTTGGTATGTTCCTTTAAAGTACACCACTAATGCTGCTCCAAACTTTACTGATCCTACGCTGCATTGGCTTGAACCAGGGATGGAGCAAGGTTAGTACATCGAGGGGTCAGTGACACAAAGACGTAACTCCATTTTGGCCATTTTGAGAAAAGGTGGTTTATATGTCACTGAACACTTGGGCCTAAAGGAGTTACTGTAAGTCTTTGTATCACTAACCGTGGACTTAAATGGGGCGTTGGGTGGAGTCAAGTCTTTGTGTTTCCTGGAAAGCCCACATTGTTCTGAACATTTTGATATCAAATACTCATTTTGGCAAAATATGGGGTTATGTCTTTGTGTCACTGAACCCTCGATGTAACATTCAAGTTATTTTCACTTCCTTTGAATGCTGAACCAATTATCATGGGGGGGGGGTGGTTGTCAGAGAATTTTTCAGTATATCAGTACCAAAAATTTTAATAGAAACTCAACACAATTTGTCACAAAAGAATGCAAAATCTCTTGCTTTACATTTCAAATTTTCAAAATATTTCTGCCAAGATTTAGAAAAAGATGCACATGCATGCACATTTGGAAAAGACTTATGAATCAACTTATACCTCCACCTTATGTAATTTAAACATACTTCTTGGATAGATAAACCATTTTGGACACGTCGAAGCTTGTAAATTATTAATGCTTTTCATTTGGTCATGTACAGTATCGATTGACTTTGATGACGGCACGATGTCTGATGACTGGCTACTAGCCAACGTGAATGCCTATGGGTTCTACAGAGTGAACTACGATGAGAAGAACTGGGACCTTATCAGCAAACAACTCACAGAGGATCACGAGGTAGGAACAAATAAATATCACTGAATTATTATTATTAAGTTCCCCTTTTGGTTGTTGTTTTGTTATTCTTGATTTTTTATTTTATTGTTCTTTCTCCTTTTTACCTTTTCGTGATGTATTTAATTCTTCAATTTAGGTTATCCACATCTCCAGTCGTGCGGCTCTGATCAGCGACGCCTTCAACCTTGCCGTGTCAGGTCAGGTCAGATAGGTCATGACCTTTAACCTCAGGTTCCACCGTCTTAGATGACGAGGGTGACTGGAGTTGATTTTTCATCAATAATAATTGATTTATCATTTCATCTTGATTCAGGTAATCTCCATCTCCAGTCGTGCAGCTCTGATCAACGACGCCTTCAACCTGGCCGTGTCAGCTCAGCTCAGCCAGGTCGTGACCTTTAACCTCAGGTTCTACCTAGATAACAAGGGTGTCTGGTGTTCACTTTCCATCAATAATAATCCATTTATCATTCCATCTTGATTCAGGCTATCCCAATCTCCAGTCGCGCGGCTCTGATCAGCGACGCCTTCAACCTTGCCGTGTCGGGTCAACTCAGCATGGTCACGGCCTTTAACCTCACGTTCTACTTGGAGGACGAACAGGATTATGTTCCGTGGAGCGTGCTGAACCAGGTCTTGGGATATGTTGACCTCATGCTCAGCAGGTCACAGGCATACGGCTTGTTCTCGGTAAGTGATTTCTCTTTTGAGTTCGTTCAGAGATGGAAAATGTTCTAGGTATTAGGTAGAAGTGGCTTGGTGGATAGTGGTCTACTTTAATAAGCAATACAGATAAAATGCAATTAATCAAACCAACTATTGTCAGCTTGAAGCCAGAACAGCATTACCTAACCTATATTATTTTACATAATGTGTTACATCCTTCTGGCTCTGAACAGGGATCCGTTTCACAAAGCCTTTTTTCAATGACAAATGACAAAAATCAGTGACTAATCTGCTGATAACCAATCAGAAGCAAGGATTTCACTAGCTTATAACAAAAACTGTTGTTTGTCACCGATGACAAGTTTTGTGAAATGGGACCCTGATGATGTAAATCTTAATTATAGAGATGTCGGGGTCTAGTGGATATGTCACCGGACTGTGGAACACAAGGTTTGTGGTTTGAGTCCCACCGCGGCACTAATGTCCTTTGGCAAGACATTTATTGACATTTTGCAACACTCCCCCTAAGGGAGGTAAATGGATGCCTGGTAGGAATTTATTCCTTGAAATGCTTGAGGAAATTATTCCTTGAAATGCTAGAGCGCCATAATGGCAGCCATGCTAAAGCCATGGCAATAAAATTGTGGAGTGCTAGGAGTGTATAGTTTGGCAGACATGAGGGCTATGTAAGAACCCTCTATTATTAATATTACCATTCTTTCTTTGATATCCTACAGACATACATGAGGCGTCAGGTAGAACCCTTCTACAATTACGTTGGATGGAATGATACTGTTGGATCCCATCTTGATCAGTGAGTTCTTACTTATTCTATTTTTCTTGTTCAGATATGCCATGCTAAAAAGAAAACAGAAACAGAAACATAAAGTGGCAGTGGAAATTGACTTAATGTAGTGTACGTCATCTGTATATTACAAAACTTAAAGATGACAACCATCTATCCTTTAAGAGAAATGACCCCCCCCCCCCCCTTGATGCAAGTTTCCGTCAATAGCTAGACCTATGCTACATGTATGCCACTACCTAAGATTTTTATATGATTGCGGCTTTTTTTGTAAGGTGGTAATATATTATCTTGTACTCTGAAATGTATACTCTTAGAGATTATTGTGGTATGATTTTTTTCTTCTTTTTGTTTTTAGGTCTGGTCGTGTGATAGCCATCAGTCTAGCCTGTGGGTATGGCAATGAAGACTGTGTGAATACTGCTATAGAGTACTATGCAACATGGATGGCTGATCCAGCTAACAATCCGTAAGGCCCTGTAATATTGTTCTTAGACTATTAGTATACAACTATTTAATGTCTATCAGTGAGATAGTAGAACTATTTCATGAGCCGTTCAATTCAAGTGAGAGAGTTAAACAGACTTTTTGCTTCTCACAGCAAAGATGGGCGAACTATCTTTCATCACCTGATTTACTTTTGACTAATCGTAGAGCAGTTTCTTAGTATGTGGAATATAATGCCGGGTAATAGTACCAGATTTAATAGTACCAGGGGGTGTTTCACAAAAATCCTAAGTTGAACTTATCTCTAAGTTGGACTTAACAATTATGGAAAGCCATTGGCCGTTTAATTTTTGCTTTTGAATATACTTCATTCTAAGGCTACAGATGGCTCTCCATAATATTTAAGTCCAACTTAGAGTTAAGTTTGACTTATAGTCTTTGTGAAACACCCCCATGATATAATAGTATGTACATGTAAATGTATATTCATGTATTGTGTGAACGTTCATAATTTTCGACTGAAATACAAAGACCTGAAAATAGAGATGAGTAGAGTAGATGAAATTCAAAGAGAAGAGATTGAATTTTCAGCCAAAGGAAAAGCTGTTACAAGTATTTCCGTTCATGCTCAATTCTTGTCTGTAACTCCCAGGGTCCCTCCCAACCAGAAGTCTCGCGTGTACTGCACGGCCATCTCTGCCGGGGGCCAAGAGGAATGGAACTTTGCCTACCAGGAGTACCTCAGCACCTCCGTCGCCACGGAGAAGAACATCCTCCTGGCTGCCATGGGATGCAGTCGGATACCATGGATCCTTAACTCGTGAGTATCCATCTATCAGGCATTATACGTCGCTGTATGCAAAGCTCGACACTAAGGCATAAACAAAAATGTTGTATTGCCATTTAGGTGCCAAAACATCTGTCGGTCGGTCGGAAATCTTTGAGAATTTTTTTGTTATTTCTCCCTCTTTGGGCTGATATTTCTCAGTTTTGAATGCTTTAAAACATATTTTGTAGTTATTAAACATTTTTCTTCTAAAAAGGCCAAGATCGACTTTAAGTTGGACTTAACTATGGCAGGCCATTCATGCCACTAGATCTCACCATTGGTCTCTCAATGATGAATAGGGTGGGTGGCTTAAAAAAAGAAGAATATTTGTTGTAAATTGCTTTCCCCTACCTTTTTTACTGTCTCAAGACTTACAGTGAAAAAAATGCAGTTGTTGTTAAAATAATGCTTTGTAAAGTGCATAGGAGTAGCTCATGACAAGTGACCTTCAGCTGCATAGGTTTCAAATGGCCATTTTGTAATAGAGTATGAATCCTCTTTCATGTGGCCCCACAGATGTTGTCTTACAGGGTAGGCCTCTTCATTATTCTTTATACATTCAAGTGATGATCCACCTCTCTGGAATTCGCTCCCTTCGCATATCAATCATGCTCCCACACGACAGAATTTCAAAACCCTTCTCAAAACTTACCTATTTCGTTTGTAATTTTTGACATTGCAATTAAGTAATGTATTATAATCAAATATGTTACTCTAATTAATTATTCATAAATATTTGCTATCAGTATTTACTTTGCTTTAATGTATTACCGGTAATGAATTTAGCAACATGTCTTTAATGTAAGGTTTTTGTACTTTGTTCTTGTAGCCATAGTTCAATATACTTGTACATGCTTTTTTTTTTACTATGTAAAGCGCATAGAGAAACCTTTGTTTATTATGCGCTTAATAAATCAATCTTTATAATTATTATGTGATTTTGCAGGTACCTAGAATTGAGCATCGCCCCCAATGGAACGATCAAGGCTCAGGACGCAGAGAATGTGGCAGGATACGTTGCCTCCAACACCATCGGCTCCGACCTTGCCTGGGACTTCTTCCGGGTCAACTGGGACTTTTACAGAAATGAGTAAATTTTTTTCTTAATTATCTATTATGAAATGTATACAAAAAAATATTATATTTGGTGCAGGATTGCTTGAATATATTATTGTATAGGCGTTGATGGGTAAGAAAAGAACAGAAAGAGTGAGAGAAGAGGGTGAGAGAAGTTAAAAAATATTTGCTCCCTGCAAAAGGACACTAGTATCATGTACTGTAAATGGCTGTAATGTCCTTTTAGAGGTGAGGCGAGGAATTGACATTTGTATTTTTTTTGATCCAGTAAGACATAATATGGACCTAAACTTGTCAATTGTTACAGAAACTGTGTTATGTGATATACAAGAAAAGAATATTAGTATTATTATTAGTGCCTGAAAAGTAGTAGATATAGGTGAATCATGCTCTTCAAGATTTCAGAAATAGATTTGTTTGAGTTTTATCTCAGTGACACAACGTATGTCAGTAAAAGCAGAAAATTCTTGATAACTGATAACTATGGACTAATTATTTATGGATGGAAAGATTTTCTCTTGAAAAGCACAAATCATTGGTGAAAAATCATATAGATATCATGGAAAGGCGTAAAATCCAATTTTGTGGCTAGCTGTGTCTTGCATGTGATATCACAAATCTTGACGCTCTACAGAGGACCGCTGAAGGCAGAAAATCTGGATCTCAAAATTAACATTTCTGAGAGATGATTACTGGGGGCCCCAAACATATTTTGAAGAGGGAAGTTGTTATATTTGATCAGTAGGGCTTCCCTTTCGCATAATGATATGAATTTTGCATCAATTCAAAACACTTTTGATTCTTCCGTCGGGTGACTACTTTAACAATCCTTCATGAATGTCCTTGTCTTACATCAGATACGGAAGCAGCGTATTCCAGTTTTCTGATCTGATTGAATCGGTGACGGCGAATTTCAATAGAGAGTTTCAGCTCCAAGAGGTACGTGATACAGCAAAACCTGTTTATAAAGACCGCTCAAGGAAGACAAGAAGGTGGTCTTTATGTACAGGTAGTTGCTTTAAGCGGGTGTGGCCGTAAATGAAGTCAGTTTGAATACTAATCTAACAAGCTGGATTTAAATAGCACGTAATACGAAATACCTTCTCCATAAGTGCTTTTCAGATATTATCACCCCAGTCATCGGCTTCATTCACGCACAATGTGCACCATCTCCACTCCCTGGGGAGTACTCTTACCATGTGGTCACCACGACCTTTGCAGTTCAAGTCAAGTGCTTAAACCACTCTACTATGACACCTCTAATATTATATTAGTAAGGGTATAAGCTGATTGACATATTCCAGTGTTAGCATGACTAATTAGATATTTTCAAAATGCTTAAAAGGAAGTCATCCAGTACTATTTGTTAACGTTATTCTCCACTCAGAGGCTAACCCTCAGCCTCTTTAATAAAGACAGCTGTCTTTTTCTATACAGGTGGTCTTTCTATGCAGGTGTTAGTTTTATACAGGCCTGATTGTCCATTGTTATAATTATATTGTACCTTTCGTGTGTCTTCACTAAACAGCTCCTGGACTTTATAGAGACCCACCCAGACCAAGGGACAGGATCTAGAGCGTTTGCCCAAGCTGTGGACCAGACCAGGGCTAACATCAGATGGATGGAGGACTACGAAGAAGAGGTCATGGAATGGTTGGAGTGGGCTGTTACTGCCTAACTCTATGGGCCATCACAGCCTAACTCTAAGGGTCATCACAGCCTAACTCTAAGGGTCATCACAGCATAACTCCAAAGGCTATCACAGTTTGATTCTATGGGCTGTCACAGCCTAACTCTAAGGGCTGTCATAGCCTAACTCTATGGGCCATCGCAGCCTAACCCTGAGGGCTGTGTCAGCCTAACTCATAGGCTGTCACAGCCCTTAGGATGAACTTTCCTGCTATCTACAAAGGAAAAAACAAACATTGACATTCCTAGTCCAAACACATTATTCTACATTCAAATTATTTATTGAGTTTGCTGCCAACACTAACAGTTAAAAATTATCTCTTGTGCACTGAATATTGTGCAACTCATATGTATATTTTAATTGGCACTACAGCCACAAAATGTTATGAAGCAAAGTTAAATAACCAACCCCAAAATGACTTGTGTGTTTTATAATTATAAAATATATTGATGCGTGTGTACCGGTATTTATTTTCATTCATCTAATTCTGACAAAAATGATTACATTGGTATTTAACAGTAAATCCTTTAATTACCATATGCAATGATATGTGACTTAAAATTGAAATATATGCAAATGATCTTGGCGATGAATATTCAAATTTTATGAAGGATATAAGAACTGTATGACTTATTGTTTAATAGGACACTGCTGCTTTGATGTAAAGAACAATGTGTATATAATTATAAAAGCATATGTTTTCTGCCAAACTTTGAAAGAGGTGCATTTGACTAAATCATGTATATGATTACAGAGGTTATACTTTGCTATTTAAAGTGGTTTGTTTTATATCACACTTTTATAGCTCCAAACTAATTCTTTTTGATTCATCTGGAATTAGTTTTAAAGTGAGTTGCAGCTGTCATTACATGTATTTTTAGGGGACTTGTTGGATTCAGGAGCAAAATCGATGCAAGTCGTTATATAAAAGGTCTTGATGATCTTCACTCAAAAACGGACAATCATAAACTAATTATTCCGGAATCCAGACTCTCGTCTACCAAAAAACATTTTACAGTGGCTGCTTCAAAAACGTGGAACAATATGCCACTTTCCATCAGAGAATTAGGCTTGCCATTTTCAAAAGATTCCTTAAAACATACTTCTTCCCTCAGTATGTGATTAATCTATTTTATGAGTCTATGTATTTTTATGTTTTTCTTCACAATCTGTGTTTTTATAGGTGCTATGATACTTTTCTTTAGCACTCTTGAATAATCATTGTTTTTAATATTTTTATTGAATAATCAGTATTATAATTATTAAGTAATCAATATTATTATTATTGATATTTTGGTTTGTATTACAACTTATTTGCTAAGTCAGTGATGTCCTATTATTGCTCGTAGGTGGTATTATGAAAACTATGTAATCTTATCTTTTATGTTACTTATACTAACTGTCGCATGTAGTTTACCGGTAAGCTTCTACCTACCTTAAAATGTTGTAGGCAGCTTTCCTCCACACCTGTGGACTTTCTCAAGCCAAGTTATAATTAGTTTCTTGCTGTTGGCTTCTTTGAGATCACAATGAATAGCCAGTCCCTATTCAGATGAATTCTTTCGCCTGTCTCGACATCTTTGCCATTTAAAAAATACTTTTTGAGATAACTTAATATGTGACTGGCTGCATGGCTTGAGATCACTGGAGCAAAGATAAGTTACAATGAATAGCCAGACTCCCTATTCAGATGGATTCTTTTGCCTTTCTCGACATAATTGCCATTTAAACAAGTTTGGGAAAAGTTATGTGACTGGCTGTCTGAGCTCAGAAAGACAAATCGTACTGATATGTGCCAGCACATATATCTTGTGTGTGTTTATTATGCACTATTTCAGTTTGGCATGGCAGTATTTTTACCTCTCGCTTAATATCTGTATGAAAGAAAACATAGTTTTCAGAATACAAACCCTATTATCCATGATGATATTCAAATGGTTTATTTAAGACAATTTTTCTTGTATGTTATTGCGATGGATGCTATAGAGATAGATATATAGAAATTTATATACACATATATAAAGTTTAATTTTCAAATGTCTTTTGTAAGCAGGTGTGCCATTCCCCAATCCCATAGACTTTTAAATCATTTGCCTATGGTGCTAATTGAGTAAAGATTATATTTGTGAACATGTTACCCTCGTCCGCATTATGGTACTTTGTGTGTGAAGTACATTGACTTGCGCATATTCTGCTGTTGTATGCTGCGGTGACACAACATTTGCTCCTGCGACAATTGCTCCGGGCTTTATTTCGTCTAAGATGTAGGGTTAGGGTTAGGGTTTCAATAGGGTTCTATGTTAGGTTTAGGGTTAGGTTTAGGGTAGGGTATAGTGTTGAATCCAGGGTTGAAGTTAGCCATTCGATTAGTGTATGAAATTTACAGCGGAGCAGTTGTCGCCGGAGCAAATGTCATGGAATCGTATGCTGCATATGTGTATGCAGCCTGATTTGTGTGTAAGATTAACTAGAGGGTCATTTTGACAAAGCAATATTCTGTAATCACTTTGTAAATAAAAAGCTAAATGAGAATATATAATCTTTTATCACAATTTCATCAATCATACCCAATATTGTTCTACCACTACCTCTAATGGAAACTTACTAAATCCCAAACCCAAAGCCAAGCTTGATTTTATAAGGTGCAGTCTTATCAGAGGTTATTTGGAGCTGTAAATGTAATTGACTGGGGCATGCAGCGACTATATGCCTCTTCCTGAGTTTATTCAGACCAGTGAGCAAATATTTAGACAACAATGCTAATACAGTACCTTTGTGACGGAATAACTGACCATTGTATCTGTAATACTAGATTGCATGGTGGTAGGATATTTAGTATGTCACTGAATATCTTGTTATATCATCAGATACCCAACTTGGATTATATATAGGCTTAGTGGTACATGTAGGCTAGCTATTTCAAGCCTTAAAGTCCTCTCCCAGTGATTTGTTAAGGAGGCTTATAATGCCGTACCAAAGGGTACTAGCGTATCGATTTGGTTCTGAACCTGGGACCTACCCTTCATAGACGATGCTCTACCACTGAGCCATGGCGCCACCTCATAGAAGATAACAAACTGATAAAGGTTGTACGCTTTATTAGAAACTCCTCGCATAATATGCCTTGTTTTGCCGCAGCTTAAAGGAACAATAGGCTTAAGGGGGAAGGAAGAAACACAGAAACAATAGTAGCTTGGAGAATAGCAAATGCTTTTTAGTTATTTTACTGGTAGATTTTACATGTATGTATCTGAATAGTTTGTATTTTATTGATATCAGAGAACTTGGGTAACAACATTTTTAATGTAATGTTTCATCAGAAATCATTCCAATCGCTCAAATTGCCTCTAATTTTTGCCATGAATCAAGTGCCTTTGTATCATATTAATTATGAATCATGTATGTACATTGAGAAAATTATATTTTGATTATGATATAATCATGTGTTTGATTGCCTTTTGTGGTGTGCTTTACATGTGAAGATTTATTATATTTTATTACTTGTATTTTTGTTAAAGACCATGTCGGAAGTGAAAAATTAAATATGCATTTATATCAACAGAAAGCTTGTAAGCCATGGATTTCAAAACTATCAATCATATATATTTTAGTGTCCGTCAGAGGATAAATATCTCTCTGAAAACTTGAAATCTAAAGCTTGACATTCTTTTGTATGGAGCAAGCATATTCATAATTACTTTGCATGAATTAAGCACAGCTCATCACCTCGGCTATAGGCGAGACGATCGGGTCAGGTGTGGAAAATAAGGTTTAATTTTGCGTTTGAAAGGGAAAATATTTGTTTATTCCTTTATATTTTTATTCTACATTTATTCAGCTTTCTATTGATATAAACTTGCATAGGATAGGGTCTTTAAAATTACATTGATGCAGGGAAATCATTATTTTTTTGTTGTGTTGGTCTGTACATGATTCTCAATGTTGTGTAATCAAAGGAATTTAATATATGTACCATCACTTTCATACCGATTGATCAACAGGATGAAACTCTTAGAATTTACAAGACAAACCATTGCTTTCTCTCTCTCTCTCTCTCTCTCTCTCTCTCTCTCTCTCTCTCTCATACTCTCATTCTCATTACAATTAAGCACCCCCTCTTTCTTTCCCTCTCTCTCTCTCACTCCTCTTTCCTCTTTCTTACACAATCTGTATACACAAAGAGACTTCAAATTGTTTGTTTTTTAATTTCAAAATTAGGTAAGATGATGCAATCTGACACACACACACACACTCTTAGACAATTAACCATGGTACATGTAAGATCACCCAATATGGTTTATATGTACCAGGGAAAATAATGATCTTAGTTTTTCTGCTATTTGAATGGGGAAAAAAGAAGAAGTTAAATCCAGGGTGCTCTGCCTGACACAAAATCCACCTGACTCAAAATTTAGCACAATAAAGTGTTTTTTTCTCTATGTAATAAATGAATAAACAAAGATATAAATCATACAAAATGAAAAAGAAAAAGAAAAAGAAAAAAAAGGGGGGAAAAAAATCATCAAAATGTTGCCACAGCATGCAGACCTGATAACGTGTACCGGTAGTCTGAACCCAGGACACAAAAGGCTAGTGTAGAGCCTTGCAGCAGGTACAACAAATTATTCAAACAAGCAGTTCTCTTTGGAAGTTATACTTTATTAGGAAAAAAACAATACAATTGACTAAGAGCACACCGTTCACCAGTATAAATAAAATGGTACAAAAATTGGATATAATGATGACAAAGCTAGGAATGTAAATACATTACAAATACATCTGACCCTGAGAGAATAATCACACATTTTGGAGGAACCTGATCAGCTTTATAAGTAATCTTAATCTTATCGTTAACAACTTAACACAAGCCAAAATACGCATATGCTCGTACCCTCTTTTTGAAAGCACCCCCTATCTGAGGACTGCCAACATTTCCGAACCCCCCTTTCGCGGGCTTTTCGCGGGCTTTTCCTGCCTTGGAGACCCCCCTAAATCAGGAAAAATGCTCAATGTACCCCCCTAAATTCGGAATAATTTCTCAGGAGTCCAAAGAGATGAGAGAGAAAAAGAAAAACACCCCCTTTTTAAAGAAATCTCCGGTTGAAAAGTCAAATACACCCCTTTTTTTACAAATCTCGGGCCGGACTTTGTCGCACGAAAAGTACCCCTTTACCGGACATTTTGGCAACACGCATGCGGTCATTCTGACCTCTGAGTGGGGGGGGGGGGGGGGGGGGGGGGGGCCGGGCCATCAGCACTTTTAACATAGCAAATGTTGCATACCCGGTACCTATATAGTGATCATTTCAATAGACCAGTTCACGG